ACGGCTGTCGTCCTTTCCGAGTCTGTGCGAGAATGCTCTCGAAAAATTCGAAAAGAGCCTTATGGTGCCACTCGATACCATTTCTATCTTCTGGTTTAATCCCGCTTACGATCTTTTGCATATAGTATGCCGAGATGCGCTCCAAGCACCACGCTAATTCGTAGTCTTCCGTCGTTGCGCGCCTGGTTGTTGCCAGCTCCGCATCCGGAAATGCCGGTCCCCAGATATGTTCTGATAGCATTTGGCGATCATATTGCGGGCCTCCTTCGGAAAATGGGACAACGGTAACGCCTTCGACTTGTATTGCCATAGACCGCTCATCAGCACCAAATATATCGACATCGCCTAATATACCACTGGACGTTAAAGGATTCTCAGTAATATGAGAATCAACAGGCAGCAAAGTTCCAGGAGCCATGCTTTCTTGGCACAGGGAGACATCGATTCGAATGTTTTTAATTCTCGTTGGCACATACAGCTGTTCCAGGCTTCCATCATTTGGCCACCAATAGGCAAGAAAGATTGACTGGAAGGCAGCATCGAGTAGCGCTGGGTGCACGAGTAAAACCTCATGGGGTTCCTGTGATGGGGCAGTCACGGTTGCGGACCCAATGTCCAGTTTCCTTTTCATAGAGCCTAGAGACCTAAAATCGCCGCTGTATCCATAACCCAAATCATCAAGCGACTGATAAAATTGATCTGTGGGAACGGGAATCATATTTGGTCGCTCTGGGCCCCGAGCGGGCAACAAATTTGACCGCGAGTCACCGGTAGTCACCAGAATTGTCCCGGTGGCTAAACTCGACAAAGTATCTGCTTCCTGATTTGTGCACGCATGATAGCTGAATGAAGCAGAAAAATTACCCTCTTCTCTTGATATGTTGAAAAGGGTAAACAAAGTCTCAATTCCGGATTCATTATCGTCAAAAGTCAATGGGCGCCCGATAACAAAATTGCTAACCTCGATGATAGCGGTTGGCAAATTGCCCGCAAGGGAGAGCGCAGCTTCAATCGCTGTAGAGATATACCCTGCGGCAGGGAATACCATCTGTCCCTGTAACTGATGACCATGGATCCATGACAATTCACTTGGTTTCAAAAGATTGCGCCAGCGTATCTCTTCTTTAATACCGTCAGGTAATCTGGTCCCCAAAAGCGGATGATGCACCGTACTGCGTAGTCGGTGTGCTCTAGAAATACGAGATTCATGCCAATAAACTCGATCATGGTCCCAGGTGTAAGTCGGCAACCCTTTCAATAGCTGTCGATCCTCGTTTGCAAAAAGGATATTGTCATATCGGTTAAAGTCCACGAGAGATGGAGCGAAATGGGTCCAAATAAATCCAAGGGAGTTTGCTAAAGCGGTCACGTCATCAGAGCCTCGACTCAGTGGACTAGTGTAAGGCAACCCCGATCCGTATATATCCTGCAGCGTCTGGAGAGCAGGCCCTTTCAAAGCTGGGTGCGGTCCGATTTCGATCGCAAGGTTAAAAGGGCCCTCGTGCTCTGTAGCCGCCGCTATTGCTTGAGAAAACAGAACAGGTTTAACCATATTATCTTTCCAATATGTCCCCAGTAATTCATCGCATGCTTGCATCCGTCTACCTTGGAAGGTGCTTGAAAACCAAGCACATTCGTTCTCCGGCTCGTGAAGTTGGATTTGTGAGCTATGGAGCGCTTCAACATACGGACTGCTGCATGGGAACATGTGATGTGAATGGTAAGCCTTATCAACTTTTAGAAGTCTGGCAAACTTTTTTTCATCTTCGAAGATAACTTTGGCATGCGATATGGCATCGGCATCTCCCGAAAGAGTAACGCTGGAGGAGGAATTGCAAGCAGCAACGCAAAGCCGGCCTTCAAACATCTCGGAGTCGCAAAGATCCTTTGCATCTTCGTACGATGTTCCAACGGCCATCATAGCACCAGGTTGGTCGGTTCCCGCGAGCGATGTAAAATGACCTCGATAGAACGCTACTTTGATAGCGGCATCACGCGATATAATCCCCGCGGCATAGGCCGCAGCTATTTCTCCGGAAGAATGACCGACAACAGCTGTAAACTTGATGCCAACATTATATAACAGCTCGACCAAAAGAAGCTGAATAGCAGTGCACAGCGGTTGTGATATTAAAGCTTCATCAAGCCGTGAGTTTGAAGAATCGGCTTCTAGTTCGTCCAGAATGGACCAACCCGGGCGATCAGGCTCAGGCAAACTTTGGAGGACGTGGTCAAGGCCCGCAATAAAGTCCCAAGCATATTGAGATTTCGAAATTAATTGACGTCCCATTGTCGCCCATTGAGCACCCTGGCCGGTAAATATCCCAAGTATGCGAGGCGGACTGTTGGACGGGCGAATGCCAACCCCAGATCCCGGATGAGAATTGTCTGCGGCGGTTTCCAGGTGTGTGTCGATGGCCGAAATAAGGCCGCCAATGGATGTCGCCGCGAAAGCAGCCCTCACAGCAAGTTCTGATCTTCTGTGTAAAGTATAGGAAAGGTCTCTGAGGTTCAAGTTTGGATAAGATTTTAAATACGTAGAGTAAGCGACAAGCATCTTCTGCAGTGCCTGATCAGTTGCAGCCGAAAATACAAAAGGTGTGAACGAAATGGGACCGTGTTCGCCCTTTGGTGGACGGACAAAGCTCTCAACAATAGCGTGAGCATTTGTCCCGCCGAAACCGAAACTGTTGACACTAGCTCTCCGAGGACCCGTTATTTTAGGCCACGGTTTTGCAACTGTAGCTATCTCGAGGTTATTGTAGAATGGTTCAACAGCAGGACTGAGAGTATTGAAGAGCATATTAGGCGGAATAATACCGTGTTGTACGGCGAGAGAGGCCTTGATAAGGCCAGCAACCCCTGCAGTGCCTTCCGTGTGGCCAATAACCGTTTTCACGGAGCCGACGTACAACAGGTCCTCATTGTCCTGAGCTTTTCCCTCGGGTCCGAAAAAAGCTTTACTAATAGCCTCCGCTTCCTATGAGTCGTTAGTACGCTGTTATCGAATGACGACAATGGAAACATACACGAGCATCACCTGCTGTGGTTCCAGTACCATGAGCTTCGAAATACTGACAGCGGTCCTCTCTGTTGCAGGGATTCAGCCCTGCTTTTGCATACGTTTGAGAAATCAAATCCATTTGCGCAAGCTCATTGGGCATAGTAATTCCCTTTGTCCGACCATCTTGATTGACGCCCGTTTCACGAATAATGCACTCAATATGGTCACCGTCTTCTAATGCCCGACTAAGCCTCTTCAGAATTACTGCAGCAACTCCATCTCCTCTGGCATAACCATCGGCGTCAGCATCCCACATTCGAGATCGGCTACCCGGAGAAAGCATTTTAAGTTTGGCTTCGCCGATGTAGAGCTCGGGAGTCAGGATAAGATTCGCGCCAGCGGCAACAGCGAGATCAGATTCTCCACTCCGCAAAAGTTGGACGGCCTGGTGTACAGCAACCAAACTGGAAGAGCAAGCTGTGTCGATAGTCATACATGGACCATGCCAGTTGAAAAAGTAAGAGATACGGTTGGATACGATGCTTCGTGCAGTCCCAGTTGGCAGATAAGTCGGTGCCGTGTTTATGTCGCGCTGGAGGTGATCAATATAGTCCTCGCACATCAAACCAACATAGACACCAGTTTGGGAGCCGGAAAGGCCCTCAATTGATAATCCCGCCGCCTCAAGGGACTCGTAGACCGTTTCCAATAGCAGGCGTTGTTGAGGATCAATCGAATGGGCCTCGACTGGTTTGATGTTGAAAAACCCTGCATCGAAAAAACGGTGGTCCTCCTGAAGCAAGTAGGATTGCTTGACATTCGAGGTTCCATGGTGCATCCCATTGGGGTGATAGAACCCATCAGGATTGAATCTCTCGCTAGGAATATTGGTGAGAAGGTCATGAGGCTTTCGCAGAAAGTCCCAGAATTTCGAGGGAGTATTCAAAGAACCCGGAAAACGGCAGGCGCTTCCGATGACGGCGATAGGTTCTTCACCTTTAGGGAGAGGTATGCTCCCCATAGTTGAGTGCGAGATACTGTGCCACTGCGGTGAAGGAGAGAAGTCGATGGCGTCCAGTTGAATGGACCTTTTGATTGCAAGTAATACCAAACAAAACCCGCACCAACTGTCTATAATCGGCCAATAATACTACCCATAAAATGATTGAAAAGATGAAGCCTTTAAAGCCGAGCCATATATTCCACACCGGTTGTCATGTACATTTTTAAATGAAACTTGAACGACGATGGGCTAAAGATGCCTCGGTCAGTTGTGTCTCAACAACTAGATATCAAATTTCCTCCGAAGGCATTATCCAGGGAGACCTCCGAAACGTCCATGCCTTCGGACTTCGGACTCTGTGGAATGGATCCGATAGAATCCATAAATACGAGCCGCATTGTCCAAAGTGGGCATGCTCAGGGTCGGCTAATTGGAAGAAAATCGGATGGAGGCAGAACCTTCGGAATACGAAGGAAATTATCCTACTCTTTCAGCACTGGTTCAGAGCTTCGCACACGTTGAACACGGGCTAGGCTAGCCACAGAGAGACCCCATTGGTCTTTAGAGGTCAAAAAGTCACAAGTAAATAACGACGCGCATCAGACAGCCCTCAGAGCCCCAGCCAGTTAGGTAAAGAATTATGCAGGACAAACACCGCAGTGACGGGACAATCTTGGTATTTTGGCATCACCACACGGTTCAGCCAAGACGACGTAAGGCGCAAAGAATATGTGCACCCCCGACACACTGTCAGGGACTAAGGCCATCGGCCCGAAAAGTATATCAAATCAGAGAATCTCTATTTACAGTGCAATTGATAGGTTTCCCATCAGAGTCGAACTTGCAATCATATAAGAGCCATTGTGGTGATAAGATGATATGATCAAAGGAATGAAGTCAAAACTGCCGAATTCGCGCATGGATTACTTATATAATACAACAAACGTGTGTTACTAAGCCCCCCCAAAAGCGATTTATCAAATGCCGAAGAGCTCAAGATAGCCATCGCGCGATCCTGAGTACAAAGCTTTTTCCACGGTTGAAATACCCAATGCCATAAACAATCCAGATCCTCCATTTGGCAATTTCCTCCGGGAAGATAGTTTGCTCAGAAAAGCCTCGTCCCTCATATTGCCTCCCCCCTGCTTCTCCGCCTGTTACTCGATTCGTGAACCCACTTATCCCAGTCTCACCACCAAGTCCCATTTCGAATTTCTTTCTCATATGTTCTACGAGAAATCGCCATGTTTTTCCTCGACTAGGGGATATAAATTCAAGTATATGGCCAGTGGATTTGTCAGTAAGGCCCCCACTGACTTTACCACGAAAATCGTTTGAGAAGAGAATGTAATCTTTGGTTTGAGATTTCTCCCCTAGCTGCGTGGCCGCTAGCAGCTTCCCATGTTTGAACAGCTGCGCTGAATGATAGACATCTCCTTTATTAAGCCGCGAGATTGGCCTCCAGTAAGATATCGTGTATGGTCCCGCATATGCACGTATGATGTGGAAGCCGTCAACGATATCGAACCAGCCCCCCTGGGCCCATAGCCGACCATGGCCACCAAATCCCCTTAATTGCATCCTTTTCGAGCTCGATAATTCAACATCTGCTATGACACGGCCACCTGCGATTGGCTGGTTCATGTGCAGAGACGGGGCCATTTCCGTTCTGGCACCCTGTGAGGGCCACATTGAGCCGTCGGGGAAATGGGGCTGCGTTGTCGATGTTAGCGACAGTGTTCCCTTCCCGGCAGGGGTTCTCCATTTGACGGTTGCACGACTCATATCTTTTGGCACGTGGAAAGAATAACTGCGTTTTGTGCTATTCCACATTCCCGTTATATCTCCCTGGCAGTTCATGATAGTCGATTCATCCAGATAATCGAGCTCCTGGATGACCGTTCCGTCGCTCAGAACCATGTAAAATTCGACGCGGAGGTTTCCGAGGCCAAAGAACGCATATGACGCATCTCTCGAAAATCCAATGATAATCCCAGCCATTCCATCATCGTCAGTCCCATCGAATTCCCATTGTTCCCAGGCTGTTGCGTTTACGCCTGATAGTTTGGGTGTTTCCAAATGCTCGGTGGAAGACGTGGAGAAAGCTACCGGCCCTTCAACCTGCTCGTACGCTGAGAGATGGCTCACGGAGCATGGTTCTGGCTGATTAGGAATATCTGCTTGCAGCTCAGCCTCCCAGTTCCCAGGAAATAGTTCTCTCAATGGCTGCTGGGATAGGTGGTCTGCCGAAGTAGCTTGCAGAAGGAAAAGCGCAATAAAGGCAAACATGGTGAAGAGTATAGCCACCAGTAATCCTGTTGATTAATGGGGGAGGGATTATAAAATGGAAGTCAAAATCAGTCCATCAAAAGTTCATTTGCGGGCAAGCGTGTCCATGAAATTAATCTTGGTTGCCAAAAGTGCAATCGAACAATTACCACCGAGATACGAATAGAGCGAGCAAAAGGAAACATGACTTTCACGTTATCCGATGATTCGGACAGTCATGTTATGTTCCGAAATTTGTAGCTACGCAATAGTCGGACCCCGACTAAAGACCACCTGATCGCGTCACCCAAAAAAGAGAGCCAATCTCCCGAAGCTTCAGGACTCTTAGAAGAGCTGGATCACAAAGTTCACTTGGATACAATATTGGAAACTCTTAGATTAGTTATTTACGACAGATCCAACAGTCGCTATGGAGGAACGGTTGAAGATTCCAACCACTCAACGGGCAATCATCCAAAGCAAGGAGCCACTGGGTTCGCTAACACTATGCGAAGATCGCTCTATTCCAACTCTGCTGCCCGGGCAGGTTCTTGTGAAGACTGCTGCTGTTGCTCTGAACCCCTGCGATTGGAAAATGCCAACCAATTTTCCATTTCCGGGGGCAGGAGATGGTTCAGACTACGCCGGAACTATCGTTGCGCTAGGACCAAATGCTCGACCTGATTTCAAAATTGGGGACCGTGTCGCAGGCGCCGTTCATGCCTCAAACCCTCTTAACCCGGAATCCGGTGCGTTTGCGCAGTATGTTGCGGGCTATACGGATCATCAATGGAAAATTCCAGACAGCCTTTCAATGAAGGACGCTGTGGCTATTGGTTGGTGTGTTGTTGGGAGCGTTGGACTGGCACTGTTTCGAACTATGAACTTACCTGGATCCCCCGAGAAGCCTGTTGGGAAACCCACTTACGTGTTGGTATATGGGGGAAGTACTGCCAGCGGGACAATTGCGATACAGCTCTTAAAACTGTGAGCCATCACATTCTATCGTGAGCCTTTTTTTTTTTCATTTTCTGTCGCAGCTCACATTAGTACAGGTCAGGATTCAAAGTCATCACAACTTGTTCCCCGAAAAATTTCTCCTTGGTGGAATCATATGGAGCAGAGAAAGCCTTTGACTATAACTCGCCGACCTGCGCGGATGATATTCGTATGTACACCAAGAATTCCCTCCGCTATGTTCTTGATATCATCACGGAAGCAAAGTCGATTAAACTTTGCTACGCCGCTATCGGTCGTACTGGAGGTCAATATGTCGGCTTCGAACTTATCCCTGACGAACTAATCGCCAATATGAGAAAAGCAGTTAAAGCGGACTGGGTGCTAGGAATCAGGATGACAGGCCTGGAGATTGCTCTTCCGGGAGGATACGGCAGTCCTCCGGACCCTGAGTTACGGGCTTGGGGTTCTGATCTAGCTAAGCGCATGGAAACTCTGATCCACGCTGGCAAAATAAAGCCTCACCCCCCAAAAATTAACCCGGGGGGCCTCGATACAATCATTGCAGGAATTGAAAAAATGCAACGACGGGAAGTCTCCGGCGAAAAGATGGTTTATATTGTGGATTCCGAGGTTTTTTAGGCGGTCTTTCTGTATCGAGGTAACCGGGTAGAAATCCTAAGTAGCAAATTTTTTCCTTCTCGTTTTATTTCAAATTCTTGAAAAGCCCAAAGACCACGATCCGTCGAGTGTTGACTGCTCCTTAGATACGCAATAGCCTTTTATGACAGCACATGAAGGGGCTTCGTAATCGACGATGGGGGGGCCAGCCGTTCCGTAAAAACGAAATAGTCGTCGGCACCGTTCGAAATCTAAGGTTGCAACACGGGCGACTGGATCGTTTACGGGAGCAAATAAAAATATTCATCTGTTGGAGATCGGTGCTTGAGCCAGCTACATATCGACGTCTGTTTCCATTGTCAATATGGCCCAGACTCTTCCAGCTATCCCATCTGGCTCCAGAGCTGATCGCTGCATTTGAATACTCCCTAGATATCAAGTCTTTTTTGATATCTTGATTCGTTAAGCATTGATTGACTCCCTGAATCAACCTACCCTGCATCTCAAATCCTATCTGGATGTAGCCTTGCTTGAACGGTTGAAGACGATTGTTCACGAGGTATTAGCAGACGGGCTGTCGAATTGAACGAATTAGAGCAACACGTGCAAAATCCTAGCAGCTTTAATACCCTAGCCTCAAGGAAAATTATGTATTTTTTGCTGGCTGCCGGCAGACAAGTTTTTCTTTTACGTTGATGTGCGTTTCTTGATGAGCGTTTCTTGATGGGCGAGTGCATTCTAGCGTCATTCACATATCTCAAAGGCATCCAACAAGGCCACCCACAACGCCGCTTGGGCAAAATGGAACACTACCCGGAGTCCCGGGCAACCTTTCGGATATCGAAGACGAATTACTTAGCAATGCAAGAATTGCAGCGCTCAGCTCACAGGCATCTTTAACAAAGCATATTCGTTGTGGTTGAAGCGCTTCGAAAGAGAAACGTTTTTTTAATTGAATGAAGAATCAATGACAGAGAAACATCACACCACAACATTTCGTGCTAGTCTATAACTAATGGACTAACTAGACAATTAGCAGAGTCATTTAGCGTACCATAGCGCGATGAGATACTCTGACACAAGGTCCAAGAGCTTCTTTCCAGGCTTCAATCCAAGCATCACTGTCCCCTACATTGCATTTATTATGTATGATTTTCTCCAAAATCTATGAGTTAATTATCCTGTCCAGGAGGACCATCTTGCTCAATATCGGTTGATGACCATGCTGGACAAAAGCCCAGAAGAATCTTTGGCGCTTCAAGACTGGAAGAATGCCAGCACTATTATCATCAATAAAACACTGCCCTATCTAAAAGACAAGAAATCTAATAACATTTCGGAATCAGGTCCACCGTCCAGGTTATTTTTGCTAGAGTGCAACGTGTCCCCGCAAAGCCATTTTGGCCTTCAAACTCAAGCCGGTACTACACGGCTCTGTTTCTGGCGGGTATGGAAGACTAGGCTAGATATGATGGAGACCGTAATAGATGCAGGAGAGAAATACATAGCAGGTCACGCTGGCCTCAAAAAACTCGCTACCAGTAACAATGATACTCTTATTTTCCAAAGGGATGGATGTCAATAGTAGACCCAGGGGACCAGATTAAACAGCTTATGGTGCAATCACGCATCTGTACAAAAAGTGGGTTTTACATCGGCTTATTGAATAGGGAGCTGATCGAAGCACTTGAGGGGAATGGGCAAAGTGCATATAGCCGAAAGCAATTGTGACACCAAATTGTTGAAGTTCATGCTCAAAACAGCACTCATCCCTCCATGTAGTGTACCACCGGGTGTGCCTAGCTTGCATAGGATATGCATCATATGGTTAGATCGACTGCTGCATTGTAGACTCTGATCCCCGCAGGAGCTATGCGCTTCAGTCAGATCAGGGTGTTGCACTACCTAGAGAGCATTCGTCAACTTGAAGACACTATTCTGCAGACTTTCAAATCACTCAGAGCAACCACAGAATTCAGTATAACGCAATCCCTGAAATTAAATCACAGATTCCCCATACAGGACGGCAACTAAATACCGTGACGTCCTATGAATAAGAATAACTCCCGGAACAATCCCGCTGTTTCCTGTCTTAGCCTTGCCCTGGTTCACAGCAGGTACTTTAGGCAGCTTGCATATCACATTGGCCGGCATAGGATATCTGTTCCCAGCAGGTATCTCAACCAAATTTCATAACCATCCATCATAGGGACATGTGCATTAAGTCAGGCAAGCCTTCTGTGGGGGGTGGGGGGGGGAGCCAGTCAATATCCAGTGGATACTCTCCACCACACGCCGATTTTAGTGGCGATATCTTATTAGTCTCTGGTAGCCGAGCAGAAGGACCAGCAGCTGTGCGAGCCTAATATGATTAGCCAGTCATCGCGTCTCAGAGCCTGGCCTTCTGTTGCAAACCCGGGTACGATCCCGCTATGGTTTGAGCCGCAGTCTGCGCAATGCATGGGGTTACTCCTGTATCAAGTCTGTCTTTGTTTGTTTCTTTTGTATCAACCCGAGCTGAAAACGAAATTGTTTTCGAGTTTCGTTTCTCAACCCCTTCAAAAGCCGTGCCATCCATGTGGCATACTAGAGCTTGTTTGATTATCCTGAGCCTTAATGCAGTTTGGAAAAAAAGTAAAGAGTATCAGCAGGGGCTACCTGATGCTTTTCATCAACATTCTCATTCTGCTTGATCAACAAAAGGAGGGGAAAAATAAAGACAAACCCGGTATGGAGTCGCACAAAGGGCCCAACAAGTTGACATTTTGTCGAAAGTGACATGTCAAATGTTCTGATCCGCTCACACCGGTCGCCAGACCGCGGCCTTCAATCGGCCTGATTATGAATTGGCACGAAAATTTCAACCCTTCTGTCCAGAGGAGTTCCCCGATACTCCGTTATTGCCCAGAACTCTGTACTGCCCGTTGACAATTGTGGCTCACGCTAATCGCATGAATAATCTTTCTTAGTCATCATAAACAATCAAGAGTTCCCGGCAGCGTTACCAGTGATGCTATTCAAAATATGCCATATAGAGTGCTCCGCACTTAGTATTCAATGTCTTCAATCTTGATACTTCCAATCAGCTTGACATTTCTCACGCGGCATAGGTATCACGAGCGGAGTGTCTTCTTAACTACTAATTTACGGAGTACTCCGTGGGATTAGTTGAATTTAGTGAAATGGCCAGTATAGATGTGAACAAGGAGTTCAGATTTTGCTGTGACAATCTCTGACCTCAGTCCTCGAAACATTAGGTTGAGAACCCCGTATACACACTGCCTCACGGGTGTGGTTCTTCCACACGACAAACTCCTCTGTATGCTTGACTCAAAGAATTGAATGCGAGACCAGAGTGCCAATCAGTTTGACGAGGAAGCAATTCAGAGTACAAAATGAAACTATCTAATGCAATATTGCATGCTGAAATTGAATTGGTAGTTCTGTGTCAGCTTGGGCATGTATTCAGTGTGTTGCTTTAAGAGGAGGATGGCATGGTTACACAAGCGGGAAGTTAAGATGGGATGCGTAGGAGAGCGAGAAGATCCCGCGCCACCCTATATAATATGACGGATCAATCGAAGAAGGCCTTACTATCCCCGCTGATTGACGTCTCATACATATGAATGGCGAGGGGACAGACACCTGATATCCAACGAAGATAACATATTGACATACCTAAATTGGTTGCTCCTCCCAGGTTCTGCAGCACGGCATTGTCGAGTAACCCCGGAATTTGGCTGTATAGCCAAATAATGTGGTGCCCGCGTGGTATTTAAGGAACAAAAGGAGCGGGTGCGTAGGACGCAGGTAACCTATAAGCCTGGGAGTCTCTCTGCCGGCTTAGGATGCACATAGCCATTATAGTCGGACTATATAAAAAGCCATCTTAACCAAATTACAAAGCTCTCTTTAAGCGCCTAGGGTGGGTTTAGGGTGTGAACATAGAGTACCTGAGGGGGTATGTACCCATGTCTTCCCGGTGGACGATTTATCGAATGCTGAATATTTCTCTGAGGCAGTCTGAACTCGTCTAAATCCTTTCTTAGTTGGCAATTTTATATATACCCCTTGATCGTATTTGAATTCCATCTGTGCCACATAGCAGATGCATTTGCTCACTCTACGTAAGCCTGTTTGCCTCTTAACTACCTTCGGAGACGGCACTTGCTGCGGGTTGATCGCCGCAAAGACGCACGCCATGGATGATCGACTTGACATGCATGTTGCACAGGGCATAAGGGTTAGGTCCCTGATGAGACACCGTTACCAATGTTTTAACACACCTATTCATGTAGCCAGATAGTTTTGGCTATTTGTACGTATGATGTATGTACATACAGTCCGTACCCAACAAGAGTGGTCACTATTCTAGCTGTTACTGAGCGTCGCGGCACAACTGGACGAATGTATTAGTAGCATGGATGTTAGTCCTCCTTTTCGTCCTCAGATATTGCTTTCGTCCCCTGTTCCATGCTCTCAGGTCCTTCTAACAAAAAAGGGGGGTTGATGCGGTGGAGAGTATACGGGGTTGCGGAGTGGACTATCTTCAGGTCACATTCGAGATCCCTTGATACGCCTAAGCCAAAAGGTGGTGTGCAAAACGGCCTAGACGCCTATCCTCTCCTTATACGAAGTGCAAGAGAAAGGTCGAGGTCGGAATCTAGCCAGTGTTTAGCAAGCCGAGGCGCCTTAATTCTAGTAAGGTCCCCGTGACCGGATCTTTGAGCTAGGGCTTGCGCCAGTCCATGGACCGGAATGCTCTTAAAGGACCTCGCCCGGACCAAACGGGTCGTGATCAACCAAACGGAAAGAAATCTTTGACTGGCTGAGCTCAAGATGACAGAAGGCGTGGAACGTTACCGCAACGGACTGGATCCGGTAAAGCAAGTCGGGATTGCAAACACCACCTTCCAAGAAAAAGGAGGATAGCCGGTCCGCATTGAGAGTCTGAGAGCCGGACAGGATTTATCCGAGCTCAAAATCGGATTTTCATAATTGACGACTCAGTCGAAAACCAGGGCTTACATACAGATTATTGGAACACATTTATACCCTCCACTTCATTTCCCTAACTTCTTGTTCTGCATAGCGGGATTATTCTTTGGCTATCTGTAATCAACGAAGGAAAACAATCACTCTATCGGATATATAACTTATCAAGTCGTCACGTCACTTCGATCTGATCGCAGGGTGATCGAATCACTAATGTCAGTGATCACAGAAGTTTTCCGCCTCAATGTAAAGACGTCAATCTGGAATGTAGACACAATCGAGAGCTTTAACTGGGTACTGGATATGCATCAAATGTGCCCTAAAGAAGTAATATAGGCAGAATAACATCTTCGGGAGTTGACACAGCGGAGCCACACAAGGCAAAAGATCAACAGTCACGCTGGTGGACCAGACGGAATTCTCACGCATGAGATTATAGGAGTTGGCTAAATCGTGCGATCCTTGGTCATAATCAGGTTTTGAACCCCACAACAAGTAGATATTTCGAACAAACCATAGATTTGATTTTGTAGGTGGATGAAGACCTTGATCCTGATGCAGTCAGCACAAGCCGTTCACGTCGCGCTATCATGGAAAATCCTCCTCGTTGGGGGCAACTGCAAAGGTATTAAAACACCTGAGAAATCCAATGTGCCGACAAAAATAAGAGACAAGCAACTGAACAGTTATTTTCGTATTCCGAAGCGAGCAAGATATATTTTAAGGATGATGTGCAAAGGCTTTTAACTTGCTGATGTGAGAGTTAGCCCGGATCTGAACGGAGTCGGGGGTGGATAGCCAGGGCCAGCTTTCAGGCTGGTTTGATGCTACCAATCTTTTGCCGGCGGCCTTTCACGCGGAAGGCCATGGATAATCCTTCAAAGCAACTAAAAAATGCGTTCAATCTAATAGCGCTCGCTTCTGCTCATTACGCTTCGTTAAACATGTATGGATGACAGCAGTCTGTATCATTGGCACCGATACACCACCCCTTGTTAGTGGCAAGTTGTGAGAAATGTGCAGATAAAGTATAGTTTGTTGATTTGCAATTAGCCTGCTCTCCGATATTTAACCTGTTCAATATCTTCAAAATAAGAAGATCGCACACCAAGGGGGGGTGGCAAAGAACGAACAAGCTAATTGAAGAGCACAATATCCAGGATGCTTGATCACACACAGACATTGCCGACTACTTCGACTACGCCAGAACAGCCGAAACGACTGGCATGTGAAAGATGCAGAGGCCAGAAACTTCGGTGTATTCGAAATCGAGTCAATCAGCTTTCTTGTAACCGCTGTGAGCGGGCAGGAGCGGTTTGCATTACAAAGCCATCAATGCGAATGGGAAGACCGGGACGTTCAGATAGCCAACGAAAGGAAAATATCGCGAATCGAAAACGACGACGAAGCCAGGTAGCCCCCGACCAGAAACTTCCGGACTATATGAACACTCCAGGGAAGATAAGTAACACCGGGAGTCGCTGTAACTCACCCGCGCGTGAAGATTCGACACCGGTATTTCAGGGCCTGAATGGTCCTCGGCCAGGCTTCACTTCTCACCTGCCCTCTACAGATGTGCAAGAAATGTCGGGGGCGAAGTTCACCCCGTTTCCCTTCATGGGAGAAGGTGAAAATAACGGCGCTGAAGCAGAGTCGATGTCTTGGCTCAACTACAACGCAGTTGAGATGAACATCTCTCCGCTTGTAGAAAAATACGATTTCTTCAGGCCTTCGCTGGGTCTGAACGGAGAGAGTGACATTGGGCCAAGCATGATACACATCGGACCTCAATCCCCCCCAAGCCCAAATCGCGCCTCTGAGACGGGGTTTCAGAATATTGTTAGCGATTTTACGCATCTGGACACGGGGCCTGCTGTCGAATTCGGAGAAGTCAACATGCTTGAAGCACAGGACTTATACCAGGAATCGCTCGAACGATTGGCAAGACTCAACATGGACGTGAGCCAGCAACTCAAGCTCGAGACCAGCAGCGATACCCCGCCCAATGAGCACAACGCAACGCTGGTATCTCCATCAGAGCCAGCGCTCCCAATAGCCCAGGTAATTCGTGGGCTTCAAGAATTTCAAGATCTGCTCCAAAACTTCGTCAATTTCCAGAGTGCAAGATCCATATATGAACTAAACTCCGACAACCCAAGGCCGAATATGCGGGGAACCGCGATGAGTGAACAGACCCCTTCGGGAAGCTCTCATTCGTTGGCTGCGCTATCAATATCTCCATCTTCTTCCGATGAGTCTCTGTTGCCTATTATGATTAACGTCTCTCGAAGCGGTGAGAGTAGCACAAGACAAACGCGACGGCACCAGATAGATATTGCGGCATCGCTTTCCATGCTCATGTGTTACATTAATCTCATTCGTCTCTGTCGAACTGTTTTCTCTAATATTTGTCACTGTCTCGTTGCACTGAATCAAAAAGCCATATCTACCGCCCTTTCGGATATACGGATTAGCGGTGTATCACTGCAGGGGGATCAGAACCTTCAAATTCTAGTCCTAGTACAGGTGGTTGTGCGCATGCTTGATTGCATCGGGAATATGCTAGGACGTACGGGTCTCAGCAGTAGCGGACAGAAAAACGAAGAAAAAGGGTTACACCCACTCATTTTGCCGAGGTTGATGGAGACAGTGATGAGCGAAGAAGAAACGAATAGACAAGGTGCACGAGCTGGCGGTATAAAGGCGTTGAGAGAGGATATCCGCAAGTTGAAAAGAGTCCTTAATAGTACATAAATGCTTGGAGAGAAAGCATCCACACCGAGACGTGTTTCGTTATATTTTATTCAGGTTGTTTTCTTTGTCGAATAATGGCCAGATTGCAAGCGAACCAAGTACCTCGTGTTGGCTTTCAGGGGCTGACCATGAATAATCACATTTCACTCAGGGCAAGTAGAGCAAATATCATATGGATTAATTTGGGACCAGACCTTGATGCTTAAAGCTCTACGGTGCAATGTTACCTGTAGGTCTTGCTCTCCGTTATGGTAGATTCAACTGTAGGCAGCCGGCTCTGGCAATCGGACGACCATCGCGACTTCGGTGAAGTAGAGAGGAGAAGCGGTGTCGTGTCTCGAATAATTACTGCGCCTTTCGGAGCTAGAATCAAGGTGTAAGAAAGCTTCCCGAGTCGCATGTCCGACAACTTCAGCAGCTCAATGTTGGGTCAAAACTCTTTCGGTGGATCGGAAGAAATGAGAGCAGATATTCGCACTGTTAGGCCTGTGCACCCGATAGCTTGCGGATTCGGCTCGCATTTGGGACTCGGTGATCCGAAAACAAAGAAATTCGTTTAAGTATCCATAACGTAACCCTCGCTCTGGGATACCTTAGCACTAACTTCTCGGGCACACTTCACGTGTAACAAATGTAATGAAGAGGATCAAAGATAACCGAGGGATATTTGTTACCGAAAACGCTCTGAACGTCGCACGTCATCGGTTCGCAAGCATATGTGTATATATATATATATAGCGCACAAGCTGCAGGTTTCCCCAAAACTGGCGTTAAAATAAGGTAGGTCTCGAGTGAAATACGCAAGCTGGTCGTTTGTTTGACGTTGATCTCAAGCATTCATAGGGGAAGGGCAATATCATGTACGGAGGGACAAACTTCATTTCGGATACAATATTGCAGCTCCAGCAAACGTCCCTTTACTGATATTTCGCTAGTGCTGGATATGAGGTCAAATTGAACTATGGCGCGGGAAGTGCTCCCCAAATCTGACTGGTGTATTGCAGCCAAACTGGAGAATGGTGCCGGGACGGAGTGAGATCCTTGATGCTGGCAAGGATCGTCGACGCTGCGCATTTGAGCTGGTCAACTTGGGGGTGCTCGAAGCTGAACTTTTCGTGGCATAAAGATTGGGATTGGACTATCCGCACTCTGTACCAGCCCTGTACACCCAGCTAACGAAAGATGTTGGGTTCAAGTTCTGGTTTGTTGCTTGATTGATTGACGGCGATGAGCGATAGCCTTGAGATGAGGTTCCAATGTTACCGAGAAGCCCAGCTTACCGGCGTTGAGTTGTTCCGTTGGCCGATGTTTTAGGGCCGAGAATTGGAAGACGCTGAAAGCATTGTGGGCGCTCTCGTCAGCGAACTTTCACTCCTCGATGCCACTGCTGGCACTCCACATGTCCCATTTGCCCATCGCACGATCGCAAGTTAATCCGTTATAACCATAATTAAAACCGTTGCTTGGAGATAGTTACCCTTAACTAGGTGCTCACCACAGAGTGCATTAGTTATATAGCCTCATGATGCTCCCTCGTGCGTTGAAACGCCCGCTGCACCCCAGTGTGTCTTCCACTGCACCACTCAGCTCGACTTGTTTCAACAATAAAACACTTTGCGGTATATTCTCAGAGTTCTATTTGATGCTGAATATTTGAGTATCCGCTTCAGTGATAGTTGTTGGGCTTTCTCGCTGCGATTGACCCCAGTAACGTGCATCCAGTCTGTGTCGGTATGGTCATCCTTCACTTTAAAAATGGCCCGCAAAAGAGCCGAGCAGAGCGAAGCTTGGAGTTCTTCTTCAAATTTGGGCCTGAATCTGCAGCTATTCCCACCCGATTAAAGTCCTAAAGCGTTTGCTATATGAATCCTGCTGGCTTGAGTCACCTTGTATCCCCAGTTACTTCTCGGTTGCAGGGCCAAGCTGCACTTAGTATGGATACCTCCCAGTACGTCGGGCTGCTGATTAATGGGATGTTTCCGTATAATGACGTTCATACAATCCGGGAAGCAATCTTATAAGCTCCCGGTGCAGTTTTCCCTTGTCAGTCTTCTCGAAAGAGCATGCCTGGGCTAGCTTTTAAATTACCACCAGCCCTTCTAAACCATCTGAGATACGGCATTTAAGAAGATAGGTGTTCTTTTTGGGCATCTTTGAGGCATATATTACTCTCCTTTTCTCTATATTTTACTCTATTTTCGTTAGTTGAGGCAATTTAAGCCGTTACCTGGTGCCATGTATTTCAAAATATTTACTGTCTTTAGCTACAGCGATATTTTCTGACGTCGCAAGTGGCCAAAAGTCGGTTTTCGCCCATTTTATTGTATGATGGGCCTCCCAGCTTGAAAAATAAAATGATTTCTTATTTCTAATGTCACGGAGGTCAGAAATGCCGCCTATATGACATTGGATGAATGGAAGTCCGATATCAAACTAGCAAAGAAGGCGGGCATTGACGGTTTTATTTTCAATATTGCACCGCAAGATGACTATACAAACGCCGTAGTGCGGAAGGCGTACGAAGCCGCTAGTGAATTGGGAGATTCCACTTTGTTACTGTCATTCGATTATCTTATTATCGAGTTGATCGATACTTACAAAGCATACCCTGTACGGAGTATAACTAACTAGTTAGTTAGAGTACAGCAACAAACCATTAGCATCGACATTCGAGAGACCAGATAATGTCAGCGACTGGCCATCCGTTAAGAATTCCACCAACTGCCTCTTCGTACCATCTTGGACAAGGCTTGGGCACAAGGAATTATACAATTCCCGGACGCTGTCGACGGAGCGTTCAGTTGGGAGGCTTGGCCTGTTGGAGCAAACTCGAAACCACCCATAATTCTGACCAAGAGTCGACGAGAACCCTTGGTAATCGGCGATTTATAACTAATGCCGGCTTTAATTTGGTTCTACACCAATCTTCCTCAATGCCCAAAAAAAATGAAAAAAATAAAAAAATGAAGCTGAGTGTGGCGTGGCGACGTTAGTCCAAGTAAGTCCTCTTTGTATATATCAACCAGATTGGCTTCAACTAGCAGCGTTATTTGGTTATTACATGGAACGACTACTCCGTATAGTGAATCTCATTATATTGGTCCGATCTACTCCGTACCCCGTACCAGAATGGTGTTCCAAAAGGTGCTGAATGGCATGTCCGCTCTCATCAACATCAATCCACACCAAGGGTAGCGGGCTTCTACCTTATGATACCGATCGATACAAATCAGGAAAATCAACCACAAATACCGCCGATAGTAAAGACATCATCTTTTGCTGGTATCGCCGCAACTCTTTTAATTCTGTGAGTGTGGACGGAAGTATAGGAAATAGTCCTGCAATTGGCCAGCCGGTGCTAGAGCCAGGTTTGGTCTCCCAAGTTAATGTCTTTGTATCCGTTCTAGCTTTGGAACCCAGAGACGGCAGCATTCAAATCGGTAAACCAACCCCTACAAAGCTCAAGGCAAATGTTGCTGGCGTCAATCACTTCAACGTCAATTTTGATGGCAAGCTCGGCCATGTGAACATTGTTGTGTCAACGGCTGGGCGAGAAGTATCTCGTGCTAATGGGGTCGAAATTTCCACCGAACGTTTCGAGGGAAAGGTGGATTGAAATGCTGTTGCTAGTTCGAGCCTTGATGCGGATATGTAGGGTTACTCTGGGTGGAGGACAGACGGGGGATTGTCCCTGATGATCTCGTGTTGATCAGGAGTACAGGCCACTTGACAACATACGGGAACAATAAAACACTCCATCAGTGCCCCTTTAGGCTTTTTTGAACAATGAAAATGACAAAAATGCGAAGTATATGAGCATAAATCACATGGGGGTTGTGATTAATTCTTGACCTGAAGGGAAATAATAACATTCGAAAAGGAACGCGGTGGTTGCTCGTGTTCAATGCTTCGATTCGTCTGATACCGACGGAGTTAATAGTGTAGCTGACGGGCGCGCAGCTGGTTGTGGGTTTCTCTGGCAACCAGGAATGCCAGTGGATGGATTTAACTTCCCCACAGTTCTGGTTAGCATGGGGGAACCAACCTTGAAACCCAACCCCGGAACGCGACCTCTGACCAAACCAGACTACCACAATTCTCATCCAAAGTACCCCTCAGTAACCTCTTCTCAGACTACTTTCGATATCGAGTCCGTAAGCGGCCACCGGGAAGCTCTCAATCGAAGCCATGACGAAGAAACTGCTCTCTCGCCCATCCGAGATTAGTCTCTCCCATCGTCCATCCCCCGCCGAGCAATGCCGTCATCGATCGGAGGACAAAGCTTCCTCCGCCATCGTACCGGAAGCATATACCAAACCCTACTGTGATTTCATGACCGATAACCCGACCATTTTCCACGCTGTCGCGACATTTACCCGCCGTCTCGACGATCACGGTTTCAGCCGGCTGTCGGAGCGCGACGTCTGGACGTCAAAGCTGAAGCAGGGAGGGAAATACTACTGCACTAGAAATGACAGCGCTTTGATCGCATTCATCGTCGGTCGTGATTATGAGTCTGGGAATGGAGTCGGGGTGGTAGCAGGACACATCGACGCCCTCTGCGCTAAACTCAAGCCTGTGTCTAAGCTACCCACGAAGGCCGGCTTTGTCCAGCTTGGCGTCGCACCGTATGCGGGTGCGTTAAGCTCTACGTGGTGGGATCGTGATTTGGGAATTGGTGGACGCGTGCTGGTCCAGAACCCTAGTACTGGCGTTGTAGAGTCAAAGCTGGTCAAGTTGGGCTGGCCGATTGCCAGGGTGCCAACTCTCGCGGTACACTTTGGTGCTCCGTCGCAGGGTCCATTTAACCCTGAGACGCAAGCAGTCCCGGTGATCGGATTGGACAATTCGGATATCATTGGTCAGGATGCCAATGCTGCTGATAGCGGGATTAAACCAGGAACGTTTGCCGCTACGCAGCCGGAACGTTTGGTTAGGGCGATTGCTAAAGAGTTGGGCGTTTCTGATTACAGCACGATCATAAATTGGGAGCTCGAGCTGTTTGATATCCAAGCCGCCCAAGTTGGTGGCTTGGATAAGGAATTCATCTTTGCTGGTCGAATCGACGATAAGCTGTGCAGCTATAGTGCCTTCGAAGCTCTCTTGGCCTCATCGGAAAAGTCCTCGACCGGGATTGTCAAGATGGTGGGGATGTTCGATAATGAGGAGATTGGCAGTTTACTCAGACAGGGTGCCCGATCAAACTATATGAGCAGTGTTATCGAGCGGATCGTCGAAGCTTTTGCTCCGAATTACGGACCGAATCTCCTATCCCAAACCTTTGCAAACAGCTTCCTTGTTTCTTCTGATGTTATTCATGCGGTTAACCCGAATTTCCTGAACGTATATCTGGAGAATCATGCCCCACGTCTTAATATCGGTGTTGCTGTTTCAGCAGATCCAAATGGGCATATGACAACCGACAGCGTTAGCACCGCTCTTCTCCAGCGAGTTGCAGAGAAGTGTGGTTCTAGACTTCAAGTCTTCCAAATCAGAAATGATAGCCGTAGTGGAGGCACCATCGGTCCTATGACAAGTGCGCGAACGGGAATGAGAGCTATTGACTGCGGTATCCCACAGCTGAGCATGCACAGTATTAGGGCCACTACAGGAAGCTTGGATCCCGGACTCGGCGTGAAATTATTTACGGGCTTTTTCGATCATTTTGAGGAAGTTGATAAAGAGTTCCGACAGCTCTAGGCAGAGATGCGTTGATAATTGGGCAAAGTTCTTGAACGGGGTTTCTTTTCGGTTATGAGCACTTCTTGGTTGGTTCAAACGATCACATGCATTCTCCTTACTGGTAGTATAGATATTAATTGGGGCAGCGTTCTTGCAAGCACCTATCGATAATTGCGCAGAATTTGCTGTTACATTAATAGCTATATCATCCAATATATGGGTCCATTGAAATGTAATAGTGGTTGCTATAGGATACAGTGTTACTCTTGCGGCGATAATTCAGTCGTTAACAGTGAGCAATGCTTCTGTATGGCGAGTGGTAATGCCAAATACGGAGGCCACTAAGGATTTGTGTGGACTCGCGAAAAAGCCAGCGTCGTGATGGGGTGTAGGCGATCACTGGGAATGTAGGCCGTCGGCAAGCATATTTCACTTCAGAGTCAGGAGTATTTAACATGGGAAAAAAGGGGAAGGCAGAATAGAATTATTTGCCTAAGGGCACTAACTTAGGCTCCCATTTATAATACTAGAAACCTCTTTCAAGGCCTTCCGGGGCTACAAGGGGAAAAGGGAGCGGGATTTCTCCGTAATGATCGTGAGTTTCAAAAGTGTTCTTGAGCTCGCTACTCCGCATCACAGCAGGAAGAGGTTCGTGCCAAGACTAGCTGATAAGCTTAGCACACGGGCCACCACAAATAATTTCTTATCAGCGGTCGTTTCTCCAGGCTGATATCTGAGATTCGAGACGCTTCCCTGTCGTGAAAGAGAGGTGCTATGAGTTCGCAAACACTGCATAGCACCATGACAGAGCCCACTGAAACTTCTGCACCGCCAAAACCGGTCCACACCATTGTCCTCGATGCCGGGCCACTTATCAAGAACATCCCACCCATATCCACCCTCCTCGCACAGTCCCACGTCCTCCTCACAACCCCAGCAGTTGTTTCCGAAATTCGTGACCCGGATGCCCGCCAGAGAGTGGAAACATTATACCTACCTTTCGTCGAGCGAAGGTCACCCAAACCTGAAAGTCTGAAAGTTGTCTCTGAATTTGCAAGGAAGACTGGCGATCGGGAGGTGCTAAGTCGGACAGATTTGGAGATTTTGGCACTGGCGTATGAGGTGGAGTGTGAGAGAAATGGAGGCGATTGGAGGCTAAGAAAAGTCCCAGGACAAAAGGGAATCAATGGCGTCCCACCGTCAAAAGAGCAGCAGTGGAAGGCGGGGACCGAGCAGAATGAGGCACAGGAAAAGTCGTCCGAAACCTCAGATGAAGCGGCGGGGCCTGTGGCAGTGGATGCTTCAATAGATGATGTCGTGGAAGGTTTGGAGGAAACTACCCTGGAAGAGCCCAGCCAGCCTGCTGAACAGAGCTCTACTCCGCCTACTAATGAGCCTGAACGAATTGCGATGCCCGAAGCTGGCTCTGAAGATTCTGAGGGGAATTCGCAGGACGAGCAGGCGTCAGATTCAGATGACGGCTGGATTACACCGTCTAATATCAAACAACGGCAGGCTCGCGACGCAGCAAAAGCTGCAGCTTCCGTTGAAACAAAAACCATGCAAGTTGCAACGATAACAACAGATTTTTCCATGCAGAACGTGCTACTTCAGATGAACCTTAACCTTCTCTCGACGAACAACCTCGAAAGAATAAGGCGTCTCAAGTCGTACATACTTCGCTGTCATGGCTGCTTCTTTACTACCAGAGAAATGACAAAACAATTTTGCCCTCGATGCGGCCAGCCCACACTCACCCGTGTTTCCTGCTCTACAACAGCGACAGGTGAATTTAAGATGCACTTGAAGAAGAACATGCAATGGAACAACAGAGGAAACAAATTCAGCATTCCAAAGCCTATCGCAGGCACATCAAGCGGAAAGTGGAACGGGGACGGAGGCGGCAAAGGAGGCTGGGGAACGGAGTTGATCCTTGCGCCGGACCAAAAGGAATATACTAGAGCCGTCGCAGAAAACGGAAGAAGGGCTAGGAAAGGACGGGACCTCATGGATGAGGATTACCTTCCGGGTATCCTGACCGGAGAACGAACCCGAACTGGCGGAAGAGTCAAAGTAGGGGCCGGTCGAAACGTTAATTCGAGGAGACGAAGATAATTTGGGACTTTTTTGTGTCACGATAATTTATGATGGCATTGGCGGGATAAAAGTCATGAATCATAGTCAATAACGCATATCGAGGTCGTATTCAAACAAGAAATGTATTTCCAGAACTATGGATACCACTAGATAACGTAGACATTTCTCCCACCCAACAGGTATGATTCAACGCCATTCGCCAAAACTCGTTATCAAAGAACTTTTACACTTTCGGCTCTATTATGAAAACGCTATTAGGGGCCCGAAACCGTTTAAAAGAGAGCATAGAGCTTACCGGGTTGTTGTGTCAGTAGCAATCCATATCGTTTTTTGAGAGTGACTCGGTGTCTATCGTGTAAATTCAGTCAGCTTCTATTCCTGAAACCTGATGCATGGTAAAGGAAGCCAAAGTAGCAGGATAACAGATACCTGGAGTATTTATCATCTGGTGAGAATCGGGCTGGGTGTGCAGACTTTGTCACCTGCCCGTTGAGTACTTTTTTAAGGGTATAGACTCGCTTCCCCTGGTCGTCGAGAGTGTACATCAAATGCATCCTAAAGTAACAGGTAATCAGTGATAGCCCTCCCCAGATCCCCGATAATACATGCAACTCACTTGACGGTAGTGGTTTAAGAACAAACGCCAGAAACTGACCAGAAACTGTTTCTCGAGTTCAGCGCTGAGCTCAGATGCGATTTTGATTTTCGATCCATTTTTGGAGCTCGGATGCGGAGGATTATTTCACCGACCGCACATCACCCACAGCCCTGAAAAACTTCGCATCCTCGCACATTCCTTCGTCGAAGCACCCAACACAATCATTGGACCGCAAGCCAACCAGGCTTTCTCTGTGGCTAGTTATGATACAAAGCCATCCATAAGCTCATACATTTTTTTACTCATTCCTCCCGGATGATCTAAATGTGGAGCTATCGTTTGTAGTGTTTTGAGTTCATTCCAACATCACAATTCTCTGTCCCACTGTGAGTTGAAACATGTTTCCTTGCTCGCCCATTTTAGGTACAAGCTCTTGTCATATTTGTTCCGGTGATGACACCATTAGCAGCCTAGGCAATGGCACTGATTTCTAGCTGTTGACCAATGCTGGCTCTTTTTATGACTACAACGGTATCTGAGGAACATAGCACATAGCTGGAGGCCATTTTCAGCCCCTGAAATCCTATTGTAAATGCGAGACAAAATACTGATTGTCAGTATTTTTAGAACCCTTTTTACTCCAGAACGGTGCAATACCATGTCTACGCCGGCTCCGAGTGGTGTAAAAGATACCATGAGCGGCAACGCCGTCAAGCCAGATTTACAGGTTCCCATTGCCAAAGCTCGGCCGCATCGCCAGCGCCGACCAAATTATAAGCACATCCACCGTCATTCTCTTCCTTTAACTGTCCATCCCTTGCCTCCTTTGCTACCCCATAACCCCTTGTCAATCATCAGCATTGCCCTATCCTACCTTACCTACCTTATTTCTCCACCCTATCGTGAGACATATTCTGCATATTTTGACCCTACCATATCCTCTGTCCACGTGGTGGATCCGAAAGCGATTCGTGCCTTATGGGAGATGGGCTTCTTTGGTAAAGGAAGTCTGAGTAGAAGTGAACCAACTTGGTTGGAGCGCGAGAAGAAACGGAGAGGCTTGCTAGCGTTAGATACCAGCGAGGAAGCTACTGGAAACAGACGAACTGAACGGCGGGAATGGAAATTAGAACGGGCGAGAAAGGAAAAGGAAGCGATTGCCGAGCAGCTGCGAGCCGAAGCGGCTGCGCGCCCGGGCAAGGACGCCATTGCAGCCGAACCCACTGAACAGGTGTCTGGTTCAGATATTCATATTAATGGTTATGTTAACGACAAAAGTCCCAACATGGGTCGCAGCTCAGTTCGGAATTCGGCTTCACTGTCGAGTCACAACGCGGTGAGAGAGGGCGTTGAGAACTCAGCTGTCAATGGAACCAAAATTGTACGGTTCTCATCAGAAGTAGATACTAGAAAGTATGAGAAAGAAGCAATTTTGGAACAACCATCCAAGCTTGAAAAGCTCGATTCCTCGAAAGTTCAAGATGAAGAGCATCTTCAATTATCCAATGAGGAAGCCTTTTTCCTTGCCTACGGACTTGGTGTTCTTCAAGTCTACGATCATAATATGAGTTCTGTTCTACCTAACTCTCACCTTCTATCCTTATTTCGTCGCCATTCCTACTTTCCACCCCGTGATGAGCTCATGCATCTGGAGCCGGATGACCGCTTCATCGTCTCTTACGTTGCTTATCATCATTTCCGCTCTCTTGGATGGGTTGTTCGCTCGGGGGTCAAATTTGGTGTCGATTTCCTACTCTATAATCGGGGCCCCGTGTTCTCTCATGCAGAGTTCGCAGTCGTGGTGCTGCCTGCCTATGAACATCCGTACTGGAGTGAAACTGAAGAGAGACGGGCGGCCGTCGCGAAGAAACTCCCACATACGTGGTGGTGGCTTCATTGCGTAAACAGGGTTCAGGCTCAAGTTAAGAAGACTCTGGTCCTGTTATATGTGGAAATACCGCCGACCGCTCCAGAACCCCAAGATACGTCAGGAGAACTTGATATTGGAGCACTTTTGAAAACATATGCAGTCCGCGAAATGACCATGAGGCGTTGGGTTCCAAATCGGAGTCGGGATTGAGATGTGCCCCATGGATTATTCCAGGCTGACTTGCTGCGAGCGAAGGATGTTCGGGACCTGGGCAGGGCTCGATGAGCATGGATTTGTGTCCACGTGACCCAAAGGTTGGACGCAAAATAATTGTTCCGCAGAGGGCCGATCACTTCCAGGAAGGTTGGAAGGTTTCATCTAATCGTTCCACATCGAACTCTTGATGAATGAAGTAAATAATTCAACATTGGCGCGAAAACATTCCAGTTATTGGATTCTAAGACCATTGGACTTGGAAGACGCGTTCTCTAGGTGTTTATTAACAAATTGAACGCACTGGCCTTCTAACCAATAGGGTTCCTCTTGTCAAATATTATGTCAAAGCATATCCCGAATATTCTTTTATTGGATGGCGCTATGGGGACTGTACTCGAAGAGCCGCCATATGGTTTTACCTTTTCTGCCCAGACTCCATTGTGGTCGTCGCATCTACTCCTATCCCATCCCACCACGTTAAGCGAGATACATCGGTCCTATGTGGATGCTGGGGCAGATATTGTCCTTACGGCAACTTATCAAGCCAGCTTTGAAGGATTCGCTAGGACGGCGATTGTCCCCGCTAATGTACCTGCCGACCATAAACAGGATGAAAGGGATGGCCACGCTACGTATAGACCAATGGATGCAACTCGGTACATGCGTTCAGCAATACCTCTTGCTTATTCCTCCTTCAACTTTTCTTCAAAACCTCCACGCGTGGCTTTGTCTCTGGGACCGTATGGAGCGACCATGTGCCCTGTTTCTGCGGAGTACACAGGAATATACCCAGAGGAGATGAGCAACACGGCGGCATTGGAAGCATGGCACGCAAATCGCCTTAAGGTATATATGGAAGACCCCGAGACATGGAGAAAGATTGAATTTTTGGGCTTCGAAACTGTGCGGCGGTGGGATGAAGTTCTTGCCATCCGTGGTGCGATGGGCAAATTATTGCAGATTGCTGAATCGGGACAGTCAAGGAAATGGTGGATTACTGGTGTTTTCCCCCAGGAAGATATCGATGAGGAGGATGTCAGGCGCTGGACATCCGCCGCCTTTGGTTCAACAAGCGAAAACGGACTCCGTCCGTGGGGAATTGGTGTTAACTGCACACGCCTGGAGAATGTTGAACGTATTGTCGACATAATGGAAGATGAGTTAGGACGGGAAAAACTGACCAATAACGGGGAACGTGCGAGTGTTGGGAGTTCTTGGTCTTCTCGGCCGTGGTTAGTTTTATATCCCGATGGAACCCAAGGGGAAATCTATGATTCTACGTTGAAGACCTGGGTCAAAAAGGATGAGGAGGAAATAACAGAGTCTTGGCCTGAACGCTGTTGGAGGATTGTCAATCACATTTGGAACCGGAACGCTTGGAATGGAATATTAGTAGGAGGGTGTTGCCGCACTCGGGTGCATGATATCCGAGCATTACGGGACAGAATAGACTCGGCGTGGAGTGGGAGCTAATTCATCCTAGCCTTCCACCTGGTTTACAAGTAGTGTGTATGTAATATAAATCCTTTTCGGATGCACAAACAATGCAAATTGATACACTATTTCATTCTATTCTACCTTTTCACTCTTTTGTGTGCATTTTGACTTCTCTGTGCATTCAGGGAGGCGATTGAGCTTGGATATCAGAACAGCCACCCTGAATAGTTACAAAGCCCTCCAGCATTTCCAGCTGGCTGTGTTAGTAGTGAGCAACTGAGATGTAATTTCTTCTGGCTGCAGAATCCATTGTGGAAGAAGAGCAATGATGATAGGGCTAACACAAGGCAGTTCGAAAAAAATGATGCCACAGGATAAATGGCTGGCGAAGTGTCCATCTGTTTGCCGATCTCAAAACTGCAATATTGGATTTCCAGTTTGATCATGTGACTTCGTGACGCGCCCGCCAAACTTGAATGACAGTAATTTAACGTGTCGCGTCCTTATGGACCCACACCTGATTAATACTTTCATGTATGAAGTGGTACCAGCAAGAACAACTGGGAGAAACACATTCTCTGCGAACAATCCTGCGCTGGGTGGGAGAGATGAAGGGTTGGCTACCATGTCTCTAGCTCCAGAAACCCAGGATGATAGCCTTGATCTGACATACCTCAAGGAAGCAGCATTGGGAATCAGTGATGTGTGTCAAATGGACCCCGTTGTGACTGTCATGTTCTGGGGATTACAACTAACATGCGTGTCTGTTAACAGGAACATTGCTGGGCACCCCCAGGCGCCGGGGGAACAACTGATGCCCATGGAGGTCTATCAGCTGCAGCGCAAAAACATGGGAAATTACAAATTGATGTCATTGTCGCCACGGAGATGGTCTCTAACCCACAAAGCCCTGATCCAGATGGACTTCCTCTGTTCTCCTACCAACAAAATGCCGACACGGATATAAGTAGACTGTCCTCTCCACACGCTGAAGCTTGGAACGCAGGTCCTAGGCTCCTACCGCCAACAATGACTTCTACAGATAGCCTACCTGGGGATACTCAGGTAGTCTCGCAGTCTGTGTATGATAACATCTTAAAGCAACGCAAGGTCGAAGGCGAACTATCGATTCCTGACACTTCATGTGGACTTGCAAACGCAGATGGTGGTATCACGCAAAAAACTCTCGGCGAAGGAGATACGGGGCATCTAGACCTACTAGTGGATTTGGACGAAGACTTGTATAGCAAGTTCGTCGAAGATGGGCATACATCTGGAGCCGATGACGAACCCTCCTCCCCAACTCATTATCAGCCATTTCCAGAGTCTCAACGCTTCATTGGTTCCAGCCCTCGGAGAAATGGGGCCCATGATGCTGACGCCAGAACTCCCACTCCAGCCTTGAAACACAATCCGTTTCTAGCTGAAAGTAAGACACCAGGATCTGTGATGGCCCTGAGCCAGCTGTTTAATGCCACGCAAGCTTCATCCTCTCCGTTAGCGAACGTCCCTCGGCCAGAGTTATCCTCGGATATGCCTTCCCCTAATTTCCCTGTTCAAAGCCGGCAGACAGCTACGTCTCTCTTTTCGCCACTCCAAACTACCTCGCCAGCTCCTGGGTCCGGCTGTGTTGAGCCACAGGACGTCTATATCTCTGTAAAAGAATCTCAAGAAGCGCGTGCAAAACTAGTCGACCAGCAGGAATCGCTCTCGAAATCTAATTATGCGTCAGATAATCTCAGTGATGACGGTTTTTTCGCCAACGACGAATCGCTTCAACGTCGACTACGCGAGAAGGAAGCCGAGAATGAACTCAGAAAGCAGTTTGAATGTGTTACGGCTCCATCAAGGTCGAATTCCCGCAGAGCTCGCCAAAAAGCGGCTGGGACGTCGTTACCGAAAAACTCTCCGCACGTCCGGTCCGAAAGCATCTCGTTACCTGTGGCGGATAAAAGCGCGGAGAGGGCTCCTCAGACAGAGATTGGGCCGGAGAGTGAACTGGAGACCGAACAAGAAGATGAAATCATTGGCTCTCGAGACCCTAACCCTTCCACAGTTAATGGAGATGATGATAAAGAAAACGTTGATAATGGACCCGTTCGACTCTCCAACCCAACTGCTCTCGCACATGATGCACTCTCACAGGTGCTAGATGTCGAGGAAGGCCTTTCCACCCCTCGACCAAATTCAACTCATCTCCCGGAGCCCCTGACCTATCAGTCCCAGCCGTTAAGCACCCTTAATGGAGCAAGCGCAGCCAATGAAAGTGACGATTCACATCGGGAAATGGTGCTAAACTCCCAATCATCTACAGGAGATGTCGAGAGCACTCAACTCAAGCCCGGTTCTGGGAGAGACGATGCTGAATCATGTGACCAGCCTTTGGATACCATAATTTTGGGCCAAAATCCAATGGTTTCCAATCCTCACACACAGTCGTCACCAGAGCCCCTTGCCACGGCGGTTCGAGGATCATTAAGTCCTGACAAGGAATCAATGCGGCCCCCTGCACCAGTTACCGAGGTTCTTGCATCTTTTTCCACTGCATCAAAACTTCGGTCTCCGGCAGGACCTCTGGACTGTTCTGAAGACGTCGCTATTCCTGAGAGTGGAGTTCTTGAACGCAGCGGCCAAGCCGAAGCTCACCGTGACACCATCAATCCCAAAGATGATAATATGAACGAGGACACAATTATGGTATCGTTTGTTTACGATACCCCTACCCCACGTCCTGCCGAGACTCAATGTTTCCAGCGCACTATACCGGAAACTAGCCCAGATGATCAAAGGATGCCCTCCTCAACCCTTTTAAGCGATCCCTCTAAATCTAAGGATAGTCACGAGCTACCTGAAAGTGACGATTTACCTGCAATGTCCCATATCAATACTCAAAACGTTAGAGATCCCGCATCAGCAGGTTGGCTCCGAAGGAACATTTCGAATCGGCTTCCTTCTATTCTTTCAAGTCCAAGCGGCCGTCAGCGCCGGTCCATGACAGACATTGCCTCTGACCAGTCTCCACTACGGGCAACGCCTCAAATTCAATTTGATGACATCAGCCTGATGACCACAGACGACAAAACATTCCAGGAAATAATTTCAGAGTCGGATGGTCATGCAGCGAAAAAAAGAAAGTCTAATAGTGGCAGAGGGATTTATGCTTCTTCCAAACTCACTTTGCCTCGGTTTCATGGCCACAAAAGTCTATATGAGACGGCATCTGACCCTCTAGATGGGCCAGGAAGCGAGCGCATCAGTGGGACAGGTACCCTTAGTTCTATTAATTCTGCGACTCTACGAACTCGAAAGAAGATTAACCCAGTATCGAAAAGCATTTGGGAGGTGGATGATTCGCCTCAGAGAAAGGTGCAGGGCTGTGTGCCCCACCGAAACCCGCCAAAAATCAAAAAGCCATCAATTACCAAAGGCCTAAAAGGTGGGAAGAAGGGCTATTCAGTTGCAGAAGCCGTCGTCATCTATACTCAGTCAAGCTCTTCGCCGGTCCCAACAGAAAGGATCTCGTCCGATCCTCCAGTCCGCGAGGAGACTCCGCCCCAAGAATGCGCTGACGCGATGGCAAATCCTTCCATCAAGAAATTTGATTTTTCAAATCAAATTTTTGCTTTTTTTAACGGACAGCCGCATGGCTATTATCCGGCTACTTGTGTTGGTGTATCCAATGATGTTGGTCGTCAACGTTATCTGGTTTTGTTTGAGGATTCAGAGACACCAGAAGAGCTGGATATGTCCAGCGTGAAGAAACTCGAGCTAAATGTGAATGATACCGTCAAAGTATTTTCACTGGACCTGCCAAAAATACCTTATCGGGTCGTTCAATTGACCGATAAGCTTGCCCCAAATGCTCCATGCACTCCTGGAAGTCCGCCTCCTCTAACTGATATACATGGACATGCATCGGTGGTTCTGGCGCCAAAACAAGAACAAAAATCGCTCGGTAGACGACAGAATGTTACTGTACCAATCTCTAGAATATACCTGGACAAGAACCTCTGGTCGAGACTGGGAGTAAGGCCATATTCATTTATATCTCCGAGTAACTTGACGTCGAGACTGCAAACTCCAATGGATTGTGGTGAAACCAGCTTTGCTCCCAGTGCTGCCCGCACCCCGCACAAAGAGACCTCGGGAGTGGGAATTTTCAGTGGTATGGCATTCGCCATTTCATATACTCATAATGGAAAGGAATTATCTCGCTTGGAGCGCTTGATTCTAAGAAATGGAGGTCGAATATTGAAGGACGGGTTTGATGAACTCTTTCATCTCCCATTCTCGTCTTCCGCGGCGGACGAAAAGACGCACGACCTGGTTCTGACATCTCGAGCTGAGCAGCTCGGGTTTGTCTGTCTGATCACTGATAATTATTCCCGACGTCCCAAATATCTGCAAGCACTTGCACTCAACCTACCTTGCTTATCAGGTCGATGGGTTGATCACTGTATCTCTGACAACACAATCATTAACTGGGAACCGTATTTGCTTGCTGCAGGTCCATCCATGGTCCTTCAAAAGGCCGTGAAGTCTAGAATCCTTTCTCCTTACCCTGCATCCACAGCACGTCTGAGTCACACTATCCAACGACGTCCCAGGCCTCTCACTGGACAACATGTGTTGATCATCACGAACAGCAGGCATTCAGCAGAAAGGAACCCATATGCCTTTTTTACGTATGCACTAGGTCCCAATAAGGTTACACATATCCCGGATGTGCAGGGAGCCATTGACCTGTTGAGTCAGGACGCTTGTTCACCAACAAACCGGGAACAGGATACTTTGTCTGACTGTGTCTGGATATATGCCGGAGATGAAGAATCGGAATCGGCTAAAGCAGCGCGCAAGCTGCTCCTATATACGTCCGGATCAGCGGCACCCAGGCCTTCAGGAGCTCGAGGCCGTGGCCGTCCTCCAAAGAAGCGAAAAAAGGCTTCGGATTTGGGGGATGATAACGAATATCACGATATTGATGAGTTTCGGATCAGCGGAAGGAAGGTGAGGGTTTTGGATCACGAATATATTTGTCAAGTTTTGATTTTTGGGAATTTGTTTGATGGATGGGCGGAAATACAGCAGGAGTGTCACGAGTAAATTTGCTACTTTCGTGATTTCAAACCTCTACACCAGCATACGTTTCGAGGGGGCCATGTCTATTATTCCAAAGTTTACCGTTAACGGTCCCTTTAGAAAGACATCTTAATGGCACTTGATGCCTTCTTGTCTCGTATCAATGGGAGTTAAAATGTCGAGTCACATAATCTATCCTCATCCAATCTGCCCAACGTAGTGAGATACCAAGTAATGGCCCCGTTTACCATGGCAGTCATGCTTCCAACGGATAAACAGGGGATAAACTGTCATACGCCGGTTAACCGAGGAGAAAGCGGTAAAATACACAGAAAAGGTCCCGGCTCAACTTCTGCCATCTATGGTACAAGAAAACTAAAAAGCCCGAACTCCACTAAAAGCTAAGTTGGAATAGCATATGGCGTCCAAATCCGCTTGTTCATCATTGTTTCGCCTTGACTTTGGTCTTTTTCCGGTTCTTCAAATCCTTCATCTGAGCAACGCGCTTGATCTTCTCCGTCTTCTTCCTCCATGCCGTCCACCGATCCTTTCTCCTCCATTCTTTCACGGTGATCCCAGCCTTGTCGGGGAGACGACCGATCTCCCAGTTACCTTCACGGTACTGATAACCGGGTCTGAGTGGCGGGGTGGCGCTCTTTTCAGGCACAACAGCTACATCTTCGACCGGCATCGGGGCCGCAACCATGCCCAACCGTCTCTTTGTAGGTGCGTTTCTCGGGTAGGGAAGGACGTCCTCCCTAGCAAACGCGACGCCAATATATTTCCTTGTAGGATGCTTTTGCGGGTCGCGGTAGTACTTCACATATCCCGTCTGTAGTGCATAAATCGTGTGATCGCGCCCTATGCCGCAATTTTCTCCGGGAAACCATTTCGTCCCTCGCTGGCGGAAGATGATGTTTCCTGGGATCACGTATTGCTCGCCGGTCTTTTTGGCGCCCAGACGCCTTCCGGGTGAGTTTTTGGAGTGCGCGTTTGCTGCACCTTGGGTAGCGTGGGATGCGTAACGGAATTGAGCGCCGAGGCGGGACGGGTGTAGAGGAGTGATGTTATGGGGTGCGGTGATGGATGTTCGTTGCTGGAGGAATTGTGACGGCTGTTTAGGGGCCTGAAGGAATGGGACAAAAACTCTTTCGAGTACCCGAAAGGGCGCTCGGAACTGAGGCTGAAGCATTGTCTCCAGAGAGGTAGACCGAGACCAGTACGCAAGTCTCGATCGCGAGTTTGCGCTCGAACGTCGAATTGAGCTTGCGGAGGACGGAAAAAAGTTAAGAGGTCACGTGATACATGATTTTCGCCCAGACGGCTTCTTGGCTGATGACAAGCTTCAGCGGACAGGGAAAAGGGCGACTGCGAATCGAGACAGCTGGCCTGTTGGAGCACATCGTCACCTCCCCAGCATCCCTGTGCAGAAGGCATCGCAGGACAACACGGAGTGTTAGGAAAATGGCTCGCATATCCATCAATGCCATCTTGGCATTGCTCATCTTCATTTCGACGGCACACGCCCAATTCCAGTTCTTCGAGCAAATGTTCGGCGCTGGAGGACAGCACCGGGAATCTCAGGACCAAAGAAATGTCCCCAGCGACAGTGCCTGGTATCAAAAGACGTATGATGGGGGTATGTCTTTTACATTTTCCTAGACAAAGCTTGAAAGTTAATCACGAAATGATGTTGTAGCCCAGTGCTCCAATTATCTTTGTCCTGGAACCCTAGCTTGCGTGCATTTTCCTCATCACTGTCCTTGCCCGCATCCGCAAGTTGAAGAGAAGTTCGAACTCGGCGAGGGAAGCGCCATCTGCATTTCACGAGGCGGCTTTAAAGCCGGCGAAGCCGCACGGAAGGTTGAATTAGCTAGGAAAGGCTTGCTGTGATGGTATGGGAATTTAGTTTGATGGGAGACAAAATCGAGTTTGGTTATATTGGTTTCCTTGCATTCAGGTATCGGGATATCTTGCATGGTGTTACGGAGTGAAGTCAAGGAAGGCATGGCCCCGATAACCTCTTGAATTGACTGTCGGATTGGTTAAAACTGTCAGCGAAGGGCACTGGAGATAAATCAGATGTATAAAATAGAATACGGGTATCAAAATATAGACGTTCCCCTTCAAAAAGTTGGCGGATCCCTGAACAATTTTTGCCCTGGAAATGGAAAGCTACGCTGTGGATCACTTTGTTCAAATGCTCGCAAAATTTATTTAGAGCTTGGAGCAACATAGTTGAATATAATCCAAGTACAAAGTCTACAGTCTGTGGTGTCTACAGTTCCCATTTCTTAAGCCTTTCTAGTGGACTTTACCAGTGATAGAAGCGCCCTCGATATCCACTGGCTGATCAATACTCCTGTCTATCTTTTCTGCTCCAATTTCGTGTGATGTCATCATGTGGCCTAGGCGAATAACACTCAGCACGCCGCGCCTGTCACTCGGTAGAACCGCACGATCATCGCGAGATCCCAGAATCTCGCGGCGCCCAATCCGGAAAAGCTTCCCTCGACCTAATCAACGAGCTAGGAGGGCGCGCCCGTCAAACAGCCAGCCGCGTGATGATACCCAACAGCAGCCCGGCCAGCCCTCAGAGCTTGGTCGGTCAGCGCTTGAAGCTCTCTCCTCCACGCTCCATGATACCAATCCGCAAAATAACAGTTTACTTGCGCCGGTGCATATTCCAGAAGACCCGAGTGCTGTGCTCAAAGATGGACACCCCGCGACTCGAATATTGACCAACTCGGGATTGGTGGTCCAAAGACAGTTGGAGATGATGAACGTCCTGCTGTAGGTTTTTAGATCTTATTTCATATTGAGGAAAGAGGGTATTAAGATTCGTCTAGTGGTTTCGAACAAGCAAATAGATATACGATCCTTGATGCTCATGGAAATCATGTGGGGTATATGGCGGAACAAGACACTGGAATGGGAACCATCATGGGCCGCCAATTTCTTCATACTCACCGACCGTTTGTCACCCACATTTTTGATATACACCAGAACGAAGTATTACGGGCATGTAAAAATTCTAGTTTTATCTTCAGGAGCTAAAAGAGCGTTTGACGGCTAACAAGAATAGTTTCACCGCCCGTTTGCTTTGATAAACTCGCGGATCCGAGTTTACGATCCTCTAGAAGCGGCAGACGCGACACGGTCTACCGCAGCAGTTCATTTAGCAGCGGGGCCTACGGGAGGCGTTGCTAGACTCTCCACTTTGGATCATTCTCAGATGCGCGTGATCGGAGAAGCGCAACAAGAGTGGGCTTTACTACGGCGGAAATACAATCTGTTCCTTTTCCATGAGCCTCCAGTCAAGGAAACCAAACTCTCCACCCAAGCGATTTCTTTCTCAAGTTCTGATTTATCGAAATCTCAACAATCACAAGTATCTCTAGCATCGGGCGGCCCTTCGCAGGCCCAACGAACACAATTTGCCTACGTCAACGAACCCGTGCTTTCGTGGGATTTCTCCCTCCGAACCGCGAATGAGCAATTGATTGGTTCCGTCAACCGCAATTTCGCAGGGTTTGCCAGAGAAATCTTCACTGATACCGGCGTATATGCCTTGCGCATGGATTCTGCCGGTCTGGAAGAGCAACGGTTACGAGAGGCGACAGCGAGGGCGCAGGCTCACCCAAACATTGCACCTCCTGAATGGGAGACGCCGCCCCCTATGACGTTGGATCAGCGAGCAGTAATGCTGGCTACTGCTGTCAGCATTGATTTTGATTACTTCAGCCGTCATAGCGGTTCTCCTGGCATTCTACCTTATGGGATGTTTGGACTCGGTGGCGCAGGTGCTGAAAGTGTAGCTGGCGGAGCTGCGGCAGGGATGGCTGGGGCTGGCACTTTAGCTGGCTACGAAGGGATGAGGAGCGGGGCCTCAGCAGAACAAGATCCAAGCCAAGTCCCGCAGCAACATGAAGGGGAAGATGCTAGTCCTGGCGAAACTACTTGCGATGAGCAGGGCCCCGGCTACTGGGAAGAGCCAGTTGACGAGGAGACTTTCCAAGATCATCATCAGGATGAGTGGCCCGGAGAATCTGGGGAGGGTGACGATTCGTGGTCGGACTTTTTCTAGCCTGATATGATATCAGGGTTGTACGATATGAAGGATATAAAGACGCTTATTAAACGATCAGGAGTATCTCTGAAGCCTAAGCAGTAATGCATATCTGATGAAGTGACACTCGACATGACCCATGTTTTCATGTATTGCTTTTCCACCACAATCATCTTGAACAGTGATAACTTGTTAATTAACTAGTTAACTAGTTAACAAACATGCAGTGGGCGGATTACATAACATTGCCCCGGATTTAGCATCAAACCTTATTCTTCACCGTTCCGAATTGCCGCCGACTCCCGTCAGCATTCGACCAGGTGAGCTTCAAGCTTCCCCCAAACCACCGAATTGGCTCGGCTTTTCCAACGGACAACTCGCCAATACACAGTTTCTTCTAATAAAATTCTTTTTTATAAACACATAGTCCGTCATCTGCACCGATCCACCTCAGGTCACCGCTCCTCAGCTGCCCTCTCACAAAACCCCGCCTCCCGCCTTCGTCATGGCGTCGTCCGTCGCGCAAAGGCGCCTATTCCACGAATACAAGATGCTCTCCACCTCTCCGCCTGACGGGATCACAGCTGGGCCCGTTTCCGAAGATGACATGTTTGTCTGGGAGGCTCTGATCCAAGGACCTGAAGGCACACCCTTCGAGGGCGGCATATTCGCCGCGGAGCTCAAATTTCCCAAAGACTATCCCCTAAGTCCTCCCTCTATGAAGTTTCTAGGCGGAGGAGTATGGCATCCAAACGGTAAGCAGACTACTTGCCTTTTCCTCCCCCCTCCCTTCTCTTTGTCGTCCTCCGGAGGGTCGTCTGTTGCTGACGTGGTATCTGTTTTGTGTGTGTGTATATAGTGTATCCGAATGGCTCGGTGTGTATCTCCATCTTACATCCGCCCGGTGATGATCCGAACCACTATGAGCATGCGTCGGAGCGCTGGAGCCCGATTCAAAGCGTGGAAAAGATTTTGATCAGCGTTATGAGTATGTTGGCGGAGCCGAACGACGAGAGCCCGGCAAACATCGAGGCTGCTAAGATGTGGAGAGAAAGGCGAAGCGATTACGAGAAGAAGGTGAGAGAGGAAGTACGAAGGAGCTTGGGCCTCTGATGCTTACTTCTTTTTGCTTACATTATGGGAAAAACTATCTCGATTTTCGGCATTGCGCCCATGGACAAACCTAAGATGATTATTACTTCGACATTGGCCGAGCGCTTTAGCCAGTACTTTTGTCTTTTACTTTTGTCTTTTCTTTTTCTTTTTTTTGGGTAAGGGAACTGCATGTAAGGCGCTAGGAAATGCAGATTAGAAAGCGTGGATACTGCTTTTCACCTGGGCACTTGATATCATATTTAAATAAATCTCAACCAAGCTGAATCACCTTTTTAACTTCCTGTCCAGCCATCCTTCAATGCCACCAGCTTTCTCATATAACACTTCAATTTCCGCCTTGGCATTCACCATGAGCATTCTCTGTAATTCTAGCCTCCATTCCTGCTCTCTCTCATCTGAGAAGATCACACTATGCGATAGCATTGCTTGGGCCCTGGTCCTATCGCGAAGAGTCATAGGAATAAGCGGACGGTCAACATCCGCGTTTCCAGGTATGGCAGTATCGGAAGCCCGTAACCCCAGCCATTCGACACCGGGAACATTCAGATTCGCATTTTCATGACTTTGGGATATGGATCCATATTTATAAGTTGACATGATCGCCATCCCATCTGGATCACAGTCCACAAGAACATATATTGGGATAAAACGGGCAGGCGAGTTCCTCCATTCAGATATTGAGCGGAGGAAAGCTCTTGTGGATAGGTCCGGATATCCTTTACCCTAAAATTACATACAACCATGCTGGATCAGCACTCAGGTGGAAGCTGATGGTAGAAGGTATTCTTACCGTTATCAAGATACCTCCACCTGCGGCCGATGTCGCATGATAGTTCGATGTGGCCAGACGGTGAAATACAGCCTTCGTTCAAAGTTAGACTTATGATTTTGTCACCCAAAAAGTAAAAACCATCGTTGTTCCCTTTGGGATATTTATGTACCTCCTTTTCAATTATCAGTATCCATCTGACACCCGACAAGTCAAATCCGACTATCTCATGAGCCCTTGGGATAAGAATTCCCTATATCGTCCGTTAGCACACCTCTACATGAGCTCGCGCAGGGCTTCATGAACCTCGCCATGCTCCCCAACCTTCAGTACAGATCCATTTTGGAGGTTAATTTTGTAACGACCAACTGTCAACCCTTTCGCTGCTGCTGACTACTTAAGTCAACCCCGGAATGAGTATCATGGCTAGGGAACGAGTTTCACAATGTACCACATGCAATGCCGCCCGGTCGACACCAACCGTATAGGCGATATCATCAATATATCCATCCACCAGTCTCTGAGAACCGAAGTATGCTGGGTCAAGGTAGTATATATCTCGTTTGGAGGAGATAAATTTGCCCTCGATAGCTTCTGAAATGTGCCCTAGAATCCGCATAATGACACCTAAACTTACATTATGAGACAAAGAGTTGAGACGGCCGATAGAGTCCCAGGAAGTCTGCAACTCTGAAAAAAAGGGGGTGCATGATGTCTTACCAAATTTCCAGGCATCGGTTACCGTCTTTCCGGGCCAGGAATATGTAACACTCCACTCCCTGCCATTCGTATCTACTTGCAATGCCCCAGTCTCCTCGTTCAATGAGCAATTGTTAGCCCGTTTAGACCGGCGTTTCAGCGTCACTGACGGCCGCCCGTCAGGCTTTGACAGCTCATCGAGAACGGAAGCAAGCGTAGACTCGATGAACTGCTTGACTCTTTCCTGATGAGGGCGGCCGTTTGCATCGTCCTTCGGGTCGCCAGAAAGAGCGGGCATTGCAAAAAAAAAAAAAAAAAAAAAAAGGCACGACGAACCCCAGCGTGAGATCTCGTCGCTCTCCCACGAAGGCGATTGACGGAGGGACAGGTCGTCGTTGCGGCTCCTTCCCGCGCGGCACGTGCAATGGATGCGGCTCAATTTTTATGGGATCCGGAGAAGTACACAGCAATTTTTATCAATTATCAGGGCTGCACAGTAAAGATAGATCTCTCTACTCCGTATGCTGCAGTGGCAATGAATAGCCTCTGCATGCCCGGGAACTACAGACATCCCATGGTTAATGGCCCTTTGGAACCTGGTCATTCACCTCATGGTTGGTGAATCTGTCGGAGAACCACATCACAAGAAAGCAAGCACTATTCATATTCATTGGCTCCCAGCATGATATCATATCCGGAGTTCTCCTGTGCCAAGTGAAGAGCTGGGGTATCTCGAGAAGGTCACTTTGGTTTCTAAATGGCATCCTTACACCATGTTGCGTGCTGCGATGGTCGGAGATTGCAGCTTGGCGCCAAGTCACATCAAGCTTTTCCCGATCACCGGTTCAATCTTACTAGCGCCGATACTAATAAATACCGCAAGCCTTGACGGCTTGGCGTTCTCCTGGATCGTCGATTAAGCTTCAGGTGCCACCTGGTCCACGCCGCAGTTTCAAGTTCGCCGAACCGAGATTGGTTGCGCTTTGACTGGTACTAATAATAATACTAAAATGACGGGCCGAAACACAAGAGCGGCCAATGAGAATGGCTCCGTGCGTTCCGGACAGGGTGGAGCGGACGACCAGACCGACTATTCAAGGTGGCGTCTACTCAACGATTGTGGAAGACAAACCTGGCACTACTTGACAGCGGCGCGGGAGCTGGAGCAGTGGCCCCAGTCCATCGCTGATAAGTACCACCTTGGCCTCCCAACTGTTTGTGGTACATTCCTGCCCTGCGGCCTTCCTGTTACTAATCCAAGACTTTTTCTTGAACAGGGCCTTCCCGAGTTACCTCGTGCTACATCTCCGGTTGAAGCCGCCGAGAACGGGCTCTCGTTCCTGTCACACCTGCAATTACCCCCAGGGAACTGGGCCTGCGAGTATGGCGGTCCTATGTTTTTGCTCCCCGGTCTGGTTGTCACCTGGTACGTGACCGGGACATCCGTTCCTCCACAGTTCGCGACAGAGATCAAACGGTACCTGTTCGCACGCCAGCACCCCAAAGATGGCGGCTGGGGTCTCCATATTGAAGCCCACAGCTCCGTGTTCGGCACTGCAATGAACTATACAGCACTGCGCCTCCTGGGTGCCAGTGCAGAAGACCCTCGAATGATCAAAGCCCGTGGTTTGCTTCACAAATTCGGTGGCGCAGTGTATGGACCTCATTGGGCGAAGTTCTGGCTTAGTGTGTTGGGCGTGATGGAGTGGGAATGTGTCAATCCTTTGCCCCCAGAACTGTGGTTGGTGCAACATTCTCTTTGTCGCATTTTAATTTCCACCCCTTGCTAACCCTTGGCATGCCAGGCTCCTGCCCGACTGGGTTCCGTTCGCTCCGTGGCGGTGGTGGGTTCACATGCGGCAAGTTTTTCTTCCCATGGCATATATTTACTCTAGACGGTTTTCTCACCCTCTGGATGGTCTCACAAGCCAATTACGACAAGAGCTGTACACAGAACCATATGAAGCCATTAGCTTCGCCTCGTACAGAGGCACAATTGCAAAAGAGGATAATCACTCTCCCAAGTCCTGGATTTTGAACGTTATCTTCTGGTTTGTTGTCAATATCTGGAATGTGTACCTCCGATGGCCGGCTCTTGTGAAAAAAGCAGAGGATCGGGTGTGGTATCTAATCCAGCGTGAAGACGAAAATACAGATTATGCCGATTTGGGACCAGTCAATGCGTCCATGAATACTATTTGCTGTTACATTCATGATGGTCCTGGAAGCTTCCCAGTCCATCGCCATCTGGATCGCTTACATGACTTCCTGTGGATGAAAAGTGAGGGCATGCTGATGAATGGTACTAATGGTGTCCAGGTTTGGGATACTGCATTCATAATACAAGCGGCGGTTGTGACTGGATTTGCAAATGACACAAGGTGGCGGCCAATGCTGATGAAGGCCCTTGAGTTTCTAGAAGCCCATCAAATGCTGGAAAATATTCCAGAGGAAGAAAAGTGTTATCGCTTCCGGGCAAAGGGAGCTTGGCCATTTAGCACCAAGGTTCAAGGGTACACCGTCAGTGATTGCACTGCTGAAGCTCTCAGGGCCGTACTTCAGCTGCAGAACCAACTTGGATTTACTCCTTTGATACTTCAACGCCGCTTAAAGGACGCGGTGGACACACTTCTAGAGATGCAACATGATACTGGTGGCTTCGCGGACTACGAGCCTACAAGAGCGTCTCGACATATTGAGTTCCTGAATGCTGCCGAGGTCTTCAACGGAGTTATAGTTGGTAGCGATTTTACAGAATGCACAGCGGCAGCGATCACTGCTCTGTCATACTTTAGTAGGTTTTACCCAGATTACCGAGTCGACGATATAAAGAGAGCTCAAGATAAAGCTGTTGCCTATATCCGGCGAGCACAAGAGCCAGACGGGAGCTGGTATGGTAGCTGGGGGATTTGCTTCACATATGCGGCCATGTTTGCTTTGGAAGCTCTTGCAATGGTTGGCGAAACCTACGAAACTAGCCAGAGAGCTCGTCGCGGGTGCCAGTTCCTCCTTGATAAGCAAATGGCGGACGGTGGCTGGGGCGAATCATACCACAGCTCCGTGTCGAAAACTTACACTCATTCAAAAACATCACAGGTGGTGCAGACTGCATGGGCTTCCCTTGCATTAATGGAAGCCGGCTACCCGAACCGAGAACCACTCCGGAGAGCAATGAACGTGATCATGCTGAAACAGCAGCCTAATGGAGAATGGCTCCAAGAAGGCATTGAAGGTGTTTTCAATCAGTCATGGTACGTTGTCAGGCATTTCGATTTCAAGGCGAAAGCAACTGCTAAAAATTGATTACAGCATGATCTCTTACCCTAACTATAAGCTCTATTGGCCAGTTCGGGCCCTTGGACTTTACGCAAAGAAATTTGGAAATGAAGATATTCTATGATTGATGCCCACGCCCACCCTAATTCCCACCAAGTCTTTGGCTATTTCAGATGCATAGCTAGCGTGAACGGCATGAGTTTGGACCTCCAATTTTTCTTTTTCTTTTTTATTTCTTTTTCCCCACCTTCCTTTGTTTCTTTTTGGAGTTTATCCAGGGCGTTTCTTCTTTTCCTTTGAAGACAGATAACTAGATGTCATCCACAATACGGAGTAGACACGTTCAATACAATCGTGATCTCATCAGCTAAATGAGACTTTTGGGGGGGATCATAACCACGTGATCACCAGTTCAATTTACCAGAAGCTGCCAGAACCAACAACAGTGATCAGGAGCATTTTGATGAACATAATTAGTAGCAAAGTGAAGACTCGTGATCCTAGGCCTCAGCATTTCCCACTTCTAGGCCTGATGATTATTTCCATTGCTACATTTGGTCATCTCAAGTTGGTATTGAACTCTCACACCTCTTGAGCGGATCTACAAACCATGACGCTGCTAACCCAGAGACAGCTACGCCCCGCCTTCGTCCTGACGCCTGCTTGCTCTTCCCGCTTCAGCCCGAAACCAGCCTAATTTTCCAAATGGATGACGCTGCCCAGGGTGCAAAGGCGCTGACTGCCTCGGACTTTCCATCTGCCATAAAACATTTCACACGGGCCCTGACGGTCAACCCCCACGCGACAAATTACTACGTCAAACGGTCAACCGCGTTCTCGCGCCTGAAACCAGAGGATGGAGGACCGAACGGCGAAGCGGCTCTTCGAGATGCTGAGATGGCGGTAGCTCTTGGTATTCAGCGCGCAAGACGAGAGTTGATCATAGCGGGTCAAATGAGAAGAGCTATTGTCCTGTATCAGCTGGGCCGATTCGGAGATGCCGATTTCTTGTTTAAGATACTGAGGAATAAGCTGGGCAATGCTGCTGATACCAACTCAAAGGACAAGGCAATGGCGGCAATGGGACTCACGGATGCGACAGCGGCGACTCGTGATAGCAGCGTCAAGGACCAGGAGCTGCAGATCTGGGAGGTCAAGGTCAAGTCTCAACTTAGTAAACTAGCGCCTGGGGATGAGAAAGCGAATGTGACCATTGCGGAAATCCCTAGCGTCGTCGTTCCCGACACAGGGGTGTTGAAAGAATTGCATCAGGCTCAGCTGCGAGAAATGGAAAGTGGCGTTGAACCGTCATCGCTGCAAGTCGAAAACAAGACGCAGGGACAACAGAACCAGCAAGAGACACCTGGTAAAGCTGCCCATGGCGCACCTTCTGAAAGCCAATCGCAATCTGCTCAAGTGTCTACGTCTCAAGGGCCCGTAACCGCAAAGCACAGGCATGAGTGGTATCAGAATCATAACACTGTGGTCGTTACGTTATACGCGAAGGGTGTTCCAAAGGATAAAGCCGAAATTGAGATTCAAGAACACTCTGTATGACGACTCCTTCGATTTTTTTATGTTTCATTCCGGATGTACTGACCTTTCCACCTTTGCAGTTATCAATTTCATTCCCAACAAGCACCGGTTCCGATTTTACCTTTGACTTGGACCCGTTATACGCTGCTGTTGATACCACAGCTTCCAGATATTCAATCATGTCGACTAAGATTGAAATTATTCTCCATAAGAAACAACCTGGCCAAAAGTGGGCATCCCTAGAAGGAACTACGGGTCCCGCACCCCAATCAACCACATCTTCAAGCTTTCCTCTCCCGTCCGTTCCCACTTCGGCTCCAACCAAGGCACCTTCGTATCCCACGTCTGCTCGTGGTGGCGCTAAGAATTGGGACAAAATAGCAGCAGATCTAAGCAAAAAGAAGAAATCAAACAGTGGAGACCAAGGCAAGGATGAAGATATGGATTCCGATCTCGAGGAATACAACTCTGGTGATCCGGTCGATGGCTTCTTCAAGAAACTCTATGCTAATGCTGATGACGATACGAGGCGCGCGATGATGAAGAGTTACTATGAGAGCAAAGGGACGGCATTGAGTACTAATTGGAGCGAAGTCAGTAAAGGGCCAGTTCAAGAGCATCCTCCTTCGGACGACTAGAACATTAAATCAATATTACGACGCGACGCGTACCAATCTCCGATCATATAGTCTTTTTCTTTTTCTTTTTACCATTCTTCGTCACGCAAGGCGCTTTGGGGTTCGGATTTGGTTAATTAGGTGAAATAACTTGAAAGCTAGTGCAAGGTTGCCTTTCACCCCCTAACCTGGCCTTTCTTGCTTTATTGCCCGATAATGATCTGGAGTCAGCTGCAAAGATGTATTCTAATAAACAGAAAACTTCAACTCCAGCTACATGTTGAGATCGAGAATTGACAAGCTTGTCCAATGAATAAACATGACTTCAAGTTCTTTTCATTTGTCATGGCAAACAGCGTGCTCCCCGGACTCCCTATAATGATCAAACAAAATAATAGTATACGTCATTCACGAAGCAATAGCTCAAAGTAACATCAAGTAACCCGCCCAAACTTTCCAAGTTCACAATATGATACAATGAACCATTTTTCTCCTATATTGTACATTCCGTGCAATAAGCACAGCCTCAGACGCCTCTACCATTCAAATCCAACAGAAACGCTCCTTTTTTTCCTTTTTTTTTTTTTTTTTTTTTTCATCTGATCATGGAATCGTCATATTCTTCTTCTTTCTCTCGATACATAATGAACTGCGCGAAAATCGCCAGATCCAAAAACAGTGTTCCCAAGCTACCCAATAGCCATGATGCGTTGACTAGTAAATATCTTCCATATATCCTTCGCTGCTCACCAGGCTGACAATGGCCCCTCGTGTCCGCGCAGATGGGCGAATATGCAAATATCGAGAGCACGTAGGTTAAGTTTCCAACGCAGGCGAAAAGGAAGAAGAGAAGAGACACTCCTTCTGTACTCTTTCGGCGCCAATTCAATAGTAACTGAGGGATACGGCTACCCAGATAGAATGCTGCGCAGAGGTATCCAAATACTTGGCCCAGGGAGTCGAGAGTCAGCGCGGGATGCTCGGGCTGTCGCTTACTGCGTGATGTAGCACGCATGCTGACGTACCAGCCGAGTATACCAGCGGCGCAGACGAGTGCAATGGCAAAAGAGTTCCACACCAGCTTTTGGATTGTAGTTGTAGGTTTCGAGATGGCGCGAACGGATGGTTTAGAAGGTTCAATGAGCGGCATTGCGGGAGAAAGATGAGTGCTGTCGACCAGCCCTAAACGTTCGGAAATCGAGGAGAGAGAAGCTATAGATGTGCGGCGATCGACAGGATGGCGCTGTGGCTGCTGAGGGCCATGGTGTGTGGTATGAGGTGGGAGGAGTGCTGTTCGTTCCGTCTGAATTGGCGACAGTGGGCGTTGTTGCTCCTGCGCCTGGCCGTTTCCCGATGATGCGCCTTGAGTGGATTTCAGGCTGTGATCTGATAGCGTGAAGCCCCGGTAGTAGAAACACTGAGCCAATAAAACAATGTCGGCGAGCGTATAGTAAACCGCAAGGATGATCATAGTCGGGAGCACTCCCTGAAGGACTGCACCAAGGATGTTAAAGACATCCCCAGCCAGCCAGATGACGAGGAATAAAAGTGAGAGCCCATCGGCGGATCCACGACGGAAGTTTTCTATGATCTGAGGAGAGAATACGACGACCCAACAAGCGATTGAGATGGAGCTAGAGAATATTCAGTTAGGGAGCTTTGTTTAAATATATGGCGCCAATCCAACAAATATTTCAAGGAGGTAAGAAGAAATACCCGCAGATACCGCTAAGCGCTTCGAGATTCAGCTGAGCCGCGGGACTTGGAGGGAACATTGCGCCCTTCCAAGACTTCCTGCCAGCCAATGGCGCTTGACAATCTCGCAGTCACAATGCAATGAACTAATCCGTCAATTCTAAACGTTGAGCTATATTTGACAAGTCATAACATATAGAGCGCTGAGTAACAGGGTAAATGCTACACCAAAGCCCAAAACTGCGTTGACTGAATGGTGAAATTGGATACAAGAGTAGAGTTGGAAAAGAAACCCCATAGTCACGTGATATTAAGCTATTGGGATTTAAGGTTTTAGGTTTATGCAAAGGATCCGCAAAGTGTAATTATGACGTAACTAAAGAAACACGAGCATCATGTCCTGTCGATCGCAGCCCTTTTTTGTCTGAACTTTACAAATCCCAAGTTGCGTAGTTATTCACCGTGCGGAATGGCATTGCTTTCTTCATTCTATGAAATAGACACACATGAATGGAATAGAAAGAACTAAAACAGGTGCCAGGCACTTTTCACTGCACATCATCATGGCCTGTTGATGAGGCTATGTCTTTCCATTCATCCAAAAGTGCCAAGGTTTCCCTGCATTTCGTCCCAACACACTGAATCATGTCCGAGCCAAGTGGCAGCCGAATAGGAATATCACGAGCGGATGCCGTCCCGCTCTGAGTCAAGACATCAATAATGACGCTGCAGCCTTTGACCACATTTCCAAGTTGCTTGTTATTAACCTTGTCAAGATGATCTGCAGTCTCGTGGGCCGCAGTTCCGTCGTAATGGGCAAGGCGATTCATCGGTCGATTTCGATTGCCCAGCTGCAATAAATTGGATCTGAAGTATCCTGGTTCTATTGCTGTCACAGTGATGCCGAAAGGGGCCAATTCGTGAGTCAAGGCCTCTGAGATGCAAGACAATGCCGCCTTGGTAGCGGCATAAACTCCACAACCCGGAATTCCAATCCATCCCGCCATACTCGATACATTTGCTATTATTCCGCTTCCCTGCTGTCGCATGTAGGGGGCAACAGCTCGAACAACGTTTAACGCACCAAAGACATTGGTGTTGAAACATGAAAGGACCTCTTCGGGACTTATTATACTCTGTTAGCTAGGTCCCTGGGAATTAGGGAATGTTTGTGAGTGATAGCCTGGGCATACCTTAACTCCTCAACGGCACCTTCTTGAACGAATGCTGCGTTGTTGACCAGGATATCTAATCTTCCGTATATATCGTGGGCGGCTTTGACTGTTTCTTCGATGGTTTTGAGACCCGCTGAGACGTCGAGGTCGAGAACCTCGGCACCAGCATCCCTCAGCGCAGCGATTCTGGAAACATTGCGTGCAGTAGCAATGACCTTATCGCCTCGTTCTAGGACCTGAATAGCAATCTCTTTCCCGAAGCCGGACGAACAGCCAGTAATCAACCACACACGGGGCGCCATGTTTGCAATTGGATATACGGGCGGTATGATCACGTAGGCAACGCTAGGTATTCTAGAGCTTTTCCAGCGGAAGATGGTCCCTTGAAGTAGGAGGTATTAATGCGATGAGATGAGATACGTTCATTTGGACACTGGAAATCACACTGGTTTATATATCTCACTGACATCCTGCAATCTTTGCTTGAACCAGCGAGCGTAGCCTTCGGGGTTAAGCATTATTAATGGGATAAAAGCCGGATATCCGGTTTAAGTCCGTGAAGATGGTCAAAATTCCTGGTCCACATTCGTAGGCAACACGGGACAATGCAAGGACAAGGGTAGATTGCCATCACAATTGCTCTTGTGTGACTCAACCAACAATCAAGCTAAAGGTTCGCATGAGTCGTCTAACTGACAATACAACAGCCCTGTGTTTATAGATATGGTCTGAGGGGGCTTTAATACATACAGAATAAACTATGAGTGTAGAAATTACTGTTTCAAACCACAAAGAACTCTTCTTTTTACTTTATGTAAATAGGGGTATCAGGACAACAAAAATGCACTATAATTGCCATTCCTCAGACGTCGGTGAAGGGCGCATACTCTACAAGCCTGGTTGCTTGGCTAACCAGGCTTCATGTTCCCTCTTCTGCCTCTCCCACTCCTTTTTCAGCTTCTTATATCTGTTCTTATTCAGATCCTCTCCTGCAGCATCCTTGAGCGGGATGCCATTTTCATCCCACGCGCTATATTCGTTTGTCCGGAACATAAGCAAATGGCTAAGTCTACCCCTCTCCGCCCTTTCTCTAGCTTCTTTCTCTCTAGCCTCTCTCTCTAACTGCTTCTTTCTTGCGCGGGCCACTTTCTCCTCCCTCGCTGCCATTAGCTCTCTCGAGACCGTTCGAACGAGCGCTGGCTTCTCATGTCTATCCTCAAGATATACTCCAAGATCAAAAAGATCGACATCCCGCAAACGATCGCACAGAGCCAAAATTTCTTTAGAGACGGTGTCTGACTGTTCAAATGATTCGAGTTTGGTGCAAAAATCGCTTAGCACCCTCTCGTATGGCTTGGCCTCCTCGGAAGGGGTTGGATTCTGCTTCAAAGCTTCTTCTCCTGTCTGCGCAACTGACTTGATAGTGTCCACGGAGAAGCCAGATTTGCTTCGAGCTTTCTCCCGAAGAACGTCTCTCATGGCTGACAAAGGATAAAGGAAAGCTTTGGCGGCTTCTGGAACTTCAATACCAGACCAACCGATCTCTTCTGAAGCTGGCATAGCCGAGCCGTTTAGACCAAATATATTAACCATGCTAGTAACCCATTTAGCAACGTCTTGGACGTCTTGAGCATTTAGTTTTGACTTATCGGCGCTGTTATACTGCGTAACAAGCCCCGAAATTGCTATCATGGCGCCAGCAGTGTTAAACGAGTCGCACAAGCTGTCATGCACGGCTTTCTGCGCAGCTTTCAATTGAAGCGCCAAAGAGTCGTCTGTTGACGATGATAGCTCGTTCTCGGCCGCCAAGTTTCTTACGCTGAGGAAGAAATTATTCAACTTCTCCTCCCAAGCATTTCCTGCCTTTACGAGGTCCTCTGTGATCTCAATTCCGTCTGCCCAATTTCCCATTAAAAACACAATGCGAAGACTTCTGGGAGTCCAGTCTCCCCTTTCGAGGGCCTCGCGAATGGTGGTGAAGTTCTTGAGAGATTTCGACATTTTGGAACCTTGAATGGACAGGTGGCCCATGTGAAGGAAGTAGTTAACCCACTGATCGTGACTACATCCTTTGTGCCAATAAGCCTCACTCTGCGCCAACTCATTGTCGTGGTGAGGAAATGCCAAGTCAATGCCACCGGAGTGAATATCCATCTGTTTTCCAAGTCTGGCAGATGCCATAGCAGAGCACTCTATATGCCATCCGGGACGACCTGGTCCCCAAGGGCTTGGCCAACTCGGTTCGCCAGCCTTGGATGCCTTCCAGAGGGCAAAATCTGCTTTCGATCGCTTCTCCACTGCTTTGTTGATTAAAGCACCTTCTCCGTCAGCCTGGAGTGCAGTATCATTCCTATTCCATGGTTCCAGGCGGGCATACTGATTCCCCGCGGCTTCGAATGCAGCAATATCGAAGTAGACGGATCCATCGGCAGTGGCATAGGCAAATCCGTGTTGGACTATTTGTTCCACGAAACTGACGATCTCGGGGATGAATTCGGTTACTCTGGTGACTTCATCCGCATCCAGGATATTTAAAGCTCGAGCATCCTCCATGAACCGGTCCTCAAACCTTTGGCTTAGCTTTGTAAAGATCGAGTAATCCTCGCCGCGAATAGACGGTCCTTTTAGGTTGTCCAGATATGGCAGCACAACGTCTTGCGCTAAGTCATAGAATGTCTCGCTTAGCATTGCATTCGGATCAGAAATGATATCGGATAGTGCCTTGGCTGCCGAAGTCGCGGTCCTTATGTGCATCTTGATCTTAGCTTCCGCATCTCCCGGCTTGCCAGTTCCACCGAGAGCTCCACCGTTCAGCACAAATCCATATTTGATTTCAACCGCCTCAGGGAACGCTTTCGGTATCGGGACGTGCTCCAGCAAGGGCAGGTTCTTTCTCACGTAGCTCTCGTAGGCGGATGTGATAGTTTCGACGACTGAATCATCGATGGTAGGATGGGACGTGACATATTCCATAAACAAATGCTGCTGTCTGGCTCTTGTGATAATCTATTGCCAATCAGCTATGACTCCTCTCCTACAAGAAACTGGTAAAAGAATCAAGTGTTTTTTGTACCTTGTCGTCCACATCGGTAATATTCATAATAAACTTAACGTCGAACTTGAAGTAATCACGCAACAGTCTTCGAAGTATGTCTGTGCTCACATAGTTGCGCGCATGTCCCAGGTGGGCGTCATCGTATACCGTCGGCCCGCAAGCATACCACGTTACCTTGTTGCCGGTGGGATCGAGGGGAACGAACGGGACCTTGGATCGAGTCAACGAGTTCCATAGCTTCAACGGTGGCAGCTTTGAGGCCGATTCGGGGCTGGGAGAGGGTTGCTTCCACGGTGGTTGCTCACGCGCGGCGGCCATAGCGGGGAAAATGCTGAACGATCTCAATAGGGCGGGGCGGAAACTCGACAGAAGCTCGTGCTTGGGGCTCAGCGAGGAGAGGGTGCGACGGAAGAGGAGCATATATAGACGGGAGGAGAGCAAGACCGCGGGATTGAGGGGCGGCTATGAAGGAAGCGAATGAGTCACTCTTGGACTGCGAGGAAAAGCTAGGTTACAGAGTGGAATCGGCGGCGTTTTTGTAGATTTCTTTTTTGCTGCTCGCGGGAGGATGTGGCACTAAGCCGGACGCGGTGGAGGAAATTTTGGTTGCTTTTTTTGGCGGGGATTCGAAGCAGGCCTCTCGCCGGCGCAGCCTGGAAAGCTTTGCAGGAAAATTTCTCCTCAACCAGGCGAGAACCCACGAATGGGAAGCATCTGACGAGTGAGCGGCCAGTGTCATCGCTGGCGCAATGGTTTCCCCGTTTCTGTCCTCCGAGCCCATCGCCGAAGAAGGGTCGCTGGCCATCCTCCATCTCCGTCGCAATCTTCTCACGCCCACAATCCTGAGCACACACGACGATGAGAACCTGGGCTACAAAGAAGGAAAAGTGACGAACACGCGATACGGTTCCTTCCCACACAGCACGTTAATAAACAAGCCATGGGGATCCCAGATCATCGCCTCCAAAGTTGACACCGGTTCGAGAGGCCGAAAGCCCAAGAATGGAAACGGGGCGAAATCGTTGAAAAGAAAGGCGGACGAACTCGACGTTTCAGAAGCCAACGAAGAGTCGAGGACGACAGAAGCCATTGCCACCACCAGCGGGTTTATTCACCTATTGCGACCTACGCCTGAATCGTGGACGTCCTCGCTCCCGCATCGAACGCAAGTCGTGTATACGGCAGACTACAGCTACATCCTTCATCGCCTTCGAGTACGCCCTGGTAGCTCTATCATAGAAGCAGGTGCCGGAAGCGGATCTTTCACCCATGCAGCCGCCAGAGCAGTCTTCAACGGGTATCCGTCTGACAGCAACAACCCGAAAAGACGGCGATTGGGGCAAGTCTCCAGCTTTGAATTCCACAAGACTCGAGTGCAGAAAGTCCGCGACGAGATCAGAGGCCATGGTCTAGAAGGGATCGTTCGCGTAAATCACCGAGATGTATATAATGACGGTTTCCTATTGGGCCCACCGTGGAATGGCGAATCGCCCAAAGCAAACGCTATCTTTCTCGACCTTCCAGCTCCATGGCTGGCACTCAAACACCTAGTGCGCAACCCTTCAGACGGCTCCGAATCGCCTTTGGATCCCTCCTCCCCCGTACATATATGTACATTTTCTCCGTGCCTTGAACAGGTCCAGCAAACGATCAGCGCCCTGAGACAGCACTCCTGGCTCTCCATATCCATGGTTGAAGTCATGCACCGCAACATCGAAGTGCGAAGAGAAATTCACAGTGTCGAATGCGATGGAGGAACCCGCGGTTCTGTTCCAGGTCCAAGAAACGTCGAAGAAGCGCTTTCTAAGCTCCGAGCGGAAGAGCAAGCCAAAGCGCTTCGTGAAATGATACGAGAAAGCCAAATTCCCAGCGAAACAGACAGCACCAACCGGCCTAAAGGCGAAAAAGACACGAGCGCCCCAGACAGCGCAGCAGCGCAAACGAAGTCCGCCACCCCAGTGTCCATGCTTCAAACCCAGCCTGAACAAGTGAAGCCCTCGATACCTTCCTTCAAACAGGGGAAAGTCATCCATCGTTCTGAGTCCGAGCTTAAAACGCACACATCCTACCTTGTCTTTGCTGTTCTACCCTGCGCTTGGTCAGAGGAAGACGAGCGAAAATGTCGAGAGAAATGGCCATCAGCCAAGGTTGATCCTCCAAAGCTGACTGGAAAAAAGAGTAAAAAGCAAATGAAGCGTGAGGCTAGGGCCAAAGAGGCAGAAGCAGGAATGGTCAAGATGCAAAGTGATACCGAGCCTGAGCCCGCGGGTAAATGAACTATTCTTTATTATGCTTGCAGCCCACTTGTACCATACCATCTTTTATAAGCTGGAGGGTCAAATCTGGGCCAGCCACATATGGGATGTCATATGTATCATCTAAGTCTAAAAATATAACGGTAGAAGCAAAAAGCATGTCATGTGTATCGGGTATCCTCATAATCCGTTCTCCTGCTTAAATTTATCCCACGCTTCATTCAAGGCGCTAAACACAGCTCCAGCAATCATCCTCTGCTCGGTGGTCGCATTCACTGGAATCTATTCAATGAATTAGCATATATCTCTGCTTGTTCCAGCGAAGAGATTGCAAGGATGTCGACTAGCCACTGACCTTATCAGGATGTACCTTGGCAATACCCTTCATGTAATGAATTTTCACTTTGTTCGGCAGTACCAACTCTGCCATACTGATCTTCTTCCATCCGGCCTCCGCCCACAAAATTGTATCTAAACTTGCCAGTAAAGCGCGTAAGTTATCCTGCTTTCCACCCTTCCAAGAAGTAAGCCGTGCATCCACAGAATCTGCAAGAGCAAATCTCTCATTGTCCAAACGATCGGCAGCTTCGTTCGCCGCTCGAAGTCGGCTGACGGCTTCCGCTGGCTTCGCCGGGACTGAAGGTTGCGACCTAATAGCAGGTTTTGAAGCCCTGTTATGCGTGGTTCGCGGCGGAGCACGTGCCGACGGGATTGACTTTGGAATGGGAGCCGGGATAGATCGAATACCCCCTGCTTTTTCGCATCGAGTTCGTCCCTGGATACTTGCACTACCACCGTGACCAGATTCAACGGTCTCTTGCCAGATTTTGGCCGCATCAGTCCATTTTTCTAGCTGCTCCAGAGCTTCCGCTTTTCGCATCATTGCCTTCCCAAAAAATTCCCTCATCTCTTTCATCGGCTCTCCATTTCCTAAGTCTATCTGCTCTAACTCCCCTTTGCTAGGGCCGATTATGGATAATGCACGATCTGCATCGCTGATCGCCGTCTTTGGCTCGCCTATCTTGAGAGCAGTGAGAGCATGATTGGTAAGAAGGATAATAGTAACGGGATGGTTGCTTGGTAACAGTGAGATGGCCGTGGAGTATGCTGCATGGGCAGCAGCGTAATCGCCTCGCTTGAACGCTGCTGTACCATCCTGGCGGTGTTTATGCGAAGACAGCAGCGCTGACGTCGAGACTGAAGGAATTTGCCGTGGGGGTGGTTTGGGTCGCGGAGCAACTGGTGGCGAAGGGGTGGCACCTGTTGGCCGTTGTGGTTGAGAAGGCGGCGATTGATGGGCTGGACGAGCTGGCTGAGGTGGTCTATGTGATCCCCCCAAGAGATCGGGGTCTACTTCTGAATGGGATTGCGGCGGAGGTTTTCTTCTTCTTGCTGGGCTGATGTATGCCTGAGAAGCTTGTTCTTCAGAAGTCAAACGGGATAGTCGGGGGCGAGTATCATTCATAGCTGTATTTCTAACATCCTGCTGCAGCTGACGCGGACGTGGTGATAGCTGTCGAGAGGGAGAGAATCCTTGAATACGCCTGTGGGAGGTTATATGAGGAGGCGGTTGCGGGCTCCTACTTGGCGGTGCTCTTTGCATTTCCAACATCAGCGCCTCGTCTGTAACGCTCGTCGTGGTTGCTGAGGTTGGGCTCCTTTGCTGTCTTACTTCGATTGTTTGACTCCGAAATTCCAACGCCTCCTCTCTCATCCACCTTGGCTGGTTTGGATCTGGATTCGAATTGAATTCTTGGACAGCTTGCTGTACTTTTTTCGTCCCGCTTTTCCATAACGAATTGGCAGACTTAAATAAATTACTCCCAAACTCTGCTGCTAATTGGGCAGCATCTTTCTCCGCAGCTTGTCTCCTAATTCTGCTTGTCTCTTCAAAATGGTGCTGGTCACGCACGCGTGTAGGCAAACTAGAGTCTCGATGATCTTCGGCAAAAAGTTCGCGATGTCGATCCGGAGCTCGCCCCGAGCGCGGTTGTGCCTGCGCACTTTGACTTCTGCCTCTAGCTTTTTCCCGTGCTTCAGCATGGGCCTGGTTGAGCAGCCAGCTGACAGCTGCCTGAACATCAGTACCAGATTCAGTTGTTGATAAAGCCTGGCTGGCCTTTTCGATGGGGAATCCCATATCCACCAGCTCCGCAATAGCCCTGTCAACAGGAGTTGTGCGAGGTGGAGAATCGTTCCTATCATGTAACATGAGCGTCCCATTTCCCGGCTCATTATTTGAATTTTCCGGAACAGGTTTAGCAAACTCCGACACCGGCTTAGCAAGGGGACCAAGAATATCATCGTCATCATCATTTTGCTGCGGCGTTGTTCTAGGTTGGGTTTGCCTTTCGCTCATCTGGCCCAAGCCAAATGGGTCATCATCTTCCAGAACAAGGTCACTGCCGGCGTCGCCTGAGAACTGTAAAGCGGCGTTTGGAGCAGGAGAGGATGTTGAACTTGGAACTGGGAAATTGGTTGATTTATCCACAGGAGCCGACGCATTGAATGCGGCGAGAATATCATCTTCATCGTCTTTTCCACCAGGGCCCTGGCGTGACAAGTCGCCTCCAGGCAGCGGCTGGCCAGAGACGCCAGAGGAAGGCCTTGCCAACCCTGATGACAAGCCCTTTGATAATCCAGACTGCCCCAAGCTATCCCAAAACTGTTCGTTGCTTCCTCCATATTGCGCCTCCAGTTGTGCCCGCTTCTTTTGCTCCTCCAACGCTTTCTGCTCCGCAAGTTGTCGTTGCCGTTCGGCTAGAGAAATATTTTTCCCCGACGCACCGGCCCCAAAGCTTACCAAGCTGGCAAAGCTATCCTTTGGGGGAGCAGATGGTTTGGAGGGCGAGCCTGAGCGCATTGTCAGCCCGGAGAGAGGGGTAGAGCGACCTGAAATAGGGGGCGTAGGACGCGAGATGGGGAGATGGGCATTCGATGCCATCGGCGGACGTCTCCTGGGCCCAGAATTGCCATTGTCTGTCCACTTAAAGCCCGATAGGTCGTCCATAACCGTTCAAATAAAATGACTGCTCGGGAGGTTCTGCTCGACGTTCGCGCGGCACAAAGTGAACACCCTAGAGACAAGGTCTGGAAATCAAGGCTTGCCGAATAGCTGCATTGCTTCACCCGGCAACAACCAAACAAAGAGAAAACAAAAATTCGCTTTTTGAACCAAGTTAGATTAAGACACAACGACATGCGATTGTCACAAGTGCCAGCAAACACCATGTGCGCGCCGCATGTTCCCTTCCAAAAGTTCCTTGCCATGGCCAAAGGGAGGCAAACAAGGCAAACATTTGAGCGATATCTCGGCAACGGAGCGTCTATTCTCCGGATTTCGGATAATCATTAATCCTTCATATAGGGGTGAACGAGACGCGGCCTTCCAATATCACACAGTTGGGAGAGAGATGTTCGCGAATTTTCAATACATAGTTTATTTGAAGTGATCATCTCAATCAGAAGTAAGCCGCAAGTTAGTGTAGCGCCAATAATGCACTCTGATTGCAACATCTTACCCAAATACTCCACAGGGGGCTGATAGAATGCTTTCTTCTCAAGCAACCCTTTTGAGCAGATGGGCTGGCTTGGGGACGCTGAACCACAAACCTTGCTGTCGGGAACTACCTAGCATCCAGTTCAGTCCAGCCTAATCCCGAATCCACAGACTACCAAAATGACATAGAATGCTATCTGAATGGCTAGTTAGCGGATACTTTGCCTCTCTGATCACTGATCGACACTAAACAGACTATTCCTGGCCCAGACTGGCGATTTGACACAGCGAATGCAGAGTTCCATATATGTCCTCAACTCATTCGCCTCGCGCACTGCAAAGGCGGATACTCAGCTTTCAAGCAATTTCATCCCGCTCGTAGAACATTGAACTACATCCTGATCATTTGGCACACTAGCAGAGCAAGACCGTTGAGTGCGGACAATGCTGCTAGTAGCGGTATGTTGCCTGCAACCATTTCTGTGAACCCCTCTTTAGAAGCTCTGTTTACTCCGTACATTCTTCCACAAATCTCGGGCCGTTTGGGTTTTGCGCCATGGCCCCTTCGGCGTCCAGATATCTCCCGACTGTGGAAGATCCTAAAAAGTTCTGATATGGAAGCCACTCATGTCGCAACGCCCACAAGGTTGGCCCGTTCCCGAACCGCTAGGCATAACGGCAGACCGGGATTTAAATATAGGCGGAGGCAGATGCATAACGCCACTTCGGGGTTCTGAAAGTGCCACAAAAAATGGGAAGTCGTTGGGATACTGCGGGGTAGATCACGAAAGAAAGATTTTTACGGTCCAATGTTGCAGAGTCGGGAAGCAAGCGTGCTTTGTTCTCCGATGCTGCTGGGAAAGGCTGATCCTGTTGCAAGCTGGGAAAAGGGGGGGGGGGGAGGATTTGAAAGACCTCGACGGCTGGCTAAACTGGACCAAGAAGAAACAAGGAAGAAGCGGTGTATAAAAGGATTAAGCTTCTTATCGAAGACGAAATAATGCGATAATTTTGATCAACTCGATCAAAAGCTCGACGGAACAAAGAGCAGAGTTCATGTATGAAATGCCAGAAAGGCTGTATCCCGGAGCTTTTCGCTAGCTTTTCGTCTGGGCAATGAAAAATTCCACTATGCGAACGTCCATCGTGGGTTGCCAAAATATGTGTTGCAGGAGAAAAAGTAACCATTACGAAGTACTTCTCGTCATTTCCTCCCCATTTTTACCCCTTTCTTCAGCTGAGAGCAAGCTTTCCTCACAAACATGCTTCCAACAACGCTCGTATACTTATATGTAAATCCGTGGCAGCAAGTGCCTCAAAACATCACGGCAGCCTCGACAAAAAAAAGACCAATCATCGTAGAGGCACGGGAAAATAGAATACCACCTTCTTTTCAATGAAAGATAGACATAACTTTTATCAGTTGCTTACCACCATTCCCAGGCAGTAATATCACCGCTAAAATTTTTCGTCCGTCTCACACACACACTCCCCTCCTGCTCCTCGCAGCCCTGAAGATCGTGGCCGCAGTCTCAATGCGACACAAAACAGCGCCAAGAAAGTGTCAGGTCCACATGGCCCATGCTTCGGGCAAAGCATGACCCTCATTCACGATCGCTGAAGTTCCACTTGGGACCAATCGGGTTGTGATTTGTCATGCGGCGAGAGCGCGGCCCAAACCGACAAGATGACGGAGGCGGCTACAACTTGACTCCGGAGTGTGAACGGAGAACATGGGCTCTCAGGCGACAGCGCCAGTCAACACTGGGAGCGGCCACGCGTTTCAACGGCCATGGAAGCCCGCCCATGCATCGTTAGCCGAATTGGGGCTGCGGCCCTGTGGGCATCGATCAAGTATTTCTCCTGCGCTAATTGCCTGCACTATGGAGCTCGGTGAACAGATAGTCAGAATAGTCCCGTGTCAGCTCATCCACATTAAAACCGTTGCGCCCGCAAAAGGAGACGGCACGCACATCGACATCGCCCGAGTCCGCTATAAAGCTAACGTTGTCATCGAGGGAGAATGGTACCGCCGCGTGTATCTGGCGGGCGGAGTTTTCCGACAAGGTCGGGAATTCGGCGCCTTGCCTGTCGAAAGCGCGTGGCCGTGAGCCGCAAGCTCTTCAGAGGACGTACTAGAGTCCCGAGCCGCTGGTGATACGGGTTGATGTTGAGTACCAGTTCTCCTCCTCCCGCCGCCAAGGTGCATCTATTCAAGTTGATATGGCGGCATGGCGGGAAGCACCATGGGCCTTGGACGGAGAGCGCCCCAGAGATCGCAGGAGACAAATGACGTAAACAGCCTGATCAGGCAGTTTGAAACGCCTCTGGCGGGGCCGCATCCTCGATAGCTCAGAGCAGAAGTTGTCGATCGGCTAGTTATGTAAAACAACGACAGGGGACTCCGCAGAAGAGCTGTCAGCCCGAAGCATGCTTTGCTCGACACTGCGATGATGAGCAGACCCAAAGCAGCTTGCATCTCAGCGTGTGTCCGGTCGAGAACAATGACGGTGCGCTGTGCCTGGACTGATCAGCCCCAGGTGGTCAAGTTATACTTTGCAAGCGCATCCTGCCGCGGACAAGTGACCCTGCAAGGGAGCTGTGGACCAGACTTCTGAGGGTACATATGTTCAAGCCAACCAGCACTACTCCTCCCCGGTGACGAGCTAGTGAGCTGTAAGTTAGCCTGTTCCTCTTTTCGCGACAGCGATTCTGCCTTCGAAATTTGTTCTTGGATCTCCCAGCCTGGCGTCAGGCTTTCCCGGGCCCCCATTTGCTCCAGTCATGCCCCCATATTTTAAGCTCCGGCCGCTGATTCCAGACCGGTGGTTGTGGGCTCGCTCGCTCCATTCCGGCGGCGCTGCTGGCGCTCCCCGGGCACTGGAGGGAGATTGGAGGTGGGCACCGTGCGGCCCATTGCCGGCTTTGCCACGAACCTTCACAGGGTTTCAGTGCCCTTTTGACCAAAATAGGCGAGAGTTGGGCCTGGATAGAGTCAACCGAACCCCATATCCTCTGACTTCCCCGGCACCGTCGACAATGCTAATTAACCTTTGGGGGGAAACTTTGCGCATCCGATGGAAAGCTGCTGACGTGTTGATGACTTGTAGAGTGTATATCCGGGAAAAAAAAAGAAAAGGAAAAGAAACGAAAAAAAGTAATTATACGGCTTGCTGGCGCTGAGCCCTCTCTTGCTCCCATGTCCGGTGCGCGCGTTATCGTTGTGATGGACCGCGTCGGAAAAGCGATCCAGGCGGCCGTCCTGCAGTTGATGCCAGGAAGATAAATTTCTGCACTAGCCCCGAGCATATCTTCCAGCTGCTCGGAGACAGACCATGTAAACCAACTCGGGCTCTTTGAGTACGACGTAGCACAGGAAGAAAAAACGCGAGCATCGAGACAAAACATCGCCGTTCAGCGCAACCCTCCTCCCGGTGAACTCTCTCCCTCGGCTGGGCAGGGGCGTCAGCAGTGGCCTGCCTGGAGTTGCCCCCGTGGCCGGGCCATAAAACCCTCCTCGCGCACGGAATCGCCCCACCAACCTAAACCCGCCCTCGACTCCCTCCACCCTCGTCGCCATCGCCGTCCCCCATCCCCTCCCTCCTGGCTGGCTCTCGCTCTCTCGTCTCTTCTCTCTGCCTCGTCCTCCTCTTTCTACCCGCGTCCTCGATGGCATCTCCCCTGTCAGTTGCTTCATAAGTGGAATTTCGTTTTGTTGCTGTGCCACACCGTCCTCATGATGGGCTTATTCAAGCGCAGGGATGCGAAGCGTTCGGCCCCTGACGAGGATGAGCAAGATTCGTTTGCCTCGATAAGCAGCGCGAGGACGTCGAACGCATCGCTGAAGGCTCCATTGTCGTTGAAGTCCAGCGGCAGTCCTCCGATTCCCGAGATCCCTATCGCCCCTCCCCCGGACCCCAATATCGATCCCGCTGCCTACCTCAGGAGTATCCATTCTGTTCGCCAAAGATCCAAGTTTGTCATGCTCAAGGCCAAGACGAACCAATTGAACCATTTCGACGTGGATCTTGACAAGTTCGAAGCTACAGCACATTATGTCGTGTCTATCATCAAAGTATTTCTCTCCGGGTTTCCTCTCTCACAGCTCTCTGTTCTAGATGCTGATCCTTTCTAATCATTGTGCCGATGCAGAGAGACTACGCACCCGACTATCAATCCATTCCTCCCCATGGCCGCTGGCAGCACTTCGACGCCGGAGGCAGGCCCCGGATAAACCAGCTACTCCAATCATGGCCCAGCACCATCGACGCGCTCGAACGGACAAGGCGGCTGATCGACCTTTTCCTGATCTCAGTCTTGCTTGATGCCGGCGCGGGGAACAACTGGTCGTATAAATCCAAAGAATCGGGAAAAATATATAGGCGAAGCGAAGGCTTAGCTGTTGCGAGCCTGGAGATGTTTAAGGCGGGAATGTTTAGCAGCGACCCCACCGAACCTTGCCAGGTCGACGGTGCGGGTCTTAAGAGGGTGACTGTTCAGGCTCTGGCGAAGGGAATGCAGCATTCCGATGAGAATCCACTTGCTGGTATTGAAGGGCGAGCGGGACTGCTCACAAGACTCTCGGAAGCACTAAACAACCAGGAATTCTTCGGGGTTGATGCGAGACCCGGAAATATGCTAGGTGAGTCAACTCCTCAATAGTTTCGATTTCTTTTCTTTTTCTTTTTCTTTTTCTTTTTTTTCTTTTTTTTTTTTTTTGGGAGGCAAACCACTTATCCCACCATCCACAGACTATCTACTTTCACATCCTTCAACGCTGGTGGCATCTGTTCCCATTATCCTTGTACCGACACTCTGGAATGTTTTAATGGAAGGTCTTTCGCCGATCTGGCCACCTTCACGCACCCAAATAGATGGCGTGTCAATCGGAGATGCCTGGCCTTGCAAGGCTATGCCCCCCTCGCCGCCGACAAAGCCATGGGAAACGATAGTCCCATTTCATAAGCTAACACAATGGCTGTGCTACTCCATCATGGTCCCAATGTCAAAGATCCTGCATATTCGATTCTCCGGCGCTGAACTTCTGACTGGACTTCCCGAGTACCGAAACGGGGGTCTTCTCATTGATATGGGACTCCTTACACTGAAAGACGAGGACATGGAACGTGGTCTGAATGCCTATAAGGCCAACGCCTTGATAAAGGGGCAACCCAATATGGAGGTTGTTCCTCTATTTACAGTGGACGACGACGTGATTGTAGAGTGGCGCGCACTCACGGTTGGGTTTCTAGACGAATTGTTAGATGAAGTCAACAGGCTGTTAGAATTGCCCGAAGGCCAACGCCTAACCCTGCCACAGATGCTTGAGGCGGGAACCTGGAAGGTTAGTTGACTGTAAGGTAACTATCATCTGAACCGTTTTTGCTGACATGACCGTCACAGGGTGGTCGTGAGATAGCAGAAGTCTCGAGACCAAACACCAAGCAGCCTCCGATTATGATCGTTTCGGACGGGACAGTGTTCTGAATTTTTACCTTGATCTTCTTTTTACCCAATCCCGTTTCATTCCCTTTCCGCCTGCGAAGCTTTTTCTTTTTCTTTCCTTTTTTTTTTTCGTTTTCTCTGCGCTGACACTGTTTACGACCCCATGCTTCGACCGATGATCATCACAATCGACGGTTACGCGTAAATCTTTGCTCGGTTCGCCGCTCGGGCTTTTGATTCAAGTCCCCATTTTGTTTCCCTTTTTACCACCAGCTATGCATTTTTGTGCCCCTTCTTCCTGCTTGCGTGGATGGAATCTACATTCTCCCATCACCCTTTTTTTTTTTTTTTTTTTTTTTTTTTTTTTCTGTTTTCCTCGAGTTCAGGGCATCATTGCATACATTCAAAGGCTTAGAGAGCCTGCTGTGGGTATTTATTTGCTCCCTGATACAGGTTATCATGAGAGAAACTGTCATGATGAACGAAGTATCACTCTCAGCTGTATATAATCCATTGTTCTTGTAGCATTGTCACGTGCGGGTCGGATAGCTAAGAAAGGCAGGCAGCCAAGGTAACTGGCTAGTTTAGTTGGTTTTAGCAAGCCCAGCATGACATAATGCACCCTCACTCCACGCAACCGGCCAAGACCACTCACAAACATCCAGCTGCACAGGAGCACATCGCTTGGAATATTGTACATACATATACATCCTGCCATTCTCACCTTCACCAATCGCGACAGCCAAATTATGCACCTGTGTCATTAATGGTTGTCCAGTGAACCAATCAGCTTGACCCAATAAGGCAAAGTAACCATCGAGCAGCCGAAATTCGAGAGCATGGATACGAAGAAAAAGAAGAGGAAGGTCTTGCTCATGGGGAAGAGCGGATCGGGCAAATCCTCTATGCGCTCGATCATATTTAGCAATTATGTGGCCAAGGATGTGAGGCGACTCGGCGCGACGATTGATGTCGAGCATAGCCATGTGAAGTTCATCGGGAATCTGACGTTGAACCTTTGGGATTGCGGAGGGTCAGTCCGTCGACCAACAAGTTTAAACCCCTCCATTGTCTTTAGCAACCAAAGTGATTCCGATCCATCTGAACCGGGAGCACACGAGCTTACTTAATTTCTGTCTCACTCTAGTCAAGATGCATTTATGGAGAGCTATGTCGCAAGCCAACGGCAGAATATCTTCTCTGACGTTGCCGTCCTCGTCTACGTTTTTGACATCGAATCTCGCGAAGTCGAGCGCGACCTGGACACATACAACGCTATCATCTGCGCGCTGCAGGAACAGAGCCCTAATGCCTTCGTCTTCTGTTTGATCCACAAGCTGGACCTGATCCAAGCCGAGCACCGGCAGCGAATCTGCGAAGAGCGCTCGGCACTGATCCGCTCGCGCTCCGAGTCGTTCCAGATCGACACGTTCGGCAGCAGCATCTGGGACCAATCGCTCTACAAGGCGTGGGCGGGCATCGTGCACAAGCTGATACCCAACCTGTCCTTCATCGAACGCTTCCTGCACGCGTTTGCGGAAAAGATCGATGCGGAAGAGGTGGTTCTATTCGAACGCTCGACTTTTCTCACAATCACATCCGTCAAGTCGGATGTGGGGAACATCAACCCGATCTTCGATCGCCATGAACGATTATCAAACATCATGAAGGCCTTCAAGCACTGCGCGGCAAGGAATACGCACACCACGCCCGGTTCCGCTAACCTGGTTGTCATGCACACCAAGACTCCCCAGTTTAACGTGTTCCTGGGCAGGTTCACGGATAATACCTACATCTTCGTTGTCACCCCGCCCGGTGAGGCTGCGTACAATTGTGCGGTGCTGAATACAATGCTGGCGCGGGAAGGTTTTGCGAAAGCCGCGGCGCAAGGACAGGATGCATTCGCGTTGGCATACGGCGACCCAACCGGCGAAGGCGCTCAGGATGGGTCTGTTGCTGGGCCGGCCTAAGGCACACGACGGTTAAATTGCTTGCATGATGGTTCTCTTAGCAATGGCGTTTTATGTGGCAATGGTGGTCTGGCATGAATAGATATCCCATACCCAGTTCTAAGTTTGCTTCCTTTTTTTTAAGTTTGCTTCCTTTTTTTTTTTTTTGCCCCCTTCTTCTTCCCTCTCTCTCTCTCTCTCTCGCGGTTACGCATTCATGGTAGGTTTTACAGGTGTGAAATAGGGGCGGTGGATCCTCGGCGAGGGCGGGAGGAGTCTTCTCATTCGTGCTTGCGACTTGAAGCCTTTTTGCTATCTGATGAAACATACATCGCAAGCTATCCATAATGGTCTATGTAACTTTATCAGACACCCTTTTTTCTTTCTCCTTGTTGTCTAGACCAGCGCTGGATCTTGCAACCAGCGCCCTCTTCCACAAACCAAGGCTTGGACTGTTCGCATGAGGCAAAGAAGCTCGGTTTGCACAAGTACCATTTGGCCTAGGAATATATATGAGATGGCAAGTCAACTTCGCCGGCTGAAGTACTCCCTACAGCTTACGCAAGACGGGCACTACCCGGCAACCGACGGAAACTTCTCCAGCCGGAGTGACTCTAAATATGGTACCCCAAAGGAAAAAAAAAAAAGAAAGAAAGCTACCACATATCTATGGGTTGGCCAGATCTTTCTCAGAAAAAAATTTTGTTTTAAACTCCAAAAGTTTCCATACTACAGATATCACGGGATGGAGCCTAACCTGCAAAGCCCGTTTAGCCCGACGAAGATCGAGCTCGGGTGTGCTCCTGTATAGACTGCTCTGGTATTGATGCATGGAGAGCTAGCTATTCCGTCCCTACTCGATTGATCGGTCACTTAGGATTCAGATCGGTGATGTTGGGTGCTGAGGGGTGGCGGTTCCGATGAGCAGGGTGTTCCCGGAGCATGGCGAGACAGGAGTGAATGGTGTCATGCTGGCTCCTGCTGGATGAGCTGGGATTTTAAAACACCGGCGATTGCTGACCACTCTCCACAGTTAGAATTTGCTGGGATTGGGGGTTATTTGGTCCAAAGATTTCGATCTTGCACATCCGTTCCGAACCGGGTTTCGAGGTGCAAACATGAAGGGAGGAAAGGGGAAAAAAAAAAAAAATAAAAGAAAAGAAAATAAAATAAAATAAAATAAAAAAAGGTTCTTGGGTATACTCTGTAGTGACCCAATGATTAATTACGCGCATATACGGACAAAAATGGAAACCCAATACGGTAAGTTAAATGTCGTGATGCGGGAGCGGGTTACTTTTGTATGGGGGGGAATGGGTTTAGCATTTATATGGGTGCGGAGGAGAAGTTCCCTGGGCCACAGAAAGCAGATCACTGTCGGATTGGTTATATTCTCCATATTTATCCCTGGAAGCAGCCAGGGGTGGCACGATACCGAGCCGGCTATTGGATAAGTTTGCCGAACGAACCATGGAATGGGAGAGCTCAAAGCAGCCAATGTTGCTTCGTCGGTTAACCCTGCCCAGGGTACTCCGTACACATGATTCTTCTCTTTTGGTTGTGGTGGCCAGCCTGCAATCGTATGAAGGGAACAGAGCGCTCCGTACGAGGAGGGATGAAGGGCCCTTGAAATTGAGAGCGGTTACTAGCTCAACCCATCACGCGCTGCCAAGAGGTGAAGGTCTCCGCGCGCCTTAAGCCTGCTCTAGTTAGCTGGTGGGAGCAAGGTATGTGTCGTTACATAGATGTTGACTGTGGGCCGTTGGAGATAGGTTGAGATGACGTTTCTCGGAGGAATTTCACGCGCGAGATGCCACGATGAGGAGGAGGGGGAAAACTTTGAATGCCCAAACTGGTGCTTTTGTTCTGGAAGGATTTGCTGAGCGGAGAAGAATGAACAAGAGGCAGATCACCGTCTTGGCTTAGGTAACTAAATTGAACCCGAGCCTTGGCCTCGTCTGCGTTCAGGCGCCGGGGAAGGGCGATATATAAGTATGGATGCGATGTCGAGCATCAAGCGCAGTTGACAGCGATGGAAGGGGTCTGGGAGAGACATACCGTAGCTTATCTTCCGGCGGGGGATATGTATGTTGGCTTTAATTCTCCGAGTCGCCAGCAGATGAGATTATCACCAACAGCCAGCAGCAAGCGACGCGGGAGGTTGCTGATCGGCCTGGGTGGTGAGGTCGAAAGAAGGATGGCGACCCACTGGCGCCAAGCCCTCCAGCGTCGCATCCTGGATGGGGACGTAACTCAACCTTACTCGACCTCCCACCCCAGAAACGGCTGGGATAGTCCGGATTCCAACCTCCCAGCACGTTGGCCAGACGAAAGCTTCGTCTGCACCAGATCCCGCCGTCCAATACGGAGTACGGAGTACACGCATCATTCATCTCTCCCTCCACCTCTCTGCTTTGTTCCATGCGTGGGCGACTCCTTCACGCTATCCGTGGCAGAACCACCCCTCATTACCCGCTGTCAACTCTGGTCAGTGGATTGCGGGCGGCCAGCACGCAATATTCATGGACTCCTCGACCCCAGCCCGTCCCGACTCTACTCCGCGGATCGTCGCATCGCGCCAAGTTCTATTCTTGGCGGTGCTAGGAGACAAAAAAAATATCGAGGTGACAGGTAGCATCCGGCGGAGGCGCCAGTTGCCAATGCACGCTGGACAATGTCCACTGAAAACATGTTTCAGCCAACCATGACAGAAACGGTGGAGAATCTGCCCAAGGCCAGGAAAAAGGTACACACATGCAAGCACGCGATAACCGGGATAGTTCTCGCGAAGCAGGTTGCCTCCCCCCGCTCGTATCGGGTTCTCTTGGACGGCGCCGTTTCTCGATCTTCAATTATTAACTATCCTTACTGTAATGTGACACGGCTGGGGAATGCCAGCCTTGCCGGGACAAGGGTGTGCTTGTCCAGCCATATATGAAGTTTGGAGCCTTTCCACCGCCACCACGGTTTTTGTCTTTTATGGTTCTGTTTAAATCCCCCAGGGATTCGCTTCTCTCCCTCCCACCACTCCTCCCAGCTTGCGCTGTCTTTTGAAGGGCCTGCCCTCACCTTTTTTTCTTTTCCCCTTCTTTCTCATAGGGTGCTTTTGAGTGGTCCCCTTTTAGCTCCTTTTGTTGCTCTAATCACCTCCGAGGGCTTCCCTCGACTTGGAATCATGGAGTCGTGGGAGAAGAAAGGAGCCGGGGACGACTCCGACGGCCCCGTGACAACAAAACAGGAGTATGTAGGGCAGGGCGGCCCGCAGGTCCTCGAGGCCGAGGAAGAAGGATTTTCCCTTCATCGTGGCTTGAAAGCGCGACACATCACCATGATTGGTATGCAAGGTCTCGTGCCCTAAACGCATCTTTCAACGCTGACTACGGACGTAGCAATTGGTGGTGCGCTTGGAACTGGTCTGATTATCGGTACTGGCAGTGCATTGGCGAAGTAAGTCCTAATTCTTACCATTCTGTTGCTCGCCCATTGTGGGCTAACATTTATCCTCCAGAGCTGGCGTAAGTAGCTTCCGATCTTGAACTTATTGGTCCCCCAACGCCATCCACTTATCCTAAGTCATTGACCAAATACATAGCCGGCATCGGTACTGATCTCCTACTTGATCGTCGGGTTTGTTGTATGGATCGTGATGTGTGCTCTTGGTGAAATGGCTGCATGGCTTCCTCTCCCTAGCGGCTTTACTGGTTATGCTGTTCGGTTCTGCGATCCCTCTCTTGGGTTTGCCCTCGGGTATTGGTATGTTTGAATCACCCTTTTCCCACGCTGTCCATGCCATACATTCTCACCAACCCTGGGCGTCGCTAGCTATTACTGCAAATATATCATCATTACCCCAAACCAGTTGACTGTAGCCGCCCTAGTCATACAATACTGGATAGAGCGCGAAAGAGTCAATCCCGGTGTCTGGATCGCCATATTCCTGGTGGTTATCATTTGCATCAACTACTTCGGCATCCGTTTCTTCGGTGAATTTGAGTTCTGGCTTTCGTCTTTCAAGGTCATCGTTATCGTAGGAATTATCCTACTTTCGTTAATTCTTGCCCTCGGAGGTGGCCCTGATCATGATCGAAAAGGCTTCAGATATTGGAAAAATCCTGGGGCGTTTCGAGAACTTTACCAAACCGGGAATTCTGGTCGATTCTTGGGCTTCTGGTCAACAATGGTGACGGCCACTTTTGCGTACCTCGGGACCGAACTTGTCGGCGTGACCGTGGGAGAGGCCCAAAACCCTCGAAAGACCATCCCTCGTGCCATCAAACTTACGTTCTACCGAATCCTCTTCTTCTACATTCTCAGCGTCTTCCTTCTTGGAATGCTTGTCCCTTACGACTCAAAGGAGCTTGCTTTTGCCTCGCAACAATCCAGCTCTGCTAACGCTTCGCCCTACGTGGTCGCCATCAAATTAGCCGGTATTCCCATCTTACCCGACATCCTCAACGGCTGTATCCTGGTTTTCGTCTTTTCAGCGTCCAACTCTGATCTCTACATCGCCACTCGAACCATCTACGGTTTGGCCAGAGAAGGCAAAGCGCCCCGAATCCTGGCCCGCACCGACCGCAGAGGTGTTCCCATTTACGCCCTTGCACTGTCCAGTTTGTTTGCCCTCCTCGCTTTCATGAATGTTTCGGACGATTCAAAGACAATCTTTGGCTATTTCGTCAACCTCGTGACCATTTTCGGCCTTCTAACGTGGATCTCCATCCTCGTCACCCACATTTACTTTGTCCGCGCCCGCAAAGCCCAGGGTGTTGAGGAGACGTCTCTCGCTTTCAAAGCGCCCCTTGGAGCTGCTGGTTCCTATTCTGCATGCGCTTTTTGCATTCTCGTTTCGATTACCAAGAGCTACGATGTCTTTATTCACAACCCAGAAACTTACGGCAACTTCGACTACAAGAACTTCATCACTGCGTACCTTGGAATCCCTCTTTATCTCATCATGATCTTTGGATATAAGTTCGTTACCAAGTGTCAAGGCGTGAAGCCAGAGGAGGCAGATCTCTGGTCAGGCAAGGACGCCATTGACCGGGAAGAGCAAGAGTTTTTGGCACGGAAAGCAGCTGAGCAGGGTCAACGCTCGCAAGCGAACTGGTTCTATCGAACGTTTGTTGCTTGGTTGTTTTAGAGAGGCGGTGGGTAATGTTGCTTCTTCGTTTGTCTATGCATGCTGTCTATGTCGCTCGCCCTTATTTTACGCATGTATAATGCGGTTTAGGGTCTGTATATAAAAACTAGATATTTGTCGATATGACAAAATTATCAAAACATTCTCCTGGTATATCGCTCCGCACGTAGCTCGTTGGCTCCTTCGCTGCGAGGATGGCTGTGCCGCTAGATAATTATCTCTCGAGAAGCCTTGCGTGGAGTTGCGCTTCGTTATCCCGCGCCCTTCGCGGAACGTAGCCTTGGGGAGAACTCGCTTGCTAAGTCCGCGCTCGCCAGCCTTCTTGCCAATCGAATACGGGCGCTGGTTACCCTATTCTTAGCCCGACCACTCCCGCATTAGCTCCCGATGAGTACCTCAGAGCCAATCCTCGTGTCACTCCGCAGATTCGAATCCAACCCTGCGAATGGCCCTCAATGTCGTGTGTTCTTAGTAGCAATTGCTCCAAAAGCCGGTTGGCCTATCCTTTATCCTGCCTTGCTGGTGTGCATCATCTCTTCCTGCGCAGCTCAGATACGCCACGGCGGCTGCATGGATCCCGAAAGCCACACAGCCCCCTCACCGCTTCAGATGACGCACTCTGCTCCTCACAATTGGATCACGGCGTCCTCCTACGTTCTTTTTCTTTAGCTATTTTCTATCTTGGATCTTTCTTTATGCCCTGCCCAGGCTAAACCTTAGATCCCGCGTCGGACGCGGGCTGACGTTAGGCGGAACTGTCCGTGTTCGTTGTGCCTTGAAGCGCAGGGGAGTTGCCCGCTGCAATGACTCCACTCGGCGGCGCGATCTTAAAAGGGGAGAAATGCGTCTCGACTCTCTAGTTTGCGACGACACCTCTCATGAAATGCGGAGTAAAGCTGTGTTTACATTCAACGTCGTTTCCCGCTGCGAGGTGCGACATTGGTAGACATTCGACGGACTATATCATAGTTGTTTAATATACAGTTAAGCGCGCACAATCGTGAATTGATGCATCAGTTCTTTTTCCCGGTCTTTTTCGTCTAGCAGTTGTCACGAAGAGGTATCGTCTTATTTCTCGTGTAACACGGATGAAGTTTTAACTAACGAACCTTCAGGTCAAACTCCTAGAGTATTCGGTGCCTGATCAGGCCTCCAACGTTTCCTTATGTCGACACCTTACACTCCCAGGACGGCTCGAGGGTGCAACCAGCTCCTGTTGTCCTTGAGCGCCAAATACAATTTAGACCTACCAACAAGTGAGAAAAAAGGAACACCTGCGCAGCGCGACCGTACTCTGGGCCAAAAATGTGTGTCAGGCCTTACTTATCTCCATTTCAACGGGGGCATGGAGCATACGATTGCGGGTTTCGAGGAAATGGCCAACCGAATGCTCTCGGAATGGATACACAAGCCCAACCAGGACTGGGGTACTCTCCCTGCACCCACCCTGGCTACCCAAGGGACGAGGTCTTTTATCAATGGGAGCATGATAGAGAATTCAAAGAACATCTCTTTGGAGCAACGCGATGAACTGCTCCAGTGCTTGCATAAATTGCTCGAAGACGAAATCAGACATAGAAGGCGAAGCCCTCTTCCGCCCGCCACTGTAGGTGTAGGGGCATCTGCCACGGCACTAGGAAATAAATTGAAGGATTTGGAAACTTCAATGGCTAGGACTCCAAGCTATCCGGCGCCTGGCTCGCCAGAGATCTCGCCCTCGAAACGCAAGGCGCCACTTGATAGAGACGAGGTATTTAGCACTGCTCCTAGTTCCCCTATAATTGACCCTTCCTATCCTCCAAAATCCTTTTCCTTGGACTGTGAATTTGATGATGACGATTTGGATGAACTTCTTCCTGTTATTTCAACTGATGTTCCCGGTGAGGATCAGTGCTCGCTGCGGAAAGGAAAGCAGCAAAGGATCGATTCATTTTTTAAAAGCGTTCGGCGGCCATTGATGGATGCTTCTCGTGACTCGTCCTTCAACGATCCATTCTCGTCTACATCGAGAATAGCAACACAGACAAACATGAACGGGTACATGAGGGTCTCCAAAGTATCCACCACGAACAGCCGGCATCAAAACAACGACAAGAGCGGGTTACTGGACACCTTCTCGACTATGCAAACGGGGCTAGCACATTCTTCTTTCATGGAGGGAACTGACACCGTGGCTACGTCGTTTGAGAGCAATATTGCCAATGTGGAACGTAAACCCGATAAAGCACCGTCTCAGGTCAACGATTACACATCGGAAACCTCAACGGTGGCTCTACTAAAGAGTGCCGATTTTCAGGAGCAGTTCGCCATGCAGCTATCACCAGAACCAGCTATGGACCCTGCTGATCTTAAAATGAGGGCGTTCATCGACACCCTGGAAACATCGGGTCCATTCACATATTCGAAATGTGGCGACTGGCCCAGCAATATTCCTCTGCGATACCGGTACGAAGTTGAAAGAGTCGCACATTCTCGAGGGATGGCGATTGAAGAACTTCTCCCACAGTATAGGCTGCCGAGCCAGGACTATTCAGAGTTCTGGGAATACATTACACAAGAGAAGTCAAACAAAAAGACTAGTTTACTCGAGAAGACCAAACCTGTGGCCTGGGAAGTGGCAGTGGGTAACTTCGAGGAAAGTAGCACCAAAGACGTAGTGACTCTGACTGGCGATCTTGAATGGTGTGCGAAATCGGAGCCCGGGTATCTGAAATTCGTTTTGAAGCCACTACGGCTGGAGAGGAGCCATCGATTTGCTCGTCGATTTGGCTCAGATCGTTTCCTTGAAATCACATTCCCAGCCCTAACGAAGAGCCCTGATTATTTGAAGAACCAAGGCCCCATCGTCCTTCGAAGCATTGCAACGTGGCTAGCTACTAGCTCCCACTATCTCCTAGGAAGGACTTGGCGGGCTTTTTACCTGGAAGACGTGAAGGCTAAAAACAAAAAGGATGGTCCAAAGAGCAAAGTGCATCTTTTCGCTGTCAATGGAAATGATTTCATTGACGCTCCGCTGTCTATGACTGTCTCCCCCGCTGGCGAGATGTCTGATAAGCACACCCCGATGACCGTGGAAGCGTTGTTCAATTGGCACATACCAGTTCAGGAAAATAAAGAGTCCAAAGATTGCAAAATCTTCCAGCGTTTGGCACTGGGGCTTTCACGGACTATACCGACTGTAGTCATCCGTCCGGAACATATAATCATCCATCCGAGACATATAGACATCCCTCTAGAAGATAGAGGCAACATGAAATCCTCTCAACCTGATATGAGTGATGGATGTGCACTTATGTCCGTGTCGCTTGCAAATCGCATAAAAGACTGTCTGGGCCTTAAGGAGGAAAATCCCTCCTGCTTCCAAGGTCGGATTGCCGGTGCCAAGGGTATTTGGATGGTTGACGGCCGCAACATAGCGTTCAAAGGCGAAGAGTGCATACAAATCAGCGGCTCGCAGCTCAAAACAAAGCCGCACCCATCTGATTGCAGGATGATGCTTGATGACCATCAACTGACGTTCGAGGTTGTGTCATGGTCGAAAGAGCTTCGCCCTGTGAACCTAAACGTGCAGCTTTTGATGGTTTTGCAGCATGGCGGGGTTCAAACAGACAGACTTAAGAATCTCGTCAGATGCGAAATGAATACATGGTATCAGGAGTTCAAAGGCATTATTACCAATGAGATTGCGTCTCGTGCTTGGGTTCAAAAGCAAGGACTTTATGAGAAGCGAAAAACAAGACGCATTGATGACTTCCCTACCGAAAATGTGGAACAGGCAATTCTACTTTTGGATAGCGGCTTTCACCCATTAAAGTCAGTCTACTTAATGAATCGTCTAAAAACATTCCTTGACGATTACTGCGCTCGTCTCGACAGTTTAAAGATCAGGATTCCCGAATCCACTTATGCCTACTGCATTGCTGACCCTTACAACGTTCTGGCAGAGGATGAAGTTCATTTGGGATTTTCAAGGCCCTGGGATTCGGAGGGTTACACTGACTTGGATGGCATGGATGTTCTTGTCGGTCGAAACCCGGCTCACCTCCCTAGTGATATCCAAAAGAGACGGGCTGTGTTCAAAAAGGAGCTTCGACATTTCAAAGATGTCATTGTCTTTCCAACCGCCGGAGCGCTGCCACTCGCCTCGATGCTTTCTGGAGGGGATTACGACGGTGACCAAGTGTGGACCTGCTGGGATCCTCAGTTGGTAAATCAATTCACAAACACTCCCTTTGACCCTAAAAAGATACCAGAAAGAAAAGAATTTGGATTGATCGATTGCTCCGAAGAGTTGAAGGCAAATTTTGATTTTGATGGGTTTCTGACAAAAATGTTTGTTTTCAATGCAGCACCCTCGCTTCTTGGGCATTGTACAAATGAGCACGAGAAATTATGTTATTATGAAAATGGCATCGCATCAGAGGGCGCCCTCCGGCTTTCCCATCTGCTCGGCTATCTCGCTGACGTTCGGAAAAGCGGCCATGAATTAAGGCGGGAGACATGGATGCGCCAATGGAATGAACTGAGCAAAGATATCGGCCCAGATGCATTGCGAAAACCAGCCTACAAGCAAACAAGGGAAGAACTCGACTGTAGACCCAATGATAAAAGTATCATTGACGTTCTTAAATTTGAAGTTGTTGAGGAAGAGAAGAATCGAATCAAGGCAGATTTCTCTGAGTTCTGCAAGGCCCATCAAGAATGTCGCGATGATCCGGATCTACTTGCAGCCTGGACAGAAACGTGGGAGCGGGCCATATTTGAACGTGACAATAACAAAGATAAAACCTTGCTGAATGCGATCCAAAATGTAAAAGCCCAACTCGAGGCCGTGGCCAACGATCGACCACGCAGAAACTGTGGCAAGTCCTTCGCAACTGTCATCTCCTCGGCGACGGATATGCTTCGGAGCATCAAGCCACCGGAGATTGACCATGAATTAAGCTACACGTGGCGAAACCGGGACGACTCATGGCAGGTCTTTCTAGCATCCTGCGCGTACAGGCTATATCCGAAAGGCGACTTCCCCTGGCTGGCAGCTGGTCCTACACTTTGCGAGATCAAAGCTCGTGCGGTTGGGCCATATCGGATGGTGACTATGCCGGTATATCAGACGCTCAGGGTCAATCATCGAGCCGCAAAGCGAGTGCAGGAAGCTGCTAGTGTTAACCGTGAAGATATTGACCGAACGCTTGATGCATTGGATGTGACCTACCCTGAATTACAGGATTCTGATGACGACGAGGACGATAGTTTTGATGATTGGAAGTCATTTGCGACGTGATTAACAGCTATTCTTCTTCATATTGCCTCGTCTTGTGGGTTTATATTGACTTGGATATTGATTTTTTTTGGAGCATTTGGAGATTTGGCGCCATGAATAGAGTAACTTATTTGTCGATGGCCAGCTCCCCTTTGCATAGTGGCTCCGCATTCATTCCATTTCTTTCTTGTGAAGATATGAAAATGACGATCGAGGAGAGACAAATCGCATGACCATCAAACTAGACTCAAAAGTTCTCATCATTTTATGATTCGCTAATCTTGTAATCGTACATTCAACACACTACTACAGCGTATACGAAGGGTATATTTATGCTCTGATGGTTTCGGTGATGCGATTCGCCAAGCTTCCCGGAAAGCTTTCCAGCCGAGCTCAATCGGCACAAGGATCGGCCAACCGAACCAAGCCTGCTCGGTTGGCTAACGGACTGGCTTAACGAGTGGTTGTGGGGATGGAGGGTTCAGGAATGGATATCCGGCACAGAATTTGAGAGCCGCTTGGGCTCTTCCCCATCAAATAATTATGAGACCCCCTCAGCGTGCAGCTTGATTAATAATATCGGCCTGGGGTGCGCAAAAGCCGGGAATCAAGTATCTCGTCTGGCTAGTTCCGCGAGCATGACTGGAGATTTCTCATTTCACAATTTCCTACAAGATACTTTTGGGTCATTGGGGGAAGGAAGCCATCCTTGCTCCGGATACTAATAACTGTGGTTTGTATGGACTTCCCTGCCGTGGCCGGATTTTGGGATCAGGGTCAAGTTATCTACGGCTAAATTGTATGCATTTCGTATATAAAAGATCCAGCAGCTAGGGCCAAGGTCGTAAGTCAATCCGGGACGAACAAGCGAGAGGGCGTCTTACTTTCCTTGTCAAGCGTCAATGGATTCGGGTGCGCCGGGGCGCGGTTTAGCTGAGGAGGAGAGACGAGGGGACGCAAATATCGCAGAGAAGGGAATGGCAACGGAGCAGATAATCGTGAAGTTCGAGCCCGGTGATAAGGATAATCCTCACAACTGGTCTATGGTTTGAGGATCCGTCTGCTCCCTTTAAGAATTCTATCGAGGCTGACACACGGGCAGACGTGGAGATTGGTGATTTCCGGCATATACATCCTCTTATCCTTGAACAGCACTCTTGGTTCGAGCATGCCGGCTGGTGCGATCAAGGTTATTGCTGAAGGACTTAACGTGACGAACAAATATCAGTTGGTTCTTCCCATATCCGTCTTCCTCATTGGATACATAGTTGGCCCGCTCTTCCTTGCACCACTATCTGAAGTATATGGACGGAGACCCTTACTCCTTTGGACGTTCGTGCTCTATTTATTCTTTACTCTGGGTACAGCACTGGTGTCCAATTTTCCGGGACTCCTGATATTAAGATTCTTCGCCGGTACCGCGGCCGCAGCACCGTTGGCCATCGTGGGAGGAGTGTTTGCAGATTGCTTTCCAGATTCGGTGCATAGGGGCCGGGTCATGTCAATGTGGGCAGCGGGAACAATTTTCGGTCCTACACTGTCTCCACTCATATCAGGATTCTTGGGAAAAGTGTCGTGGAGATGGCCATTTTGGCTTGAGCTGATATTTGGAGGATTCACACTGATACCGATGGTCTTCGTACCCGAGACCTTTGGACCTGTGATATTAGCTCAAAGGGCTGCTCGGATACGAAAAGAGTTGAAAAGAGACGGTATCATTGCACCGGGATCGGCCGAGAATGTTGACTTGAAAGAGCTCTTTGCTGTGACTCTTAGTCGACCGGTAAAAATGCTTTTTACCGAGCCGATTGTGCCGGCGGTTTGCTCGTACATGGCTTACGTCTACGCCATCCTCTATCTTTTCTTCCAGGCATACCCTATCATATTTCAAGGTAAGTCGCAAGTGGTGAGGGTTATTAAGCGTGGACATAGGCTGAGAACGCACACCGTACTTTCGTAGATGAGTATGGAATGTCACCAGGGATCGCCGGGTTGGCCTATCTGCCAGGTGAGTTTCCCAGCACGCATAATCAGTACTACGCACCTTTTTCTTTTTTTTTTCTTTTCCGCTGATAGGGTCACTAGTGGGAGTTGGAAGCGTTATCTCTGCCATGATGGTCGTGCTCTGGGACGAGCGCATGCGGAAAAGGGGGAACAAGAAGCAGTCCATGGAGTACCACCGTTTGACTCTCGCCTGCATTGGGGGGCCGCTTATCATAATGTCTCTTTTCTGGCTGGTGAGCACTAAAACCACTTATCTTGGGTCAATTTCTTTTTAGTTAGCTCGAAATCAAAAATGATTAACGACAAGGGCACGCTAGGGCTGGACCGGTAGGAGATCGGTACATTGGATTGTCCCTATTCTCGCTGGACTCCTCTACGGAACTGGCAACACAACGATCTTTATGGCTTTGTTTAACTATCTGACGGACGCGTACGGGATCTACAGCGCGTCGGCAATGGCGGCGGGCGCGTGCACGAGATCGATATCCGGTGCGCTGCTGCCTCTGGCGGCGAAGCCAATGTACGAGAGACTTGGGATTGGCTGGGCAAGCAGCGTCCTGGGGCTGATGGGCCTCCCTCTGGTCGTGATTCCGTTCCTATTTTTGAGATACGGGCAACAGCTGAGGGCCCGGAGCCCGTTCTGCGCCGAGCTGGCTCGGCGGAAGATGGAGGAAGACGACGGGAGCGCAGGGAGAGGAGATTCGAGCGGTGTCGTTATCTCAGCTGTAGAGCAGACACGGCGCGCTGATCGTCCAGCGGCCTGACGACTGCCGCAAGTTACAGGACCGCGTAACCCCCCCGTACATACGATAGGTAACTACTCCGTACTCCGTACTCCGTAGTTAGTTAGTTACGTTACGGGCTGATAAATACTTTTCACGTGATATATTCCACTGTCACATGAATGGCGCTAGCGTTCTTTAGCGCGGGTCACATGCTTTTCGCCCGGGAACATCAGCATCATCGCCAGCAGCCAGCACGACAAACCCCCCCCCCCCATTCGAGCGCCCGTGTGAGCGGGTGAACTCTGCATCGCCACTAGAGAGCGGATTCCGTTGGGAAGATATTTCCCGCTGTCTGCTTCCTTTTTTCACCTCTGCCCTACCCTGTGCTCTTGTGGCCTGCTCCTCTGCTCCAAAACTGAAATTGCCCACGAGGAACCTCCGTCTTTTAAATTAGTAACCACCTGTGTCTGCTTGCTGTAGGCTATCGTCGGTTGAAACCCTTAATCTCAGTCGCACCGTCTTGCATCCATGTACGTACACCAGCAGCCTCAATTCCTCCTTTCAGTCAAATGCCAGCGTTGATTAATGGCATGGATAGAACTGATATCCATGTCACATCAACCAGCATCCAACGATATCTGGTTCTGGCGCTGGCCTAGGCGTCTCGAGACACCGGGATCGTTGGTCCGCCCTATTATTATTAACTTTCATGTGCTAACAAATTCCCACCTGTTGATGGACACAGCCGTCGTTGAGCAGTCCTCTCTCCTTCCATCTTCACCGTCTCCCGACTCTCCAGCCTCATGCTACTGACGACTCAGTCGTAGCCCCGTTCCTTGGACGCGGAATAATACCACGAATTGCAGCCATGTCGACGGCGAACTCTACCAGAATGGACGTTGACAGCATGTGCAACGACGATAGATCCACTCGCGCCACCAGCGTTCTCTCAATGGATGACATCGAGGCCGCTCAAGCACTAGAGGGTCTCCGATCAGGTGAGACCCTCCTTTCCTTCCTTCCCTTGAAGATATAAAATTCTGACCCTCTCTCTCTTGGGTAGAGTTTGCACACTCCTCCCCTTCATCGCGAAGCAACAACCGTCTGTCATCATCCGCCCTCCCGGCTTCAGAATCTTCACAGCCAGAGCCCCTGCTTTCCCTCTTGACCTCCTCTCACCCCTTGCTCTCTTCGGCCATCAACAGCTCAATGTCCGTCTATTCGTCATCCAAGTCATATTCTCCCAGATTCAAGTATGGTGCCGAGTTTATAGAACGAAACATCGGCACTCCGGTTGTAAACACCGTTGGCAGCGTCGGGCGGAGAACAGGTGTCGAAGGAGGCCTCAGATGGGTCTTACAGCGACGGGAAAACCCAGATGCGAACACTCGCAGCCCACGTTCCAGCGGAGAACGAAATTCGGACGCCATGGATATCGAGAAAGGCGTCGCCGAACCAAGGCCCACTCATACAAGACGATCTTCGGGCCTCTCAAGCGTCGAAACGTTGCCCCCATACGACACCCTTTCATCGCCCAACTATGAGGAGTTGGTGGCCCTGGACAGTAAAGGCGCTCGCACTGAATCTCCTCGAAATCAGACTTGGCAAAGTCGTTTGATGATTTCCACGTCGGGTCTTGGTGTGGCGATGAGCGAAGAATCGCTTCGTAGCTTGACATACTGCTTGAAGTGGCTGCAGTGGGCAAACACTCGCCTTGGTAATTCCATAGTAACTCTCAAGCAGGTGCTAGAGGAATGGGACCAGTCCAGGCAGCACCAATCGTCTGGCGATGCGTCAAATCCAGAGAGTCGGCCAAGGAGCCCGGCTGTTGTCTCTCAACAGATTCAGCAGGTCAAACAAGATGTTCTCCAGACTTTGAAGCAAGCCGTAGACGTGGTGTCGAAATACGCTGGTGGTGCATTGCCGGAAAATGCACGCAATCTCGTTCGTCGACATCTGACTTCGCTACCACAACGGTTTCGAGTTGCGTCGTTATATACAAACAGACAGTCAGACACTTCCGACCCTGAGTCAGACACAACCAGCACCAGTGCCCATCGTGTCCTGGTCCTTGCCGAAGAGGGATTAGATATGATGGCCCAAGTCAGTAGGGTTGTGAACGATACCCTCATTAGCGCCGAAAGCTGGTGCGAAAGATTACGAAGACCGAAGCCGTCGGTCATATCGACAGACGGCCAAGGCCCGGATCCCCCAGCCCCTGATGCTTTCGACACCAAACAGCCATTGGCCGAGCCGACACATTGTCGCGAAGTTGAGATGACAGGAATGGATGAGAAGGCGTGATTGATGAAGCCAGCTCGTGCCAGCGTGGTTATCCCGACGTGGCGCGAACGTGACTCGGTGCAGTGACACAGCCCTATTGAATACTCTCCATACACTCATGGTGTATATGTGCCCAGCTCTACTCTTCATTCCACGCTTATACGTCACCGTCACCCTCATGCTTCCCCTCCATCTTCAATTCCAATAACTCGTGACCTTGTGTATAATCTGCGATCGATTTATACCCATCTTTCTGTTCATTGTTTAATATTTTGCGGCGTTTGTTCTCTTTTGTTGTGCATGTAATCGGAGCGAGCTGTTCTTCTTTCTCTTCTACACCTACCTACCTGCACCCTCTTCCCCTAGCTGTGTTTCAAATTATATTCTTTTCCCACAGGTCGTCTCTGAAAATTGGTCTCTCGTTTGCCTTGCTCATCTTGTTTATTTGATTACCTTGAGGAAGTGCGAGCCACTATACACACTATACTCCCTTACCCCGATTCCTCTCGTCCCATCAGACTACTCTGGGTCTGGGACTGCATTATCAAAAGGCTTTTCGATTCTCTTTTATGCTTTGAATTACTATTTTGATTTAAGATTGACTAGTTAAGTTGATTGAATCTTATCTTCACTTCACAGTTCCAATTTCATGGTCCCATGGATCACATTTCTCTAGGGCAAACTGTGCCTGCGGATTAGTGCCATTTGATAGCACGTTCCATACAGAAGTGTCCATGCTCAGATGAGCATGACAATGGTGTCTGCGAGCAGCTAGATTCATGCTGGTAATGCCTACCTTGCTTGATAAGTACTGTGATTCGATATGCTAACAGACCAAGTAAATCCATTGATATAAAATAGTCGAAAAGATCCAATTATCTCCCACTCAATCCCGCCATCCAAAATCCATATTTAACGAAATTACCGAATTGCCGCTCCGATCGCTCTATTCGAAGCCGGTAGGCTCATCTCCTTTGACTAGACCATTATAGTTATTTCTATTCAGTTGGAATAGGACTGAGATCTTCCCGGGAAAAAAAAAGAAAAGCCCCGATTCCCTGTTACTCGAGCACATCAATGTGCTCATTTCTTGGTAGAAAGCGCAGGAGCAGTTGTATTTCCGGCTTTCCTCTCTCCCAGTCACCCATCCTCAATCCCCGGAACCTCCTTATGTTTCGTTGCAACCTGCGTTCTCCCTCGACCGCATGTAACCCTCTTGCATGATGTTGTTTTTCATTCATTCTTAAAAATGTTTGTCTGCGTTCTTGCGTCCTTCTTTTCATAATGCGCTTCCATCCCTCTCTCCTTTCTGCCAACCGCTTTGCTCGAACGTGTGCGTTGTTCCTCCACCCGTGCACCTGGCGTTGCCATCCACCCTCGCATTCACCAGAGTCGATGGGTGCGTTAAATGTTTCGGGTTTCATCCTGTTTACCCACATGGAATATTCCTGAAGGTCGTTTTCATCTCTGCATACCTGAAGAAACGAGTCGCGGGCGCGTCGGTGCTCGTGCAAGTGTCGATGCAAGGTATACAAGGCGAAGGGTTCTAAAACAAAAGGTGCTCTCTTTAAAAACTCCTTTTGGTCCTCTGTTGCGAACTCCATATATCCTTTATATGTAGTTGGAGGTCGTTGGCTCGTGGGAGAGACCGCATCGTCCTCACCTGTGGCGATTAGATACGCGGGGTCCCTCGTTGGGATATATACTCCGCTGGCTAGATCGGCCTCCATCATGGCTACAGTCAGACTACTCACTAGCCCGCATTGCTCGCCACATATGAGTGTTTCGTCGATAACGGCTCTCTAAAATATGTTAGCCTGGATACAAAATACAAACTAAGGAGGAGAAATAGGGGAAGTAGGGAAATATACGATTTTCACGAACCCATTCCTCTATTCGCTGCTCCTGCCAACGAGTTTCAGTCTTTATTTTCTCTGCCTCCATCAGTGATTCTCTCCAGCGACGTTTGGTGTTAACCAGGGTGACAACGTGGGCTGAGAAGCGGATCTTGAGTTCCTCTTTAGGCTGCTCTCTTTCTTGCCGACGTTGTTGTTTGCGCAGATAGGCTCGTACTATCCGTGCGGGAAAGCGTATTTTGAGGCTTTCTCCAGAGAACTTCTCTATCCGTGGCGCCCTGCGAGATGCCTGCTCCTTTGAAGTCTGGTCGTTTGGTCTTGTTTTAGTGGTGGTCGTGGTGGAAGAAGAAGCATGAGATTTTGCAATCGCGCCGTTTGCCATAACTTTTATATTTGGGCACACCGGGCTTAAGAGTGGGATGTCTTGATGAAGGGTGAATGAATATTAAGGTTATTTGAAGAAAATAATTGTCCGCTGGAGACTAGATCTGACTGTGAACTCTACCTCCGAAACAATAAGGGACGTTCTTAGCTCAGGTGGAATCTTGATTTTCACCTCTTTCCTCAAAAATCTTTTTTATTGCAATGACAAGGTATTTTTGAAAAATAGGCGTGAATGAGCATCGAGGAGTTCTCCGGGGAGTTATCTTTGGGGGTACTTATATGTTTGTCCTATGAATCACGTTCATTCTAAGTTGACCCTGATGGTTGGAATTCAACCCACAATGTCAGCACTACTTCTAGGAAAGGATCCTTTTGTGTTAGCAGCTGCAACTCGGGGTTCCGCTTCTATGGGAGCAATCAGCCTTGTACGGGCAATGAATGGGGTGGGATTGAAAGGCAGCTGTTCGTGTCCAGTGTCGTAAGAACAATCGACTGGCAACACAATGACATTTGGATCACCTGTTTGATATCAACAAGGACCAAATAATAGACACAAGGGCCATGTGGTATTTCGAACAATAGCCATTCTTTGTCGCGTGAACTATCAATGCGAAGAGCCATTCTTTTGTTTCCTCTGGATTCCGTAGTATTGTATCTTTGGCACCATGTCTTTTCTTTATGGGTCTGATGCTGCATTTTGAGCCTTTAAGAGTAATTAATATGTAAGAATATGGTAACTAGTTAATGTGACTTTAGCATGGCGATTGTTTGCTATAAGGCTCGCCGACCTTAAGAGTATTGATATTAAATTTTCAGGAGGCCTCATTTGCGCAGCTGGGCCCTTTTTACATCAAATTATCTTGTGTGAAAGGTCCATCTTCCATTCACTAATAACCACAAATCGCATACAGAAGTAATAGATGACAGTGATAGCAAATAAATCATTCATGTCCTGTTCTTTAGGCGGTCGGAGATCCACATCTAGACTCACTGACGCTATTGACCGAGTCAGAACTGAGTTTCAGAAACCAGAATATTGATATGCCTGTTCTTGACTAGAATAGGTCATAGAACGCATAGAGCTCAATCTCAAAACCCCCCCCAAAAAAAATGAAAAATAAAAAATAAAAAAAATAAATAAATAATGAAGTACTCCGTACTGCATCAAAATTAGCTGCAGAACGGATGAGATACAGCGAATTCCAGCAGGGCATTGGAATTCAACCATGTAACCAGTTAACCAGTCAAAGTTAATGAGTTTAAGGGGCAGAGGTCCCACAACGGCCCGTTACCATGGGCAGTCAACTGATCACTGCGAAAGCATTACGCTGGAGTGCGTACTGTGCAGGGTGCAGATCGCAGGGACTGCAGATCCGCAGGCTTCAGCGTGCAGCAAAGTAATTATACAGCTAACAAGCTGGGACTGTTGAACTCAGGAAGCCTGATGAGAGTTCAATTTACGAAACTCGCCGTCAGGAACTGACACTGATGTGAAGAAAGCAAAGCTGACTGGCTGTGACTTGACTGTGACGATGAGTACTTTGGGGTCATCACTCTTGCACGACGCTTCTTAAGTTAGGAGCAAATAATCCTAAGCGCCCACGCGGCTCTAGCGCCGTCAACTGGAATGCTGTCTTCCGCGCCATTTTCTTTTCGGTGAAATCCCATGTTTAAAGGGTTATAAATTTTGTGCTCCTCTTTTCTTTCCTTCTATTGTGAATAAATAACTACTCCTTTGTCCTCGAGTCCGGAATCGCTGGTTGACCAATTCACATATCCGCTCAAACCTAACCTGCAGAATGTGAAGCTTATGTCCTCCTCATTCTCTAGCCTAAAGACCCTGCAGCCGATGGCAACCACCTCTATTAACGGCTCAGTCTCACACCAGCCCTCCGACAAGCAAGCTAGCCCTTTACGATCAAGCGCATTTCTCGCCGACCTAATACCCATTCTTATAGTGCTGATCTATGCATTTGCTATTACCTGCTATTTTCACGATGGTATAATTTCCAGCTGTCGTGGAACTATCCTCCGGCGATGGAGAAGGAGAACCGGAACTGCGCGGAAAAGAGGCTATGTGAGTGTTGCCAATGACGATGGCGAGGAAGAAGAGGAGGAGGAGGGGGGGGAAGAGGCGAACAGGTCGCATAATAGTCAGTTCGCACAACTACGACATAAGCATGCTGATGAAGAGGCAACCATCGAATTACAAGACGCGAAACCGGCGAAGAAGGGAAAGAAGAAGAAAAAGAATCGACCCAAAAGCTTGGTTCTACGTGGATATACTCCACTTCCATCCTGTCCAGAGGACCTTGATCATGGCGAGGAGACGGAGATGGAAACGAGGATGCACAGGGTGCATCAGGGCTTGGAACAGCGGTGGGAACGGGCTAGTGATGTGCTACGGCTATCAAGGTACTTTGATGGTAACACTGGGCAGCTGAAAAGGTGCATTTTGATGGAGCCTGAGACCGAGTTAAGCCAGATGAGGACGAAGGAGGACAGCGGCCTATTCGAGCACATTGGAGGCCTTGGTGACCACCTGATAGGAAGATGGTTCGATCGAACTGTTCATAGGATGGTGGTTAAAGTTCTGCCTTGGTTGGAGTCAGGGAACAATGATGGCAGCGAGATATATCGGAAATAGCCGTAAATAAGGAAAAAAATCCCGCCTCGCTTTTTTCATTGTTGTCTAGCGCTGGTCACAAGGTTCATAGAAGGAACCGATCTATCTATTTCATGTGGCTTCAAATTCCATTCTTTCAAGTACGCCAGATCCAAGCAAACCCGAAAGAAGTGTGGTGAATCGAAATCCATCAATTTAGGGACAAGTGTATCCACCGTCAACGATGATATCCGTGCCAGTGGTGTAGCTCGAAGCATCAGAGGCCAAGTACACGTATGCACCGGCCAATTCGTGTGGCTGTCCCTCGCGGCCCATTGGGATCTTGCCCTGCAACATCTTCAGCGTGTCTTCACCAAGAAAGCTAGACAGTTCGGTAGCAATATATCCCGGAGAGATGCTGTTGGCACGGGCGAATTGAACCCACTCCATCGCCAGGGATTTACCTAGAAAAAGCAGAATTGAGAGGTAAGTATGATATAATTTCTTTCTTTGGCTCTTTTCCTTTTTTCTTTTTTTATTTTTTTTTGGGGGGGGGGGGGGGGGGGGGGGGGGTCAGGGAGCAACATAAAGTGGCGCCAGAACTGACAGAGATGGATGACTCCGGCCTTTGCAGCGTTATATGCCGCCTGCAATTGCGGGACATTGACAATGTGTCCGCTCATCGACGCAGTCGCGATGAAGCTACCGTACGTGAAGTTGTGGAGCTTGTTTCCATTGATATCCGTCCCTTCTTGCTTCTGTCGCCGCCAGACCGGTGCCACGGCCCGTGCGGCGTAGTAAACTCCGTCGAGGTCGGTGCTGATGACCTTGCGATAGTGATCGAGCTGGCCAGCCGTCACGGCGCCCTGGGTCCAAGGAATGCCAGAGTTGGCGACGAAGATGTCGAGACGGCCGTTGAACTCCTTGAGGACGGTCTGGACGGCGTTTTCGATCTGCTGGGGTTCCTGAACGTTGACCTGGTATGCCCTGGCTGTTGAATAAGTGAATCAGCCCAAGTCCTATGTTGTTGTTCATTGATTGCTGGGAAAGAGGAGAACCTACATCGAACACCGTATTTCTTCTCGATTTCAGCAGCGCGGTCGTGAGCCGACTTGTTGCTGTGGTACCACAGGGCAACGTTGGCACCGGCTTCAGCGTACGCTTGAGCGACGGCAAGGCCTATTCCCGCGGCGGCACCGGCGATGATGGCTGTCTTCCCCTTGAGCGAGAAGAGAGCCATTACCCCGCGGTCTGCGGATGGGGCCTGGGTGTTTTGCAGCGACCACGACGCTCCCTTGTTGGAAATGGCGCTGTCCATGGCTGGTTGACTGGATGAGATAGCACGTTGGTCCAACAAATTTGGCCAGCTAACAGAGCGTCTTGACGAAGAGCTATGAACTGAGAGAAATATACACCTAATAAAGTTTCTGAGAATGCTTCAATCGAGATTGTGGTTTTTGACACCACGCAATGAGGGGCAGATGCGGGCTTTCTATTTTATAGCCCCGCGGTGTGGCAGCTCCCTGCGCTCGCCGGCCGTGCAATTGGCGGCGCTGCACGGAGCACCGCGCAAGGTTGCTGCGTGGGAACCGCGGTGGACAACGCGCGCTGGGATGACGTCACGCGTGGGGTCGCTGGTGGCCGCATCGGGTCTAGTGCGTGGTTCCGGTGTCCGCGATTGGTCAGTAGCGTGCTTGGCAGCTTGGGGTTGTAGTTTGCTGCGTTTGCACTCCCGACGACGCTCCATCCCGGCTGGACAGAGAGCAGGACAGGTTAAACAGGCTTCCTCACGCAAAGGGGAAAAAGATCACGGCCGATGCTTCACGATACGCCGGTTTTACTGCGATTGCTTGAGTATCCGGGCATTTTTTTCTCTCTTTCGCCCCAGCGATGCGAATAGTCCATGCTTGAAGTGAAATCGGGTTGACATTTTATTCAAGGTTTACCCACTAAACAGTGGAACTGTCACCCCCCCGGTCAAGCAAACTTGAGAGGTCTCACCGAACCCAAATCGTATCCAAATTGCGATATTTTCTGTGGCATAAACGGCGAACTATGCCGAAATGCTACCATGACATTCTTCCAGTTGGAATCCTCGAACTACTACCGGTAAACGTGCGATTGAGCTGCTGTGATCTCGAATTAAGATGCTGAGCGCCAAGACAAAGTGAATTTCTAACTAACTGTGAAATTGTCTGGTGCTAATAAGTAATAGGCCCTGCAAGCTCCAGATATCGCCCTGACTGAAACTAGGTCAGGCAAGGTATGGACTGACTTCCAGAAGAGTCAATCATAGCCAAACCCCCCCCAAAAAAAAAGAAAGAAAGAAAGCAAGAAAGGGAAATTAGAAATTAACATAAATATCAGGGATGCGATGGGAGACTCCGGTTGTTATATACAGTGCTGGCCTCGCATGCCCCAGACAGAATTAGAGAGTTAAGGGGCAGTGTTATATACTCTTTCCAGCCAACTGCTTCCCAACGGGTTTGCCCAAAATATCAAGAAGAGCGTGGATTATTGTCAAGGACATCACCCTAAGAGCACCGGGTTCCAACAGTCCAGTCAATTGGGTCTCTTTTGAGCATCCTTTCTCGACAGGAATACCCCTCATGCGCTCATCAAGCCAGATCATAGCCTGAGGTGCTCCCGTGATGGTGTTGCTCGCATGATCCGCAGTCAGATCCGTTCTGAACTCGACATCAGCTCCGCCGGCGCAATAGCGATCAAAGATAGCCACCGTTTCGTTCCAAGGGCTGATTACGTCGTTCTTGGCCTTGTAGATGAGGACCGGGATCTTGGGAACGTGACTGCCCATCGAGTTATAGTTGAGGATCTCGGTGACATATTCGAGGTTAAGGATATCTGGATCCTTGAGGTACGCATACATATCGTCAAATGCGTACGTGAGGATGTTTGCACCGAAACATTGGTTATCGGCCTTCATGAATTTCTCCTTCTTCTCCTCCTTGATCTGCGTCTTAAGGATGCTCTCCACCACCGGATATTCGCGCGAAAGTCCAATAATACCTCCGGGAATCAGACCCGTGAAGATGGATTTATTGATGGAGGCGATGACGGTCGAGATCTTGGGAACTGTACCGCCCAAAGCGACGCCGGCGATCTTCAACTCGGGGGCATATGCCGGCTGCAATTCAGCAGCAAATCCACTTGCCAAACTTCCTCCAGAGTAACCCCACATCGTCACGCGTGCCTTACAGTTGACCCCAGTGATCTTGGTCGAGGCCAAAGTCGCACGGATGCCGTCGAGCACCGCATATCCCGCGCGAACGTTCGCCAAGAAGGCACCCTTGGGGCCTTCGAAATCGGGAACAGTGACAACCCATCCTTTTTCGAGGGCAGCGATCATAAGCAGCAGCTCAGCCTGTGTCACAATCGTTCCGAAGGGTCCTCCGGTCGCCGACTTCAGTTGCAAGGCATACGACGGGGCGCAGTTGATGGATGCTGCATCTTCAGCGACCTGGTAGGAGACGACTTCGTTGTAATCGGCCTTATGTGGAACAAGAACTGTTGTCACAGTAGCAGTGGGTTTGCCGAAGTTGTCCGATGACCTGTACAGGAGCTGGTAGGCGCCGGCCAAATTGATACGGAATGTGGTGAACGCAGCAATCGGATAAGGGACTTCACGGGACCGGAGAATTTCGCCGGGAGCGGCCTTCTCGTACCCCTCCGGGGGAATATAGAAGGGGTCCTTCTCTGGAAGGACGGGTCGGCCCCGGGCTTCGAGAGGTGGTGGAATGGCGTGTGCAGCCAGTGCACACAGATAAAGTACAAGGAGCCACGCCGCGCGGAAAGCCATCTTGGAGGAGGGTAATGATGGGACCGCGGGGACGCCGTTTAGAGAGATAGACGTTCAACGGCCAGTTACCAGACGCCATCTGGGGGGAGCAACCGACCTCTTATATAGGAAGAATCTAAGTATCTCCGCCCCTCCACCTGATGGACAATGCGCTGGGCCTGGCGGTTGGAAAGTCAATGCTCTTCGCATCTCTGGCCCCGCCGTCACATCGTGCCGATCCTCTCCGGAAGTTAGCCTTTTGTTTTTGTCTCCCCGTTGAAGAGCTTGTCTTTATTTTGGAAATGAAGAGCCGAGGCCAATGATTGGGCTCCCCTTGATATGCTTCCTTTTGACAGGTGAAGGTTGGGCCGGCCTATCAGCTTCCATGACGGCCATTGGAAACGCTCTGCTACGATATCTCTTCCCAGGGTTCTCATGGAATTGAGAAATAGAAAACAACACTCGCGCCCTGCGAAGATCATCTTTTCCCGCCAAATCGCTCAAACGAATGTAAAAGAGATGGGAAAAGCATGTGAATAGCCGAAGGGCCCTTATTTATTAGCATTTATTCAGAAGAGAGTGAAAAAAAAAATAAGCATGGAGCGTATCCCAATCGGGCCATCGGCCATGTTCCCTGCCCCAGTATTCCTGGGGTCCGGGTTCTCCGCACTTCGGTCTTCGCACCGGTTAACCCTGAACATCACACATCAATTTAACCAGTAGAAACGCGTGAAAATTTTTTTTCACGCAGCGAGTGAAGACTCGAAATTCGACTTGGATGGTTTCTTTGGCTTCCACAAGGAGTCGCTTGGCAGAATGATCCGAACAAGAGCCAATAATTCACTTGCTCAGTGCTGTTCTTCGGAAGCCGAACTAAAGCCTTAATCCACTTGGCACGGGGTACGGAGTACGGAGTACTCAGAGACATATTTGAGCATGTACGGAGTACTTAATAACTCGCTCCTTTATTCCGTACTCCACACGGAGTACACACCAAAGCATACGGAGCACGAAGTAAAGTGATTACTGGATATTTCGTTGGGACTGCGATTTCAAATTGAGCTCGCAATGGACCGGAAAAATGTTCAGCCTGGACTTAGGACTTGACGAATGGCATGTTCATATTCGTCAAATACGACCATAGAAAATTTAACAGCGGGGGTAGATGGGACAGGGTGTGTCGTAGTTCGTCGTCCATCCCTGGTCATCGATGGTCACACTATCAAGTGACCTTCTTCCCCTTGCAAAGGGTGAGCCTTGAGTGGATAACCGTGTTGAGTGCCGAGTACCTCTTCCATGTCAACATCCTCTTCGCGCTTTTAAACACCACCAATTACGAGAGTGTTTGGTCAACAGCTGATGGCAAAGAAGCCATGTACTCCATATCTGTAGATGGAATTTAGCTGAAAGCTCGAATACAAAAGCAGCCTCTCAGCACTATTGTCCGACTTCGATATTGATGAAAGGACTAGTTCTTTCGTCGATCGAGATCCCTTCGTTCGGGCAAAGTCGAACTCGATTTCCCAAATCGACATAAGACACGGAGAATTGACTTTCATTTTTGGTACTCTGCTTGAAACGCTTTGGCCTTTTCGATGTTCTCAAGGATGCCCTCGATGCTAATTTCTGGGAGCTTGTTCAGCCACCGGTCTCACTCTCGAGCAAGCTCTTATCCTCTTCAGATCGACCCCCGAGCCAGGAAACCGATTCAAACAAGGATGAACCTCCCAGTCGGTCTTTCAACGTTTTCTTCTTTTCCGTCGGGGAAGGGATGTGATATACACTGCACATGCTAGGCGCAGCCAGCCAGACGTACTAGTGCGGGGGAAGTTGAGCCCAAAAGACCGATGACGGAGTCAACTTTTGAAAAACAGCTTATGGACTTTCACGGAGCTGGGCTATCACCGTTCATGACCTCAGCTCTATGGGCTCCTTGTTTTGAGAGTCATGAGCCCATTATGTCGTCAACTGTTTCTCATGGATCATTAGGATATACTCCGTGATTCTACGTTGAATAGTGGCTCTCAAATGCCCAATGGAAATGGCCGTTACGCATTTTAACATTGCGCGACTTCGCATCTCCACCTGCAGCTGATGGGCGAGGTCTGCAGGTATACATTCAAGAGCACACTTGCGACATACATACGAACGGGCGTTCAACACCCAAAGGCTGATGGCCAAAGCTTCCGGCAACTTGGGCCATTGTAGTTTGGATGTTCTCCATTTGGGTTGCCTCGAGCCGGGGACGGAATTCACATCCGATACAAGGAGAGCGTAAGGTAGGCGGAAGGGCAATTCAATGCGATCCACCACGAAACCCCTTTTTCTTTTCTGTTGGGACGACTCATTCCAGGGTTGCTAAAACGCTCAGTCGGACTAATGAGAGGATTTGTTTCAAAGTGAGAAAGTAATGGATCTATTCTGTATTACGGAGTATATGGCGGCTAGCTGCTACAACCTTGGAGAAGGGCATGGCCGTCCAAGCCTAACTCGATATCCTGCGCCAGCAGATGTAGCGCAAACGTCTGAAAAAACTGATCTATCAACATCTGGCCTTTCAAAGTGTGAATATTATTATAGTATGCAGCTATAGTTGGATAGCACAACTTATTGAGTATTCACAGGCTTCGCAACTCATCTCCCTTTAATCTTTGCATTTCGATCATTTTTGAGACAATATTGCTCTATGAAGATATTGATCACCCGGTTCTTCGCCATTTTGTTTCTTCCGTCTCTGCACCACTTCCGTTTTGGCCTCCCTCGTCGTCCTCTCGGGGCCGGGTCGAGCCTGCGCCCGGTCCCAGAGGCCCCTGGTCATCACCAATCCAGTTACCCTCCTCGTCAAAGTACTCGTGCATATTTTCCGCCGTAATCCATCCTCCACTTCCAGGCATCGCAGGAGGAAGCCCGCCTGCACTGTTTCCAGGCATGATCAGACCATTCTGGAACAACACGCTGTTCCCAAGCTGCTGCTCATCTTCACCCTCTTCCTCGCCGGCGGCCGGGTCTGGGTGGAGGTTGGAGCAGGTAGATAAAGCAGCGAAGAGAAGTTCCGTGGGAGTCTGGGAAGGCTTGTCGTCTGTGAGGAGCGCTTCGTCTTCTCCCTCCCCTTCTGCCCGTGTACTAGCCGTTTGCGGGACAATGGTCAAGGAGACTGGCTCTTCCTCTACATCCTCCTCCATGTCCTCAGCATCCCCTCCCGTTGAGAGCTGCATGTATAGTCCTTGTACATCCGTTGTTTCTTGTGAGTTAGGTAGCTTGAGGCGCTGAATGGCATGGAGTGATATCGTAGGGTACGGAATGGCGACGCCGGTCGTCGCAGCCGCATTGTAGAGGAGCAATTTCCTATGGACCGCCCAAAAAAAAATAAATGGAATGGTTAGCTATCAGATACATCATTGGAACCCCAGTGCTGAGAATGTCTCATACTCAGATGTAACCCAAACGTCGACACCATCAATCACAACTTCTTTCTCTTGATCTCCGGACGCTTCGACAGTAGGCGCGCCATTTGTCGCATCTGGACCGGCAGTTGAAGGCCTAAGACCGCTCAATGCTGGGGTGGAGGTCAAATCTCCGTCCAGGATCACAACCTTACATCTCTCGCTCAGGTGGTGCAGGATCGGAGGCCCGGAGTAGAAGGACTCGGGCGTGTGGGATTGGTGCTCAGCGAGCGTGACGAAAGATGCCGGGTTCGGGGCGTCGTGAAGAACTTCCATTCTCGCGTTTAGAGCTTTGGTCGTGGTATACTTTTCTTTTGCGACTCGTGAGGTGCTTCGAATGATCCTCTTCTTTTTCTTCTAGGCGGGGGAGAGGCGACTGGTGGTGGGCAAGTAACAGTGGTTGGGTGCGACCAAGGCTGCATGACGCGAAGTCCCTTTGACTTTGTGCTGAGTATAACAAAACGCATGCGCCCAGCGGTCAGTTATACTCAGAGGTTTACGCTGTGGAAATTCATATATTATTGAGAATTTTCTTAAATATATATAATCCTATAACCAGATACATGTGGGACTTAAGATATGCCCATCTCCCGAATCCTCGACCACGCCAAACTGACCAGACCTCAAGTCTATTGCTACTACTAATAATAAATATTGATATGGCGGGCTGGAGGATCTAAAATGCTTCTAGAGCGTGTCTTACTGATTTGAGAGAAATGTCGTATGCGTTCCCCTTCGGCGATATCTCCCATGGCCCGCTTAAAAACTCACCCCGCAAGGATGGGGACCTTGAGTGAAATCAATCCCACTTTGTACTGGGGAGGGTGGACGACCGTAGCGCAATAATTTGCTACTAGGCGTGCTGAGAGTACCTGTTCCGAAACCGAGCCTTCCCGTGAAGCTCATACGGAGGATGTAAAGGTGACCTTGTGGCATGTTGTAAAGCACATCCGATGGATTTCACCTTAGTGCAAGCCCCCCAAATGCACGATCAAGCTCCTCTCCCTCGTTCTTTGGGATCATCGGAGATGTAGTCACCTTCCTGCTTTGTTCCGCCAACTGTCCTTCTAAAATGCTTGCCTCACTCTGAGCGCCAGCCTTGGATGATGAGTGGATCGGCTGCAGAAGCTTCTCCTCTCGATCTAGCCACCCAGGAGCAACACGTCGCTTTTCCGCGAGCTCGCGAGCCTTGTTTGATTCTTCCCATTCTCGGATTGTAGCCTCTGTCTCTGCCCGTAGTTTGTTTATATGATCCTCAAGCTGTTGACATGAAGCGATAATCTCATCTGGATGAGCGGCGTGGCCACCGGAAGAAACCACATAGCGGGCCTTTTCCGAGCTGGCTCCATCAGCTAGAACAGAAGGTGGGAGAGTAGAAGGGACGGATTTATAGGTGTATGGAAGGGTCATGGCCGTCGGCAAAGAGACGAACGGGGAAACTGTTAAGGGTATCTGGGCTAACAGCGGATGGGGTTCTTTTTGGCGAAAGGTCAGCTAGTTGCCCGTCTTGTCGCGAAGCCGGCTTGGCTGGGGTGAACTCACTGGACAAGTCGTACATGTTGTTCTGGAAGTTCCGGTTGAGACGGGGCTCAGCCAGGAGAAAAGGTTGCGTCTTGTACGGAGTGGACGTGAACCAGAGCAGCTCAAGCGGTAATGACCTTGGCCAGGGTTGTGTTGATGTCGCTGAGTCGGTGGTGGCGTGGAAAGTCGCGATCAGATGCTTGGCCGAGGCGGCCGCTGGCTTTTGTGGTTCTCGAAGTCCAAACAACACTCAGTGCCGCCCTAAGCGGCACTTAAACAACATCCAAACAACCAGAGCCATCAAAATTGATAAGATCTGCGCAGTTCAGCCTACCTTGTTGTCGATTCACCAGCGTCGCCAAATCCCTCGACTGACCTGCAGAGGCTACGGACGCCACTCTCCTTGCCCTGTTGCTGCCTCACCGATAGTTAAACCTTCGACCACACCCAAACGTGTGGAGAGACCTACCGTCCCACTCCCCCTGACCGCGATCACGGACTCGCCGAACCTTGATGTCGCAACGGTTCGCGACGATTCTGAGCCTCGTCGAATTCAAGTTCCTACTGGCCTGACGATATCTGTTACCCCTTGGAGTCTTCCGCGATAATTTCTCTTCACCGGCCATCCTGACCAACCAGGCAAACCTGGGTGAAAAAGGAATAATTGTGAAACAAGCCTGGTACCCCTCCACTGAGAAAGCTATATTTCTTTTTTTCTCTTCTTTTGCAAAACTGCGCGCTTGCACATCTCACCAACTCATTTTTTTCTTGCTCCTTGACCTTCTCCCAGCGCGCGTCGCTGTGTTGAAACCTGAGCCGCCATGGATGGGTCCAAAATTGTCCGGGCTGTCACCGAGAAGAAGCCCGTCCCTGAGATTGACTTCACACTCCATACTATGGAAGACGGGACCCAGGTTTCTACCCTGGAGAGAGTCTGCAAAGGTATATTTTTTCCTGCACTTTCAAGAACGCCTGGCCTCTTAACTCACAAACCACACAGAGGTGCAAGCTCCTGCATTTCACACTCCAACAAACGAACAGTTCTGGTCACCTGTGGATCCCTCCAAGCCTAATCTCGCATTTCTCAAGCAACATTTCTATCGCGAAGGACGACTCACCGAAGATCAAGCGCTATGGATCATACAAGCAGGAACAGAATTGCTGCGTGCAGAGCCAAATCTCCTGGAGATGGATGCTCCCATCACCGTGTGTGGCGACGTGCATGGCCAATATTATGACTTGATGAAATTGTTTGAAGTTGGAGGAGACCCAGCAGAGACACGATATCTGTTCCTGGGAGACTACGTTGACAGAGGTTACTTCAGCATTGAGGTATGCCGAGATCGTATTGTCTATCGTGTGTTTTCACTGACATCGTGATGGTAGTGCGTATTATATCTATGGGCTCTAAAGATCTGGTACCCTAATACACTCTGGTTGCTGCGCGGGAATCATGAATGCCGCCATCTCACTGACTATTTCACATTCAAATTGGAATGCAAACATAAATACTCAGAGAAAGTGTATGATGCATGCATGGAGTCATTTTGTGCACTCCCCTTGGCTGCCATTATGAATAAACAGTTCCTTTGCATTCACGGTGGTCTAAGCCCTGAACTACATACGTTGGAGGATATAAAATCTGTAGGTTTAGCCCCTCCACTGTTCTCCAATCACTTGATAATTAATTGGTGTGAAGATTGATCGCTTCAGAGAACCACCTACTCATGGATTAATGTGCGACATTCTCTGGGCCGACCCTCTTGAAGATTTTGGAACGGAAAAGACGGGGGAATATTTTGTCCACAACAATGTCCGAGGATGTTCCTTCTTTTTCTCTTATCCAGCGGCCTGTGCATTTCTTGAGAAAAACAACTTGTTATCGATAATCCGCGCCCACGAGGCCCAAGATGCCGGGTATAGAATGTATCAGAAGACTCGCACAACTGGCTTTCCCAGTGTCATGACTATCTTCAGCGCTCCTAATTACCTCGACGTTTATAACAACAAAGCCGCGGTTCTTAAGTATGAAAACAATGTAATGAACATCCGACAGTTCAACTGCACGCCTCACCCGTACTGGCTCCCGAATTTCATGGACGTTTTCACCTGGTCACTGCCATTTGTTGGCGAAAAGATTACTGACATGCTAATTGCCATTCTAAACACATGCTCAAAGGAAGAGCTCGAGGAGGAACCTTCGGCATTTTCTTCTGCTCCAGCATCGCCGCCTCTTCCAATGGATACTGACAGTGCAGAGTTCAAGAGACGCGCAATCAAGAACAAGATCCTTGCTATTGGGCGTCTGTCTCGCGTTTTCCAGGTTTTGCGTGAAGAATCCGAACGTGTTACGGAATTAAAGACTGCATCTGGGGGTCGTCTGCCTGCAGGGACGCTCATGCTTGGCGCAGAAGGTATCAAACAAGCGATTCATAATTTTGAAGATGCCCGTAAGGTCGACCTGCAAAACGAGCGCCTGCCGCCCTCACAGGAAGAAGTGATGAGGAAGGCGGAAGAAGATCGAAGACAGGCCCTAGAGCGCGCGGCTCAGGAAGCAGAGAATGACGCTGGACTCGCTACTGTGGCCCGGAGAATCAGCATGTGAGTCGCATTGTGGTATCTGCGCTGTTCTGGCTTAGACTAATCGATCTCAGGTCCTCTGGCTCTGGCAGACCTCGCCGCAAGGAGGCATAAGGGCGTCGTTGCAGACAGTCCAGAAAGTTGTAGACTGCGCCTAAACTTCTTGCCGTCACCTCTCCTCCTCTTGTCCTTTTGCTAAGACTCTCTGGCGCCCCTTCTCGCCAGCTAATCTATCCCAAATAAAATAAAATGAAATTGTATGGAGATGATTCACGAAGAAAGAACTTAATGATTATCCTGGATGAAACCCCTTCAGCACGTCACCAGCACGTCCTCAGCACTGCTTCCCGTTTTCGGGTCGTTTCGTGCATGAGTTGGATCCGCCGCGGGTCTCAATGATACCGATGATTTGTTTCGTGTACATCCTGAAGATTTGAAATAGTTATTGCCAGCGAAAATACCAATGGCCTTGTTAATCTTCCTCGTAGTTCCTCCTGTGTAACATTTCCGGATTATTTCTCCCAACGCGCCGTCATACCAGCCGGATGCCAAGCCCTGAGCTTCCTCGTCCGCCAAAAGTTGACCGTCAACGAAACAAACTCCCAACCACAAGGTGCTCGACTCTTCGCAGGTCCAATGCCCTCAAAACTCCGGGCTGGCCTCTTAAAAGGGCCTCTAGACCTAGCAGATTTCCTCCTCTCCTGTCCGGCGTGCTCCCCAGCCCGCCAATCCCTCCGTTCTACCGTGAATTCCTCTCCGCTTCGTCGCAAATTCCCTAGATTCCACCGACGCCTTACGTCAACAGTCTCCGCTAGTGTCGCATCCCATGAGAATCAGTTTGTTCCGGCCCGGTATAAGGAATTATATGAATCTTTGGGCCGGGTTGGCGAAGTTGCAGCAGAGCATGTTGATCTAGCACGATTGCAGCTGGCGTTGAGGGGCTTGGAGAGCGAGAGGCCTGTTGTGAGAATTGCCGGTAGGTCACGCACATATTAGGCTCAGGTTGGACATAATCAAGCCGAATTGGAGCTGACTTGTGGGTTTTGGTGTGGTGGATAGTGCTTGGAGTGGATGATACTGCGACAGCAGTCAGACTTGTGCGATTGATCCTTGCCGACCCGTTGAGTTCCAAGGCGGACTGGGAGAAGCATCTCGAAGAATACCATCTACGTGACTCGCAGGGGCTGTTGATAAGGTGTGTGCGCTTTCTAGGCTCGGCTGTCTTTGATCGTGGGCTGAATAATGCAGATATGGTGAACCTTCAGAAACTCCGGTAACCGATAGCTCATTGCCAACGATTTCCATACCATCGATAACACTGCGGAATGCGAGCATTGAAATTTTAATTTCGTCAATAAGTACTAGAACATCACATTTGCTTCCTGCTGCTATATCCAATGCCATTGAGACGCCTACGATATCCATCGGCTCATCCGACGGTGCACACCATACTACCGTTCGATATCCCGTGCACAAGACTATAGTTTGTGGAAATGGAATCGACGATCTGTTGGCATACACAAAAATAGCAAAAAATATAAATGGAAACGCCGATAAACCCATCGTCCACGCGACATTCAACCTCAACGCGAAACCGGCACCGAAAACAGGAAGCCAGTCATTATCCTTTGTCGATTTAGAACAAGCAGAATTGGCACTAGCTAGATTCAGGGAGTCAGCTCAGCATGCGACTGAATATGAGCGTGGGTGGACGAGGAGCGGTATTCAACCCCTCATTGAGTGGATGGTTGAACAATACCAAGACTCCGCCCTACGTCCAGAAGTCCGTGGACTCGCCCAGTCAGTCCTAGATTCTACAGAGAGAAATCTCGCTAGGGACGAAAATGCCACTCTACAAAAGCGAGAGGCGGAGTCGGTCTCAGAAAACGTGCGAGCAGCTTTGGAGACAGAAGTCTCGTCATGGGCGGAGAGTGCACATACGGAACTCCGACAGTCTCTTAATGATGCGTTTTCCAACCATAAATGGCGTAATCTAGTGTGGTGGAAGCTGTTTTGGCGAGTTGATGATGTTGGAATGTTGAGTGCAAGTATTCTGGATAAGCAATGGCTCCCGCAGGCGGAACGGAAAGCGATATGGCTCGGCGGGAAATTCCAGCAGGCTGGGTTACTGAACCAAAAACAATCTTTTCCGATTCAGACGACCGATGGTGCAACCTCAAATTTGAAGGAAGGCGAGGCGCTCAAGGCCCTCTCGACCGGGAAATGGCCCGCCACTATTTCACAAACCAGAGATCACCTCCTCAACACAAAGGTGCCATCGCTTCATGCGCTGGCACAAACTCTGGTGCTTAGCAGTGTGTCAACGACGACATTAACGTCCGCTTTGTCGGTATTAACGTACGTGGCAACTTCCGCTACGACTTTGGAGGAGGCCGGTACAATTGCCGCGATTGGTATAATTTATTCCCTACGACGACAACAAAAGCGATGGGATGCAGCCCGCAGATACTGGGAGAGTGAAGTGCGAGAGGAAGGGCGGAAGGCTCTGAAGGATAGCGAGGATGCCATACGGACGTTGTTAAGAGATGGCGGCCGGGCCACAGAGCCTGTCATCGACACTGAGGCCAGAAAGGGGATCGATAGAGCCAAAGTGGCCTTAGAGAGTGTAAAATAGAACTCTTATGTATTCTACGTTGAAATGTATACCCATTTTCTGGAGTCAGAACTTTCATCCATTCATTCGTTAATTCGCTCCAGCCGTCGTCAATATTCGGCTGGAAGGGTATTCAAGTGAGCTCGACGCTGCCCTCAAGGACACCACTTCTACTCCGCAGCCTTCGAGAGAGGAACTGCATCACAGGCAGCATTTCCTCTCTATTTCCCGGCATTCCGTCTCCTCTCCGCTGCCACCGTACCAGCTCCACGAAGTCAAACTCCCCTTTCGTCCGACCCGTCCCTCCGTCTGTCACCGCGCTCTCTGGGCCCCTTCCGCCGACTAGCAGCACAGGAGTCCCTGACTTGCCTCTTCTGCCATCCTCCTTTACAGCGGAAAGAGGAACAACCCCTCCCAGAGCCACAACGCCTCCAAGTTCTCTATATTCCGCTTTCTCCAGGCGATTCAACTCCATGGCCGCGGCAAGCCCCACCGCGGCACCCTGTGCGTATCCAAGGATCAGAATCTCCCTCGCCTTGTACCCCAATTTTTCAATCAACACGTTGACTATAAGCTCATGCACGATTAGGCGACTGGCACGTGTGAAGCCCGGATCCGGATCGATTGTGTCACCTTCAAATACGAGATCGTCGCCCCAGTGGTAGCCCGTGAGCAAGAACGGGAGCTGGGTAGGCGCTTGGAGAGTTATACAGGTCGTTTCCGGGAGATGTAAGGCTGAGGCAAAGGAGTTGTATGGGTTGATAGTGTCGCCGAGACCGTGAAGGATGAGAAGGATGTTTGTGCTGCTGCTCGCTTGGGAAGCGGGAGGAATGATGGATACGGTTAAGGAGGACGGGAAATCAGAGGACTGGGGTACTCGAGGCATGGCTGCAGATGAGCTGCTTCGTTGTTCTTCCTTTGTCGCTTCTTTTCCGTGTGTCTCTTCCCGAAAGCTAGGTAAATCTTTTCGACGAATCGATCTAGATCAGATTGTGAGACTTCGCGACAAGGCTATCGGGAGTTAACAGGACAAATTCAGCATCCGTTCCCGCTTTGGGCACCGCCGTGGTTTAGTCAATGCATTTCTTTTCCCCCCTTCGGATTTCCAACCGATAGGCACGGAAGCAGGATTTTAACACGCGTGACGCATTGCCGCCCGTGGTTTCTCTGAACCTCTCACGCGGCAGCAGTTATGTTAGGCTATCTACAAGCTTGGGCCACTCGGCTTGGCATGCAGACCAAGTTAAGGAGCAGTTTACCTGGGGCTTCGAACTCCCCAGCAATGGACGGAGGACGGAGCATAATCTGTTCTCTTGCTCTGCAGGACCAATAATGTTCATGTGATATCAACAGTATCAAATACCGGCGCTGTGTTCAGATATCCAGCGCACCCCGTAACTACGACCTCCTGTCCCACTCCGTCATGTTGAGACTTTTGTACCTACATAGTTACATACTGCAACCTGTCGAAGAAACAGAGCCCAAAGCACCTCTCAATCAATACAGTAGCGCATTTGGGGCTCTGGAGGGTTGAGTTCTAAACATCTAGGCCCAAGATCGAGAGCCGTGCATCATAAAAAAAAGAAAAAAAACTTTATCGGGGAACAAAATCAACAAACAAGTGTACGGGATACACTGGGAGATGATTTGATTGATCGGGCCTGCAGACGCTGGTTTTGAACCGGACGGACCAATCAGTGTTCCTTTTCTGTACCACAGCTCTAAGCTCGGCACGCGAGTGATATTACCGTCCTTCGTCTATAGTTTGCTACCAAAAAATGGGTGTTTCGGACAAGCTTTTGGGGCTGTTACCGTGTTTCTGCAGGTTGCTCTAGTTAACTGGTTGGGCTAGGGGGGCCAACCCGCGAACCTGAGCCACCAACACATCTTTTGTTAGTTGTCCTATGTCACACGGCCTCCATCGCTGGTGACCTAGACGAGGCTGCAACCGTTGAACCGCGATGCTCACTGCTGCTGAACGAGGCCGGGATGCACCGCCGGCCACCGTTCCCGACTGCGCGTCGGTTCGGCGGTCTGGGACTGTCGGGAACGGTCGCTGAGTCAGTCGTCGGAAAGCCTCCAACTTGAAGCTACACCACGTGGGGGCAAACCGGTTTGCAAATGCGTGCCAGAAAAAAAAGCAATTCTCGGTGGCTTGCTGGTCCGGTGTCAAATTTCGCTAAGGCTACCACTGGTATTCGGTGGAAGACGAGGGGATGGCTGCGGAGTCCTCGCTGCCGTGGAGTTGATTACGCGCCAAAGGATCGTTAAATTTTTCAATTGATCTTAAAATGCCCAGCGTAGTTCCTCATCAATTGCTGCGAATTCCACACCTGACCCCTTCCACTTCTCTTTCATGCCGACTCGAGTGTGCAACCGAATAAGTGGTCTGTCGATCATGCAGCCAATGCCGAATAAAGATGAAGTTTGCAAAGTACGTTTGGCCCGTGTCAACGACGATCAAAGCACAATTGGGCTGATCTTCTTGATAATAGGGAGCTGGAACAAGAACTGGTCCCAGAATGGCGGGCCAAATACCTGGACTATAAGGTACGCATGGGGAGAAATTCTTCGATGATACTTCTGGGGGGCTAATTTCGAGTTCTCTGTCGTAGCTAGGTAAGAAAAAGATCAAAGCCATTGCCCGTGCGCTCCGGGCTCTCGAACAGGCGCCCCGGACTCCAGGTCGTCGTGGTTTTATACTCTCTGGAAATGATTCTCATACGCCTCGCATCGGGCGCCCTGGTCTCCTTCAGCTTGTCTCGTATCGTGGAACGCAGTCGAAAGGTCCCTCCGATAACTGTAGAAGTAATGAGGAGGGCGACGCGCAACAGATTACCAGTTATTTCCAGCCTCATGTTGCGGTCCTACCCGAAACACGGCCGCTGAAGAGCCCTACTTCGCGGTTTGCAGACCACACTGCCGGTTATGGCAGCATTGTGACTGCAAAATCTCATGCTACTCGGTCAACTGGCCTTCCATCTCTGGAGCTTCCGGACCCCGCCCTAGATCCCAATGAGACAAGTTTTCCTCCCTGTAGTCAAATGTTCAGCGGAGGTTCCCTGAGCTCTGGTGAAACCCCTACTGCAGGGCGGGGCCGGGGTCAAAACGGCAATATTCCTCCCAGCATACTTCCGGGGCCGAGAAATGTGTTCAGACCCAGGAGCGGTTCTCTTCCTGTTCGACCTCGCGCCCGGAAAGGTTCATTCTTGCAGCGTATATTTACGTCGATGGACCATGAATCTCCGGCTGCGGATCCACCCGCAGAAGCGTTCTTTGAGCTGAGGAATAGGGAAAACGAGTTTTTCTATTTTCTGGACTCGGAGCTCGCTAAAATAGAGTCTTTCTATAGATTGAAAGAGGAAGAGGCCACGGATAGACTTGGAATGCTTAAGCAACAGCTTCATGTGATGCGTGACATGAGACTCGAGGAGCTAAGGGCCAAGGCCAGGTCACGACACCAGCGAACGTCCACCGGCACCGCAAATAATGACAACAATGACTCGAGTGCTGCGGCGAGATGGAAGAAACCGCTGAGCAGATCATTAACTACCTCGTCTAAATTTGCCAAAATCTCAAAGGAAATGGATGAGTTACCTACACCTGGATCCACTCTACACAGATCTCATGGGCCCGAGGGCTATAGGGACTTTGTTCGCAGTCAGGAGCGCGATGTCCCATATAGATCAGCCAAAGGAAAGCTCAAAGTGGCTTTGCTCGAGTTCTACCGGGGACTGGAATTATTGAAAGCATATGCCTACTTAAATCGAAAAGCCTTTAGGAAAATGAACAAGAAATATGACAAGGTAACTAATGCGCGGCCAACTGGGAGATATATGTCCGAAAAGGTCAATAAGGCTTGGTTTGTCCAAAGCGATCTTGTCGAGAACCACCTCGTAGCAGTCGAGGACTTGTATACTCGATATTTTGAGCGTGGCAACCGGAAGGTTGCTGTCACCAAACTTCGTGGCAAGACCAGAAGGTCACAGGATTACTCTCCCAACTCCTTTAGAAACGGACTCTTGTTCTCTGCCGGGCTAGTATTCGGCATCCAAGGGTTGGTTCATGCTGTTGGACACCTCTTTAATAATGACGACGACGATGATGACTTTGATGACATACGTGTTCGAACAAGCTATCTACTTCAGGTATTCCCTCCCCGCAACCCCGGTTGGCAACGTTCCTATGCTAACTGGTGTTGTAGATCTACGGTGGATATACTCTGATCTTACTTCATTTTATATTCTTTTGTCTAAATTGCAGAATCTGGACGCTTTCAAAGATCAACTATGTTTTCGTGTTTGAATATGATACCCGACACGTTTTAGATTGGCGTCAGCTTGCGGAGGTAAGGGACCTCCTAACGGCTCAATCCGTGGAATACTATTTGCTGGCGGACCTACTAACGTCGGCAGATACCTTGCTTCCTTGTCTGTTTATTAGGCTTGGTCATTTGGTTAAATTTCGGCTGGGTTAATGAAATGTATATTTATTGGCCAATCGTCTTAATTGGATTGACCATCATCATCCTCTTCATACCGGCACCTATACTTTACCATCGCAGCCGGAAATGGTGGGCTTATTCTAATGTAAGCATGCATGCAGGTTCCCCGGTTCGTTCTGTGCAATCGAAACTAACGCTGTACAGTGGCGCCTGATGCTAGCCGGCTTGTACCCCGTGGAATTTCGAGATTTCTTTCTCGGAGACATGTATTGTTCGCAAACATATGCTATGGGCGTAAGTAGATCCCCTTTTCGATTTAGCACATGCTCGAGCTAACGGTTCAAAGAATCTGGCATTATTCTTGTGTTTATATTCTGCCGGCTGGTCCGATCCTGCCCACTGCAACTCCTCTCATTCTCGGGCGATGGGATTCCTGACAACGGTTCCATCCATATGGCGTGCATTGCAGTGTCTTCGACGTTATCGAGATACCAGGAATTGGTTTCCGCACATCGTCAATCTTGGCAAATATTCGTTTTCTATTATGTACTACATGACCCTAAGCCTGTACCGTGTCAATAAAGTCGAAAGTCTTCGCGCCACTTTCATAGCGTTTGCCCTTGTGAACGCCATATATTCCTCCATTTGGGACGTTGCCATGGACTGGAGCCTTGGAAATCCGTTTTCAAAAAATCCGCTTTTACGAGACTTCCTTGGGTTCCGAAAACGTTGGATATACTACGCAGCGATGGTCGTCGATCCAATTCTTCGATTCAACTGGATCTTCTACGCCATATTCACACATGATCTCCAGCATTCTGCAATCCTCAGCTTCATCGTCTCTTTGTCTGAGGTTTGCCGGAGAGGAATATGGTCTATTTTTCGCGTTGAAAACGAACACTGCACAAACGTTTGCCGATTTAGAGCATCTAGGGACGTCCCGTTACCCTATGATATACCTACGCAAGCGTCCGTTGAGCACATGCAACAACCGAATGCAGCCCAACAACGGGTTGACGGATCCCCCATTGCTCGTGTACCGTCCACCAGGCCAGCCACAGGCACCGACGTTGAGCGTCTGGGCGCTGATGGACTCACCGGTGTGCGGCGCCGCCGTGGATCGCACCGTTCCGAAATGCACGTGCCAAGTGGAACGCTCGCGCGCATGGGATCGATACTAGCGAATGCCCACGCGGAAGATTTTGAACGGAGAAAGAGGCCCGGTGTCGTTGGCAGCGCGCTCGATCACGATGCGGAGCAGGTTCCGGCAGATGAAACGGGCCGTGGTCCAGACGTACATCGGAGGGATAGTAGTACCGATGAGGAGGAAGAAGAGGATGAGGAGAGTGCGAGTGAGGAGAATGACATCAACGCCCTAGATGATCCGTGTCGTACGAGCATGCGAAGCGGAAGTATGTTTGACGACAACGACGATGATGATAATGGAGGGTTGAGGAATTAAGGTTTGGATTCGATCCCCTCTCCTGGTTTTTTCGTTCCAAACCGTTTGGGTGTGGTTGTGGTTTCTCTTGACGCCGGCTGTGCGTTCTGCAAAGCCTTGAGACTTCAATAAATGCATTATTTGAAAGTCCTCCTGAAGCCTGGAGGCCATCGAATGTACATAGAGACGATATCTATAGAGATACACTGCTTGACGAATAATGTATGTAATTAATGTCCGTACCGATGCAGTTGATAACTGGAATAATTAGTAATTATACATCGGACATTGTGCTGCTTACACCTTCCCCCGGGGGGGTTCCTGCCTTGCTCGGTGAAGGGTGGATGGATTCAGCCTCCCTAAAGAGGGGGTTTAACTGCCATCCAATGGGTGGTGCTTGCTAAACTCAGAGCTTCATGCACATCATACAACTACACTCGGCAGGTGCCCTGATCTCGGTTGTTCAGCAAGCCCCCTCCCCCCTTCCCCTCTCGTTTGCATGCGACTGATTATAACTTCTTGCTTGGGGTCTGAAGGTCTGGACTGAGATGTGGCTTGTTGCAACACCCGCTCAACCGGGCAAGAGAGCCGGATTTGGCTCGGTTGTTGCTTGAGCTCTACCTAGTCGATGCATATCCAAAGAAACTGGAATATTCCAATGAGGTCTGTCACTGGTTGCGTCTGATTTCAAACATCCCCTTCCATTTGGGCGACCCAACGATTTCCACCGAAGGGCGGGGGAGACATGGGAGCATGATCCACGCTGCCCATCTGGTCTATTCGTGCATGCTCTATGGATCCATCGTAACCAAAAACTACACAGCTACCTAGGTACCTCGACAAAAGATGGGAAGTCACTCTAGATCAACATAGGGTGTCACAGTCTGTGATGTATATAGGAGACAAAAAGCCCTTAGCTAAAAATAATTCATACCCGGCAAAAAGAAAGAAAACACGATAAGCATACTGCAGACTGAGGAGAAGGCAAAAAAAAATGAGAAACGCAGCCAAAGAAAACCCCACGCCCGACGTGATCCACCCATTCATCTCCAATTACACCAGGACTTGCAAGCCCGTTGATTTCGTCACATATAATTAGATGGTGAAGGCATCCTTGATCTCACTGTAGATAGCACCAAGCTGGCTGGCGGTATTTTGGCCAAGTTTCTCGATTTTCTCGGTCAACTGTGCCGCCTTGTTGCCAGGACGGGTGGCTTCATAGCCGCCTTGTTGGATGATTGCGGTGTAGTTGGACGAGCCGCCGCCGTTCCAGGCGAGAATCTAGATTGAAAAAAGTTAGAAAATCTGATCCACTCACAACGATGAGGCTTTGGAGGAAAACTTACGTTGGGAGTGTCCGCTGGGATGTCAGTAAGAGCGTTCTTGGTGGCGATGGCGATCATGTCCTTCTTCAGCTTGGCAGGGCTGATGGGCGAGACAGCGAAGGCGGAATCCTGCTCCGGCTGAAGAGAGAGGAAGTATGCCAGAAGACCAGCAACATGGGGTGATGCCATGGAGGTACCAGAGATCGTGTTGACTGCATATTTGCTTCCAATCCAGGTAGAAAGGATGTTCAAGCCGGGAGCGAAGATGTCAGTGCACTTCCCATAGTTAGAGAAGTACGCACGCTCATCGGCAAGGGTGGACGCGCCAACAGTGACAGCCTTCTCGGCAGCAGCGGGAGAGTAGTTGCAAGCGTCGGCATTGTCATTTCCAGCGGCGACGGCGAAGTGAATACCCGCATCAACAGCAGCATTGACAGCCAAGTCAAGTGTGAAGGACTTGCCGCCTCCCAAACTCATGTTGGCAGCGCTGCCCTTGAACGCTTTGTTACCTTTCTTTCGGGCCTCAACCATCTTGCTAAGATGGGCACCTGCAGCCCATTCAACTCCCTTGACGACGTCAGACATAGATCCAGATCCATTGGATCTCAGAACCTTGACTGCGTAAACGTTTGCTTTCTTGGCAACGCCATACTTCTTACCAGCAACTGTACCGGAGCAGTGAGTTCCGTGACCATTGCCGTCAACATCATCATCACCGGTGGGGATGGTTTTTCCCCAGTGAGCACGGCCTTCAAAATCCACGTGCTCGATGTTGGTACCGGTATCGATCACGTAGACATCGACGCCCTCGCCGCCATTTGCGGCGTACAGGTATTTGTTAAAGGTGCCCATGGTTAAGCTATCGCGGTGGGAAACTCGAGCCAAGCCCCATGGGGCGTTGTTCTCGGTCACAGGCTCATCCCAGGCATGGACTTCAGAGTCCTTCTCAATGTATTGAACCTAAAAAGGAGTATACCTGTCAGTACGATGGTAGATAGTGGGAGGACTGTGGCCAAGCTTACATCTGGGTGTCTTCGAACTTGCTCGATGACTTCCTCATCGAAGTGTCCGGAATAGCCCATTATCGACCCGGCAATGTCATAGGTGTGCTTGAGGCCATCGAAGGCGTCGTTCTTGAAGGGAAACTGGTTGCGTTTTCTGAGGGATCTCTTGGCCATGACGGTAGTATGAAGGTCCTGGACCCAAACTTGGTGTGCCGCGGCCGATGCTGGAGACACATTCTTCTTGAAAACAACAATGTATGAATCAGGAACCTCCTTTGAGTTGTGGGAAGAGAGGATCGGAGCAGCATCCCTGTGGATGGTGTCAACCAAAATGGGGGACGGAGCCGCCAGGAGCGGCAGCAACGAGAGGGAGAGAACGCCCTTCATCTTGCAGGGAGAAAGGAAGGTGAATCTAAAGGCAAAAGACCGTTCACAGGAAGAACATGCAATGGAAACGACGGAGAGATGGGGGTGGTCGATGGATGAAGATAAATCTGGGGAGGAGGAGGAGGAGGAGGTTGGAAGTCGGGTTGGAAGAGAGGTTGGAGGCAGCTCTGGGGTGACTCTGGGAGTCGGAAACACAGGGCGGTGGATGATGCAACGCGGGTTACTCAGCACTGCATCAGGTGGCACCATTATGTCATCGTGTGGTGTGGCGGTGATTGGCTGGGGCAAGCTACCCGTCTCTCATGATTCGCAACGGCCATTCCCCATGCGGCTAGACACCCGTACCGCCACCTCCCCATTGGACGCCTCGTGGGCCAGGCTGTTGCCCCCAACACTTTACTAGTTAACTGTTCTCCGCACGGCTTGGAGAACACTCGGGCGTCGCCTCCTCTCGGGGAGCATCATCCCCAATCTCTCACGATCCAGATGTACACAAACCAACCTTTTCTTTTTTACAAAATATATATATATATATGTATATGTATAGTTAGTTATTTATTTGATTTTATTTTGATGTTTATTTTAAATTTTGTCTCAGTCTGCCCTGTGGTCGTTTGTCGTCGCTCATTAACCTTCTCTCGCATGCTGATCTCACCATCTCCCCATGTAGGCACCCATCTAACCGCAATTCCGATGATGGCAGATGCACCTTGAACGTGAGCTACACGGGACGACCCGAGCTTCAGGGATTCAGGGCATTTTGTTGGACATCTCCTGAGAGAGAAACCGGGGTCCGGGGGTGTCTTGGCTCCGCTCTCTGTGTATCGAGCCACAGGCTCAAGCTCGATCGAATCGGCTTCCATTGCCCAATACTTCCCAGGTACGGAGTGTAGCGTCATATCTTCTGAACTAGGCCACTGGGTTCCATCCTCAAGGTCCTCCGTCCGTATTTAGTGCAGAATACGGTCCAGAAAACGACTTAGAGTATATTCCGTGCCTTGGCGGGATCTATCCTTTCATTGAAGCGCGCTTGAAAAATTCGTCATTGACTATGTATGTACTCTGGACTCCGTGCGGAGTACGGAGTACAGTCCACGCAATTGGGTGCATGGGTGCGATGCATCATTTCTGTTGTGCATCCGCGGCTGCCTCCCGCCAAATGCTTCCTCATCGTGAGACAAATCCCTTAGCTATGTACGGAGTATGTAGAATAGGTATCCAGAAAGTTATATGCGGTAGCACCAGGTGGAATTTGGGGGGAAGGCCGATATTGCGAGCTTTCTGTCCAGCATCAAGGTTACTTGCAGCAATAATGTGAGACCAGAGATCCAATAACAGTGTTTGACTGCAACCCCAAGTCTTCCACTGTGGGAAGCTAGTCAAGCCAAAAGAATAAGAGATCTGCGGTCTGTCCTTTCAGAGGTTTCAACGTGAAATCAGCAGAAACCGCTCGAGTGTTTTGCTGTGTGTACTCCGTACGGAGTATATCTATCTGCCTTTGGAAGTGGGTTTTGGCCCACTGAGCGTTAGTTAGTTAAAAGTCGTAAAAGCAGGACATAACTGGTTAATCAAGTCGCAACACACAGTCCAGTCTAGCCTGTCCTCCCAAGGGGGTGATTATGTATCAGGAACAGAATCATCCCTGTTCTGCTGGTGTGACTTCATTGCCGGTTCTCGCTGGGGCGGTCCAGGAGCGGGCGAAATAAACATTTGGTGCACGTGAGCTGACCGGTAAGCCCGCCTTGCCAGCTACTCCGTACGCGTGCGAGAAAGAGACTCAGGCCGGGTCGCCCACTCTAAACGCACCCGTTGTTCAGTCAGCAGATTTAAGATTTTGCATTCAAGCAGCTTATTTGCATCTTATTACCCGGTGATATTCAGTGAATCCTCTTTCCGATGATAGGAGTGGATTGTTTCGTTCCGAGAGCTTCACAATCATAATAGCCTTCCTCGGGGCTCCTCACGCCTGAGGCAGAATTCCCTCTTCGTGGGGATGATCGCAACACGTCTGATGGTGATCTCTCGCGGTGGATAACCAGTGCTGGGACTGCAAACCCCTCGTAGAGACAATGAGCAGCGTGCTCTTACGTCCCAGGCGGCAATCGTCACCGGCAGCGACCGAACGCTTGACCTCGAAGCTACGCCCCGCAATCGATGCGTTGGCTGGTTCCATACGCGACTCCTTGTGCCTTGATGATGCATTGGCAGCTACAGAAAGCATTATTTGCCTTCGGCACGCGTTCCTCGACGATGCTCAACCCCTCGAAGCGAGAGACGCGTTCCGCCACCTCCGAGGGTTCCAAGTGCTCCTCGACTTACTTGAGCGTTTGGCCCACTTATACGAACCCAAAGCTTTCGATCCACAGCAGCGTAGGGCCGTCCTGGCTCTAGTGAAGGAGGTAATAGGTGTTCTTGGGGAAACCTTGAAAGACCACCATGGTAATAAACGTTACTTTGCACGAAGAGTTCATGGAAGTGGAGAGCCTTCCTTCGAACAAATATTGTCAAGCCTTTCTGGCAAGTTGGAGGAGAATACCGACGGAGACAAGGATCTCGAAGTTGAACAATTCTATGGCGGGCTCCTTGCTGCTGGGCTGGGCCAACAGACTGTTTCGGGCCTATTCACGTCATTGAGAAAGAAGTTTGACAATGACATAGAGGTCCTGCCCGCTGCGATCAAAGAGGCCATAGAGGATGCCATAGGATCCTCGGAGGTCGTGGAGAACCCGGAGTTTTTCGGACCTCTTCTTCAACTTTGGCTCGAACAATCCTTGGAGCTTTCTAAATACCCAATCCAACGCTTGGTTGTCCCAGCCTGTCTTGGGCGTCTTGCCGCGCAGTCTTCTCGGAATCGCCTTGCTCTTCATTCTACTGGAATGCTAACTTCCCTCTCAGGTCTCATTACCAACTCAAACCGGAACAGGGAAGAATTAGCGCTGTATTACGAGTTGGCTGTCGTCCTGAGCTCAGAAGGCTTCGACAATCTTGACGATGCGGCGGAGCTTTATCGCAAGGCCCACGGTTCCGTGGAGGCCTCTAGGTTCCTTCTGGCAACTATTAAATCGTCAAAAGAGCCTCCTTTGGTTCAATTTGACATGTCATCCCACGGTTACTCATCAATTGAATTGCCTACTCTTGGGAGGCCGTTCCCACCTATCGCATCGGCTGGCTACACACTTACTGTTTGGGCTCGATTTGATACTTTCGATCCTAAAGTCCACACCACTATCTTCGGAGCCTTTGATGCAACCCAGACATGCTTTTTGCTTGCATACCTGGAGAAGGACACCCGTAACTTGATTCTTCAAACTTCCATCACCGGTAGTCGCCCAAGTGTCCGTTTTAAATCCACGGTGTTCTCCCCTGGTGTCTGGTATCATATCTGCATTGTGCACAAAAGACCTAGGCCAATATCATCTTCGCGAGCATTACTGTTCATAAACGGGGAGCTCGTAGAGCAGCTGAAAGCAGACTATCCTCAGGTGCCTGCGAGTCGTTCAGGCCAGAAACAAGCTCGTATCCAAGCTTTCTTAGGCACCCCACAGGACCTAGCCCTAAGGGTAGGGAAAGGCCTGTCGGCATCCAGCTGGTCTTTAGCTTCAGCCGTATTGTTCGAGGAGGCGTTTACGGACGATATTATTTCTGTCCTATGCCAACTAGGCCCTAGGTATTACGGAAACTTCCAAGATTGCTTGGGCTCGTTTCAGACATATCGAGCTTCCGCAACATTGAATTTGCGCAATGAGAACTTTCATCCTGGAAAAGAGGAACACTCCGATATCGTGGCTGTAATACGCCAGAAGGCTAGTATTTTGATACCAGAGAATTCCATTTTACTGAACATTTCTCCCACCGCTGTTCTTGATGGCGATGCCAGCAATATTGATGAGTCGCAGCTGGTGAAATCATTATCGAGGAACCCAGCTAGACACCTTAACCATTTCCTGAAAGCCGGAGGGAACTCTGTTGCCATCAATAGAGCCGTTCCCGCCATAAATAGAGCGTTAACTGAGCCCCAGGGCGTTGCCATTCTCACCGGGAATCCTGTGCTGTCCCTCCCACAGTCACTGGACGATGCTGCCTGGCGCATTGGCGGCTGCGCCGCCGTCCACCTTAATATGATCGAGGCTGCCACTACTCCTGAGCATCTCCGGTTAGCCGTAGAGATTTTGTTAGAGTCAGTGCAGGATAGCTGGCGGAATAGCGAAGCTATGGAAAAAGAAAACGGTTATGGAATTCTTGGTATACTGTTGAGAGAAAAACTTGGAATTACAGCTGCCATCCCGAATGCGCCAATAAAGGTTGCATCCGTCTGTTCAAATTTGCAAGAAAGAAATGAGCTTTCGATGGAGCTGTTGATTCTGATTCTAAAATTTGTGGGATACGATTTCAACAATCCGAAGAAATCTATTATTATAAACCCGTTGGCATATCGAGTGCTGCTGGTTGATTTAGACATATGGCGCCTTGGGGATCTCCCCCTATTGGAGGTTTACTACTCTCAGTTTCGTACTTTTTGCATTGAAAGTTATTACCATCGCTTCAACGCTAAGAGGCTATCGCGGATGCGTAAGAAATACCCAAACTCTGCTACACCTCCCAGGGGGAGTACTAACCATCTGTAGGTGTAATCAAAAGATTACTGGATTCTTTGAAAGATGGAATTTTCACAGCCGATAATATAAAGCTGTTTATACCTGCATTCAGCTGCCTGACGACCTGTTGCATGATGGCCGAGATACTACGCTCAATCGCACTCTTCATCACATATTCTGTCCATAACCCGAAACCGCCGAGCAGGTTGCAGAACAAGAAGAGTACGGCAAGCATTACCAGACAATTCCGACGAGCCACTGCCCCTCAATTCCAGGGAAGAATGGCTGTTTATATATCTAAAGAACAGATAGGTGTGGAGCTCCTGCGGACATTCGCGGACATTTTCTGTGCTTCTGAAAATACCGCCAATATCCAAAAGTTTGCCAGGACGGTAACGAACAAGGTATGTACTTTTGTCATTCATACTCAACAAGTCCTAGGGGGATATCTAATTGAGATCCAGTGGCTTCTATATCTGATTTCCGAGGACAATGCGGACGTGGTAATTCAGGCAACAAGAATCCTTGCGAGGCTACTCACTGTCCATGGGTCGAGCTATACGAGAAAGTTCGACAAATCCGGTGGCTTCGTAATACTTCGACATTGTTTAAAGCGGTGGTGGAGTTTACCCGCCCTATGGCTGTTCTGCTTTGCAGTTTTGTTCGGCCAAGATGTGAAAAGTATTGATATGGAACAGGGATTCGACCGCGCAGCGTTTACAGCCTTACTCGAGAATTCAGAAAAGGTGAAAGTCGCATGCCCGGAGGTCTTTCCAGTTATCACTGGGATGCTTCAAAGTGCACTAAAATCATTTATTTTGGAGACACGTGCCGTTGAACGCCCAGAAGAGAGTGATGATGACCTCTGGCTTGGAGGATCGGGTCGAAGAGAGAAGTCGAATTCGATCTCTGGTTGGTTGTCCGCTCAAAGTACCATATCCCTTGTTAGCTGCGGTAAAATTTTGCTAATATTTACATTTAGAGGCAACTAACGGAAGAGAAGGTTTACACGAAGACTTGTTAGAAAACGTCGTCCATTTTTTGGCCAATATACACACCAAATGCTCAGACTTCCGGGACTTTGCGGCAACGTCAAACTATGTCGATGAGCTGCTCCTTGTCTTGTTTCCCGTCGTAGTCGGCTCTGACGCGGTTAATGCGAGCATGGAATTGAACTCACGCAATTCGAGCCTCACATTTGGGAGCGACAGTGTGGTTATCCAGCCACTTTCTAATGCTCGACCAGTTCTTCGTACCAGCACGGTTGAGCGCTGTGGTGGTGAGGAAGGGGGCGACAGTTTCCG